GAAGAATTTTCATTTCCCAAATTAGTAGGTAACTATTTTTGCCTTATCTTTAGAGTTAATATTATCGTCATATAGAGACAAGATGGACACTTACTACAAATGCTGGCAAAACTTCGGTATAACGGCTTTTGAGTGAGAGTTTTGTCGGATATTTCATATACCTTCACAGTCTTTATACGTACCAGTAATGATAAGGCGCTTTTGCCGCTAAAGTTTACCACTAAACTTAATATATCATGTCGCGATAAATAGGCACCACGTTTAATAGAGCTGTTTTGTTTTTATTTCACATTTTGAAATAGACTACTTAAGTAAACTTCAATAAATAAATAGCTCTCGCCACCATTCCGTTTTTTTAAATAATTCTTTGGATAGAGTATAGATTCTTTGATTATAGGACCTATGCTTTAATATTTTGTTCGATATTGAAGACAGAATCAATGAATTGTAGCGCATCAGTATGTGCAATATTAAAAAAAATACTACTCAAACACACCTTTAGTTTTAGTTGTATCTTTTTGCAAATTTCTCTAATCTTGGTATAAAGTGACAAGGTTCTTAACACAGTACGATAAAGTTAGTTCTATAATTCACTTACGAATAGAAAGTATAGAAAAACTTTGATAGAAATTTAAGTGGAATTTTAAAGTATTTTAAAGTAAAATTGCCAGCACTTGTCCATGAGCGGAAGGCTTAGAACCCATGCCTTAATGTTTTACGTCCAACCAAAAATATTTCCTGTATAGAACTACGTAGTTCCACAGACATTTTGAAAAAAATATAACAATGCGTTCACTAATAAATAAACACGATATTAACAGTTACTACACACACGTCCTGGTATGGAAGTTCTTAAAAGTTTCCATACATCTTACCATGGGTTGCCTTTAGTCAATTTACGTGAATTTTTATTATAAGTGTTTTGACATTCACACAAAATTAGAGGGTTTGAATTGAAAATATACAGTTAAATTTTTTAGAACACCCTAATATATTTATATGTATGTATATACAGTGTAACTTTCTAAGAAATTCGTTCTTCACCAAGATGCCTCAATATCGCAAGATATGAATGAAATAAGTAAAAAAATACAACAACATTACTGGTGCAGCAAAACGCGTCAAACAAAAATAACAGACTATACGCAATAATAAAATAGACTAACATTCTTTTTTGTGTACATAAGTACTAACACTAGTCTGAAATGAACTTTGTCTTTTTCTAATTCTGATTTTTCTTCTCTCTATTTAACGGCAACTCTCTATACCGCTATGAAATGCACAGTCCCTTCAGTGTCGTTATATAGAGTTTACACTGTATTTGTGTGTGTGTGTGCGAGTGTGTATGTGTGTGTGTAGAACATAAAATGTTTAGTCTGTTGTCTGTAGCCCCAATGTTTGTGTTAGCGCGCGTCGTCCGTCAATACGATTAGCTCATTTTATGTCAGGTTTGCTTGCGCCGAATAATGGCATTTTAATGACGCGCGAAATACCTCCACACTTATTACAACGTGATAAATCTTTTTGATTAGATAATCGTATTTTGGATTAACGATTTTTTTAAATATAAAAAAATATTACGACGCAATATATGAGTTGTAGTTTAGTTATAAAATATTTATGCCATTACTCGGATTAGTTTCAACTTAAAAATATCAAAACAATATTTAATCTTTACTTTTAAATTCACCTTATAAACTTCCTTTTCCAATTCCATTTTAATGGTTAAAAATATTAAAACTCCTTCAACATGGTAACACCGTATAATTTCACAATGCACATTAAACAGTGTTTCTAACGTTATAAAAGTAACTAAATCTGATTATAATATTATTGAGAACGTGGCTCAGTTTTATATACTTAATAGAATAATGATGAATCCATACATCAGATCATGAATCTAACAAATAAGGTTTCATTTGTTTACATTATTGTCATATGTAAATAAGAAAATTCTTTTAAAATAACCATAATAAAAACCAGCGTTTAATCTTGACACTTGACAGGTCTTTAATTCTTTCCCGCCTAAAAAGTTTTGGCATTATAATCTGTAAACATATTTTTGTAGATAGCAATACTTATATAAAGAGTATTTAATATATTTTTTCTCCGCGAGCTATAAATTGCATTATAGTGATAATAATGAAGAAATTGAAAATACGCAAGAATTTTTCATTGCATGTTTGAGAACGTAACAATTGTAACAGTATTATATTTAAAAATAAAATTTATTTATAAATTCTATTTGAATAATTTATAAAAATAAAAATGGCGATATTCTATACATCTTTTGGAATAGAAATACATTTTTGTATATTTAATTCAATTTTCATTGGTAAACAACGAAAAAACACTCAATATACTTAGTAGGACGAACTTAATAAAATAATTGATTTTATGTTTTAATGATATAAAACTTAATTTGTATTATGTATTCACATAGTTGTTGAAAATATAAATCGTCGTCTTGTTGGTTTATCTTATGAAATATCGTACAAACACTTATACATCATTACTGAATGTAAGTAGAAAAACTTATAATGATTTCCCTCCAGTAAAGAGGATTATTATGAGAACAGTTTAAAAAGAAAATAAATCTTGTTTATGATTGCATTTCCTGTAAAAATTAAAGGATTTCGTATTGATAATAAGTGGCAACAATGTCAAGTTGTCACTTTCACAGTAGGTATTTTATACACCACTCCGGATTTTCATTCTAACATCTCCGCACATCATACATATTACAAAAAAAAACAATTCAAAAGCGTAAATAATTTATGTACCTACTTAGATATGATTGTAAAGAACAAAAAAATGAAGAGTTATAACTTCTGTGTTAAATAAACTCACTTTGATGTTCCTACTAACGGGGGGTGTAACTCAGTGGTAGAGTGTCTGCTTCGCATGCTGAAAGTCCTGGGTTCAAATCCCAGCACCTCCAAATATCTTTTTGTGTCCATTGAAAGGAGAGACGGTTAGCACTCCCCTTGGCAAGGATGGAACACATAAAAATGGTGAAGGCACACTTTACCACAATTTTGCCAACGTCCATACCACGTTGAATACACCGGTTCTCGTCCGATCACCGAAGTTAAGCAACGTCGGGCGCGGTCAGTTCTTGGATGGGTGATGTTCCTACTAAGTATTTTTTAAGTCGCTGCCTCCCCTTTTTGAAATTGTGTACTTGACAATAAGTCAAATTGAATACTTTTTCGAATCATCAAAAACGAGACTTCTATTAATTTTGTTCGGGATTGGGTGTACGTCATTTATGTTTTGCCTCTTTTCGCATAATCAAATTAAAGTCTGGAGTTATAGGCGATTTAACTTTGCTATCGATGTCTTTAATGGTTTTTAACAGTTATTTGTAAATTAATTAGCTTTTTTCTTTAATTTTGGGGCAGGACTTTTGAAATATTGAAATTTGGCACATTTGTTCACACGCTGATATAGACTAACGTATACAAAAGTTAGGCGGTTCTGGAAATATTACATACATACAGGCCGAATTGATAACCTTTTTAAATTGGTTAAAAATTTGGTTATTGAATGAGAAATTGGCAACGCATCGTAGGTAGTGTGTCGATGCAACTATGCACATCCTATTTTTAATATATGACAAATAAACCGTTAAAGAAATATCAAAAGTTTCAGAAACACGACTTAATACTGTTATTCTTACACTTTAATGTTATTGTGAATATATTTCGAAGATATGTAACCGAAACAAATACCCGACGGTATATAGTTTATAGTCAAAAATAAAAAATCGCGTAGCAAATCCGAAAATATTTGTTTCATTTTTCGAAAATATCATAAAAATAAGTACAGACATCATGAAACTATAAAAGATAACGTTTCCTTTCAAATTTTATTTTAAAATAAAGATGTATAGAATAAACTAATATTTTCAGATTGAAATGATAAGATGTATGGGATTCTTGAAGAGATAATTTGGCTGTCCACCTCATGAAATATGTACTTTCATAATAATAATAAACATTTCCCTCCTTTTACGAAATACCCTGGTTTTTACTCTTTATTAAGTTTAATTGATAATTATAATACAAATATATTGGCATTCATAAAAATTGTCTGTATTGTTATCCGATGCTTCTCATTCAACATTATACAGTGTTTACTAAATAGGGATTTTTTTTTTTTTTTTTTTTATGTTAAAGATGGCAAACGAGCAGACGGCCCACTTGATGGAAGGTGGTTACCGCCGCCCATGGACATCCGCAACATGTTTGTTACGGATGCGTTGCCAACCTTGATTTTTTTGGGGATAGGGAAGGGTGGGAATAAGGAAAGGTAGGAAAGGGTGGGAATAAGGAAAGGGCAACCGGCTCTCTCACTCATCGGACGAAACGCAGCCATTAAAGGCTACTTCACGCCGATCTTCTATGAGAGGGTGGTACTTCCCCGGTCGAGCCAGCCCATGTTCGAGCTGTAGTAACTTGACCACAGCTAGGCTCTACCACCTCAGTATAATAGTTTATTCAATAATAATAACATAGAAATTAAATTAATATTACGTAGTCAAGCGACATCCATGGTATTAATCCCAATAGGCTTTTTTACTAGATATCTATTTAGCTTTCGAGAAATTATGCTTTGTAAAAATATCAACTATGGTATGAGCTATACATGCAAAGCGAAGCAACAGATATGCACACTAACACGGACCAAACAACAGTTAGGTAGGGATGTATTGTAATCAACAATTATTTAGGAATGTATTCTGAACAACATTTACTCAGGGATGAATTCTAAGCAACAGTCGGTTAGGGATGTATTCTAAACAACAGTCAGGGATGTATTCTAAGCAACAATTACTTAGTGAGGGATGTATTCTAAACAACAGTCAGGGATGTATTCTAAGCAACAATTACTTAGTGAGGGATGTATTCTAAACAACACTTAAGAATGTGTTCTGAACAACAGTTAGTTAGGTATTCTATACAACAGTTAGTGAGGGATGTATTCTAGTGTAGTACCTGGTGACAACATTTTCTCGGGCAGGGGACCATATGGTAAATGTGGCTCACCGGCGTGGAGGGCGAGGGCACGCTGGCCGTCCTGAGCATGCTCAGCCGGCGACGTTGCTCAGCGCTGAGCGACGCTCGCCGGCTCCTGTCGAGGTCGTATCCATCAGATGAGTCCGCGCTCAAACCTCGGAATAGACTCGGCCGGAACATTGCTCTTATGTTACAAGCGATTAGATTAGTGAATAAGTATAAACTCAAACCGGTAGTATTATAATGAATCGGTTAATGATGAACGGAGAAACTTTACGATAATTAGTTTCAGGCTTGACTTATTTTTTTGTGAATGAATCAGTTGTTCTGACTTGTTTTAACAGTTAATCAAAAAGACTGTCAATTTTATGATGTAGTTCGTGTGGATATTAAAATGATTATACGATAATATTGATTTACGAGTAGAGTTTAATAATGCTATAATATACGTGCAATTATCTTTTGAACATTAAAGTATACTTAAATATAAAATTCAATTAAAAATACTAATAATTTCATCCATACGAAGGGGTTTATAAGTTGAAACCTGTATAAAATTGTATCAGTTTCACGTAAACTATAACATTTTTTTATCATCTATTAACTAATCTCTCATAGAATTCTACGTCCCGAGCTTCATAGTTCATTGTGTTTAAAAATGCCTCTAATTATAAACGACGTGGTGACGAATGACTGACATTAAGAACAACAGAAATATAACTGAAATATAAATAAAGAGAAAAATTTCAGACAATAATTATTATGAAACATTAATACAAGGAAAAGTTTTGAAGATACGGTTAAGTAATATCATATTATTTGTCACTCCCTGTAAGGGTTTCATTTAAAGTTCAAAATATCATTAATCACGTTAACAAGTATAACTTAAACTAAGTATTAGTTGGTTGTTTAAAATATGGCCTTTATCCGGGCAAAGACGTGCACAGTATATTCTGCCAGTGTCATGTAGAATAGAGGAGACATGATCCGGGATTAACTTTTAAATGAAATAAAATATAACAATCTCGACTGAAGACACAATTAGGAACTTTGTTATTAAAATAAAAATAAAGTTATTTTCTGGTTGACATTTTTTAATGACAGCTATCAAATGACGTATGTCATTAATGAGTTTTGATGTGTTCAATGTGTGTGATCTGTTATGAAAGCTATAGTACTAATGTTACCAAAAGAAGCGGTCAATGACTTTAGAAACAATATATTGGTTAAACTATAATAATTGCGACGAGATTAGATTATTTTCTGGCAACGCTGAAGCTCGTTTATCACACGCTTTGACGAAAATTATCACTTACACATAGATCACGGTCAATTAGAAATATTATTACATTATTATATGATTTCATTTCTTTAATAACTTAATTTTTGAGTAATATTAAACATTTATTTAAATTCATATAATTTTAGGCAATAATAGTGAAAATAATTTTTGTTTATCATTATTAACATTTTTATTTTATAATTTATTTATTTAATATTGACAAACAATATATTTACTATATAATCCATCCTGAATAAGAAACAAATAAAAATATAAATTACAATTCACCATCAATAACTGAATATATAAAAATATATTTGAAACGTAAAACCTTATCCTAAATCACCTTTTTCTTTCCATATTTTTTTTTAATTCAAAACACTCATCGATCAACAATCATTCCGCCGCGACGCGAAAGAGTTTTTATATGTTTTATATTAAACGCGGGAACCGTCAAGAGGCGCGAACAGTGGACTAAAGACGCTCGTACTGAATTAGCGCGGGCGACTCGTTGTTGCACAATTATCTATGACATTTAAAATTGGATCGGATTAGAGCGAATGGTGAAAGTAATAGCTATGTTTTGTTACATATGTACCGAAATAAATATTATTATTGTTACAATTATGATTTAATTATAACCAAGTCCAAGTGGTTTAAAAGATCGTTTTAAATAAAATAGTTGATGACAGAAGAAATGTCAAAATAAGATCGTAGGTTTCAAAGTTTCAAATATTGTATTTTTTTTTATCGATACTGAGGAAAAGTTTTCAAAAATCATCTTTAATTAATATGTATTAGAATAAAATTAAGTTTTACAAGTAAAAAGTTAGGTTCGTTTTTTCTATAGACATATTAAGGGACATATTAAGAGAATAATTTAAAAAGATTTCTCAAACTTTGATCATAAGAGACTTAAAAGAGGTAATTCTTGTTGTAATTTATAAACAGCAGCTTAAGAATGGACTTATAAGGAACATCAGAACGAGATATTAATGATACGTAAACTTTTAGCATTCAGTAGATTCACTGTGCGGGTGTCAGGTCCATCGTTGTAGTGAGAGGAGCTTCAACAGTGACTGGGACTTGCGACCCAGGTGTAGGTGTTAGGGATTCTTATCTAACGCGCGTTAAACTCTCACCTTTACCGTCCAAGCTCCTCTATCTACCTAAACTAATTTGAAAAGAACCTACAAAGGCTGCCTTCGAAGTATGTTCCAAGAATGAATTAATATTAGTTCTGAACAGACCCAAATCTTTTAGGTGTAGAAATATTTAGCCGCTATACCTCTCGCTGCAACTTCTAATAGTTCTAATGGGATACAAAAATCTCCTAAGTGTAAACCCTGGTCTGTTACTTTGTGCTTCTATCATAAATTGCTTATGGAATTAAAGTCGTGACTCTGGAGCATTTTTGTCTTTTGGTAGTGATGTAACAATATCATTGGATATCCCCAGGATATGTCTCTTGTCAAAATATATATTATTAAAATGTTAAATAATCTAGGCTTTCCTTATCTTCACCAATATTATAACACCTATTTTATTTTATTAAGTACTCCACTTGTATCATAACAGTATCTAAATTGAAACAAAAATTACGAGGAAATACAAATTTGATTTACTCTAAGGAGGTTTTATATTTGTGAATTATTCTATTTAATAATATAATTAAGTCGAGGACTTGTCACTGCTAGATACTATTTTTTTTAATTAAAAAAAAAAAGAATTATGACCAAAAGCTGTTTCTGGTCGGATAAAAATCCCAAGAGGAAACTTCCACTACCACAGTGTGCTTACCCCAAGTTTGTACCGTCACCTACATACGGACCTTTTATAATTTTTCATTAATAAATCTTACATTATAATATTGCATTTTAACTCTCCGTATATAATGTGACGATGCAAAGTTACAGAAACATACGATGTTCTAAAATTTGTCTTTAACATAAATGTAATAATAATATTCCCGCCATAAAAGTTTCAACATAAACAAATCAATAAGTTCTTGATACTGTCAATCGTCGTCAATTTATAACAAAAAAAAATTCTTAAATTAGATTTTTATGCTTAACACAAGTTAGTGATTATCTTTTCTCATTCAATAACCAACGTTAATACTATAATATGCGACGATTATAATTGTAATAACTGTCAACCTTCCGTATGTACTGACGACGTGAACTTGTAGTAAATTTTTTCCAATTTAAATAAGTTTTATACAAATACGTCACATGCCTAGAAATATGTATCTTCTATATATATAAAAATGGATTGCTGTTCCTTAGTCTCGCTAAAACTCGAGAACGGCTGAACGGATTTATCTTATCTTAGTCTTGAAATGTTCGTGGAGGTTCAGGGAAGGTATAAAAGGTGAGAAAATTGGAATAATTGCCGGGAAAACCCTAAAAACAGCCCTTTTCTATTTCCCATACAAACGCTTTTTTTGACATTAGATTTGACAACTAACTAATATGTCAATCATTCTGTTCGATTGAAACAGGAAAAACCTGATTATTTATGGCCTCTAAGACGGAATAGAGTTCGCCCGGTCAGCTATACATATACATATTACTAATGACGAAACTAACGCGGACGAAGTCGTGGGCAAAAACTAGTTACAAATAAAATGTATATAGGAACTCACCCTTTCTAAGATAGTCCGGTGGCGATTAAAAAAGTCAGATATTCCACAAAGATACATTATACACAATACAAATAAATTTAAATATTAAATATATCTCGCGATCGTTATTTTCATGGAAGGCTCATTTTAAGACTGAATTAATCTTTAATTGTTGTGTATGGAGGTTGAGACATACAGGGCGATACAAAAAATATTATCACAAGTTCACGAATGTTTACAAATATCTTGATTGGTTACTGATCAATTATAATTATGTTATTAATTCTATATATAAATAGCTAACTAGGGATTTCTTTCGTAATATTCCCACTTATATGCAAATATTTGACATAAAAAACTCTTTTAAATGTTTTTTTTAATGATTTTTGAGATTTACATAAATATCATAACTAAAAAAAAATCCCCAATGTTTATCCCTCATTGTTCTCGCTTGTTCGTATATTCTTCTATTACTTCATTTATTTTTCGTTTAAAGTTTTATTTAGTAAAACATTTCTAAATAACAACAGCCTGTATCCACTTCAAGTTAGTTCCAACCGGCTTGGACCCGCGGGAACTGATCTGTCTAATTGTCAGTAATTCTTGCTCTATGTACTCAAAGTATATTCACATTTACTTCCTATTTTGTTATATAACAATATATTTTTACTTAATACTGCTTCATTTGCAATTAAATCGTTATATATTGGCAATGATATTTATATCTATCGTAATAAATAATAATCTAATTTTAAATACTGTGTGAAGAAAACACCAAGGAGTTTGTCTTACGGAATAATAGCGTTTTATTTAAAATTATTCTTATAAAACATGTTAAAGATTTTTCGTGTCATCCTTGCGCGGGATCTATAGGTATAAATATTTTCTGTACCAATCAAGCTTTAGTACATATACTATAGAAGCGAGAATACAGTGTTAGGTATGTGAACGTAGAATATAATAAGAAAAACATTTTACATCGGTCATGTCAATCTGACAATTACAACCAACTGTCATAATTGACTTGACATTTGACCAAGAACCAAACCTATTAATAAACATTAATTTAGAAAACAAGGTGTCGTTGTTTCCGACTCAAATTTTTTGTCATATACATATTTAAAAATATTTTTCTTATGTTCAGTAACAATTTTTATGTATATTCATAGGTTAAAAAAGTATTTATTGTAAGAGTGTTGCCAAATGTGAATATTTATGAATGTTCATACGATAAAAAGAATATATAATAAAGATTTAAAATAACTATTCATATTAAGAATACAACCAGCTTAACATATAAAAAACGTACAATTTATTTACGTAATCCAAGCAGCTGTATGTAATATGAAAGATAAAACTACTTTAATATCGATAATTCGCCACATTACAAACTATTTATTAATAAAATTATCGAAGTTAAAAAGTTTACATAACACACGATACAGTAATTAAATTATTTATCAGAGGTTGAATTAAAATGTCACTTTGACGATAACATTATAAAGAAAGTTTGGCCATTGAACTTTATAAGCAATTTCGTATTTAACTGTTTTTATATAGAATTATAGTAATATCTACTTTTCATACTACATTCGAAGACTGTCAGAGTTAATCTTCTTCGAGAAAAATCCAAAAGGATAAATATTTTGATTGGTTCCGATGTCGTGAATCCACGACGTTCTCCCTTAAAATAAAAAGTACAAAAATTTGTCCATGTAAAATCCAAATCATTTAATAATATCGCTGGCCATTTATAACCATTCTATATTTCATAAATCCAAACGATTGATCATAATTTAAAATCACTTAATAAAATTAAATACAGAAACTATCTCGTGAAGTAGCAATTTGTTAATAAAACATATATATTTTGCGATCAAACACGTTGAATCTTGAATGAAACAAAACATTTTGAATGATAATATATTAAGTTTATACAAATTATAATCTGTGTATAAATGGTGTTGGCGTGGTTGAGTTCTGATTACAGTAGGCTTTCACTCGACCTGATAGTATTTCTCCCGGGTCCGCTCTGATGGCGATGGTGAAGTGTCTGTAGCCCACACCTCCTCGGAGTATGAAGGGTATACTGGCATTCGTCTCTATTGACACGTGGGTCAACTGAAAATACGATAATAAGCTATAAACAGATATCCAAATTATATTTTCATACAAACAACACTGTTTTGGTAAAACGCTTTCATTATTGACTTGGTAATTCTGTTAAATTATTTACTCTGTCTTAACCTTATTTATTAATATTATTATAATGATGAAATAATTACGATTTTTGGAGATAATAATTAAGTTTTGAATAGCTTTAATAAAAGAATTATAATAGAAAATAATAGACAAGAATTATCTCTTTACACCTCTCCAAAATATTGAGTGTAATCTGTGCAGCGAATTATGTATTTTACTTTAAAAATATAATAATTATACATATATTTTTTCTAGTAACACTCACAACACAGTCAAACACTCCTTGACAAAATATATGGTGTCCCCTGATTCGTGGTGGATATAGAAACTTTTTATTGTATACTCTATGGTCCCTCTTCGACCTCACTCCTTGATAGATGCTTCTGTAAGGAGATCGAATATAAATTTGTTTCTTCGTCACCAGTTCTTCAGGGTATGCGTATGCGTTCTCACTGCGCCTGTGAAAACAAATAATATTTTAATTTTTTTATATGTTAAATTTATATTAATATTCCTCTTATAACCTAGATCTTTATATTCTAACAAGCCTATTCTACTGTTTTCAATCATAAATACATATTAAATGTTCAATAGAATTTACCAATGCGTCTATTTTTTTCTCTAAATTTCCTTTTGAAAAGCAACAAGTCATAGAAATAGTTTTTCAACAAAATAATAAACAGAAAACCTTAGATTTATTTATTGTTTACTTTAAAAATACCTGTTACCTAATAAAATACTAAATACTAGCATATCTGAAGTAAATTAATACATACAAATTAACCAATGGCCTCCCCAAACCGAACATATGCAGTCTTTCATATTTAAAACCATCCTCAAGTCCTTTCCAGCAGTGTATTTGAATGATAACCGCTAAAAATATCCAATACATCACTAGCAACCAATTCAGAGTTTATATAAATATTCATAAGTGTGAAACAAAGTCGTGATCATAGCGAACAATGGCACGTGCGATGTGTTTTATCGCCCTGCAGCTAACGTTACTTTTATTGTCGATACACCAACATAGAAAGCCGTGCTATTTCAAGGCACATGAAAATAATTATAAATGCTATAAAATTTTCATACGCATAACTATAATTTAAACTGCCTACGATTTATACTTAGCTTCGTAGCTTTATGGCAACATTTTACTGTTTCATAAACATAAGATTTATGTTTAATGCTGTCTTTAATCAAATTATTATTGAAACTACTAGTAAGATTCGCGATGCTACTAACGGACTACACTAACAATGATCAAGTTGTTGATATTTCACATAATTCAAAGTTAAATTGCAAATTCCCTGTAAATTCAACATTAATCTTTTATATTAACCTATTATAAGACAACCTTTGGGAAAAAATAATATAAATTATTTATTTATTCTCCAAGGAATTGACTAAACTTAAAATTGCTTTGTTGAAAACAAATATAGAACTAGTCTTCAATGACTGCCACTATATTGCATACAATTTTGATATCTAACTAAAATCTAAATACAGTATCTTTTATGAGATTTCAAAAAAACGCTTATAAATGAAAAGATTATGAATCCACTGATTTATTTAATAACTGGCATAAAAATGAAGTACTGTTTTTTCTTAACCAAAGTTTGTATAGTTTAATTTTTTTATAAATATACTAGGAATGTAATAAAAATTCTCTTGGACACCAGGACAACAGCCAAAATAAACTAAATATAATAATAAAAAACGAAATGATTTTGTTACATAGATTTCATGCTATATAGCATCATCGACATTTACTAATGGACATGCCGTAGGCGTATAATCTGCAGTATTTTTTTTGGTTTGAAAAGAGTGAGAGAGATGGCCTATGCTTTCGGTCTAGCACTATCTCTTTCCTCATAGATGATTGGCGCCCAGTTATCATAACAAGCACGGCATTTAAATTTATATAATTAAACTATAAATACAATTTATACATAAACATTATTTATAATTAAATTTACATTTTTTTTTAAATATAAGATCCATGCAATGAGTTTAGAAATGCAAAACGAGTGGTTAGACATAGGAGATTTTTGCATCCCATTAGCATTAAAATGGCGCACTTTAATTTATTATTGGTCGCCAGCATTGCTAAAATTCTATCTCAATGCGTTCCAGATGACTTTCCCAGATCAGAATAATTTAGTAAGATGGGGTAAAAGTACCGAAAAAACTTGCTATATCTGTGGAAAGGCAGTTGGAACTGCTAAGCACCTGCTGGTGGGATGTAAGGTACTCCTGGACAGCGGTTAATACTCGCGTCGTCACGATAGGGTTCTAGAAGTCATACGTGAAGCGGTTAGTCTTTCGGTAGCCAGAGCACAAAAGGAAATAACCACAAATGAACGATCAGTAGGTTTTGTGAGAGAAGGCACTAGGGCTACAAAATCAAACGTCAAGCCTTACTCCATCCTTAAAGCGGCGTCCGATTGGACTATAATGATGGACACGTATGAAAAACAATTTAAAATCCCCGAGGATATTTGTGCGTCTGCCTCCAGACCGGATATATTTTTGTTTTCGCGAATTTTAAAGCGCGTAGTGATGATAGAGCTTACGGTCCCTTGGGAAACCAACATCCCCAAAGACCATACCATCAAGGTCAACAAATATTACGAGCTTACAAACGAACTCACTCGAAATAGGTTCGTAGTAGATTTGTACGCGGTAGAGGTGGGAGCGAGAGGTATAACAGCGAAATCTCTCTACAACCTGCTAAAGGACTTGGGATTGTCCAGAACTCACATTAATGCATTCTTGGAACGTACATCGAAGGCAGCCCTAGTAGGTTCTTTTCAAATTTGGTTGAGGTTAAACGTAAAGCTTTAGGAAAGCATTAGGAAATAATAAATTATCCAGAAGGAGCTCATAACGTTTTAAGAACGGTACTATTTTGAGAGAGATAAAGATAGACCGAAACTTCGTTTCCTCTCTTTCTTTCGGAGTGCCACAATTCTCATCTCTAAGGCATGTCCATTAGTATATGTCGATGTATAGCATACTGTATACATATATATTAATCTTTTACGACCCTGTTCGAAATTTTCCAAACAGGACTCAAATGCGCAAAATAAATTAAATGGTTTATTTTAAAGGTATCTAAATAGTTTATTATGTGTATTATTAGTAAGTAAATTCATAGAATTAATGTGAAAAGGAACGGAATGCATCATAAGTTGCCAATGATGACACAGAATTTGACATATTGATATCGATTTGATCATATAATGTGATATAATATAGTTCATTCTAAAGTAAACTGTCAAATTTGTAATTTGATTTTATTTAATTTGTTATTGGAGAGCGTTTCAAATGAACAAAATATTTTATTATGTTTAAAATTAAATCATTTTTGTCGGTCGCCGTGTAGCACGTCAATTGGATCAATAAAACATCACGTAAAGATTAAAAAAATTGAAAAATGGATGGTAAATATTAATTCTAATCTTGACTACTTAATATCATAATTTTAAAATTATAATTAATTCATGTTTTAAAGGACCATCAGCAAAGAAGTCCACTTCGTTTGAGACACTAGTGATTCAAAATATATCTAACACAAACGACTTAAAAGCAAAACTGAACGAAATTATCGCTAGTGGAAAAGATTACGAATACGATGTTTCATCTTGCATTAAAGCTTTACTAAACAACAACGATCCAGTTATTGTGCTGCTGACCGTGCAAGCATTATCCGAACTAGCGAAATGTGAAACGAAACGAGAAACATACGCACAAAAAGATGTGATTGTACCGATTTTGTCTATATTAAGTAAAGATGTTACATTAGATAAAGTAGAGCTTATTAAACACTGCTGTAGAGCTTTAGGTAACCTGTGCTGTGATTGTGATACATCCAGAAATATATTACTCCAAAACAATGGGGTTGGCATACTGGGAAATGTATTAAAAATATGTATTGAAAATAACACATCTACGCCTCTAGCAGAAATTAAACTAGTTGTCGTCAAAGCCTTACTCAACTATGCTATTGGGGGACAAGAATATTCCGAGTCATTGGTGAAAAGTGACTTAATAGAATTTAGTAGGAAAATGTTGACAGTGGAATCATTTAAAGAGGTCATGGATGATGATTTAGTGTCAACAATTCTGACATTATTGACTGTAATAAATGACAACAATACGGAATTACTTTTTGATGAAGACCTGAATATGGCCGTTCTTAATGTGCTCCGAGAAACGACTAATGTTGATGTGTCCGAGTTAGCTTTGGAGCATCTACACACACAAGCTGAACATGGTAAAATTGGGGTTTATTTTATTATGATAACACTTATAATTAATGACTCATTAAATCATAAAAAGGTTGAATATATGAAATACATGAAATATTTAATATATATAGTTATTATTAAAGGTGATGTCTAATATTTTACAAAATCGTTTATATAATTATTTTTTCTCAGTTTGCTAAGAAATCAATAGTTACCTTTGTCTTGATGAATAGAGCAATCAAAGCATGATTCATTTACTATAAAAAAATTATATATCATTTATAATTTGAGTGTTGAGAATATTGTAAGAGTTTAAAAATATTTTGGTGTTAATATAAATTTATTTCATTGACATCTCATCTACCCGTTATCACAGTTGCTGCAAAGTAACCAAATCATTGGAAGTATGTTGTTAAATATAATTATAAATGCATAGTAAATCCGAAGATATTTATTCAATATAAGTTCTTTAAACTAATCTTAGACAACTAATAAGATTGTTCATATATTTGTTATATATTCTAGAGTCAGTAAAAACCCTGTTAGCCAAGGAGGGAGGGGTCAACCTAGTTTGTTCACGCCTGGAATTACTTCTTGAACACCAGAATAATTTGACCCAGGACAGCGAAGTTGAAGCTGTTATGAAGCAGGCGTGTGATCTCATCATCATTGTATTGACCGGAGGTGAGGTTTGGTATAAACGATATTTGTATTCAATACATATATCACATACATATTTGTGTCTGTGTGTGTAATATGTGTTGAAGTATGCTTGTGAGTGTGTGTGTGAGCATGAATGTGGTTGTGTGTGTGTGTGAGTTGTAGTTGTGGAAGAATGACAAAAAATAATTTAACAGTCTTACTATGATAATATGATGTTTAAGAAGAAATTTCATTCCAATGTATTATTAGGGCTTACTGGTTAAATTGCTAACATATTTTATTTCAAGTTTATGAATGTAGTAGGAATTTTATATAGCAGTTTCACAGATCAGCCAGAACAAACCGATAGAAATATATCTTCTTGTACCTGGCAATTTCCCAGCTTTAGCCAGGGTCTGCCTTCCGTGTTGTGAATAATTTTGGCTAATTGTTTTTACGTCGGGCCGCCTGCCTGCCATCAACCCTTTTTTGGGACAAACATATTGACATAATATATGTCCTTATACATATATTCCCCAATTTTATCAATATAGTAACTAAGTATTTATTTTTATTGTAGATGAAGCAATGCACATTCTATATAACAATGGTAAGGGCGAGGTGTATCAAAGTACAGTGAGGTGGTTGGACTCAGACAACCATCAATTGTTGGTGACGGCTGTGCTGGCTGTGGGGAACTTTGCTCGGCAAGACCAATACTGTGAGAAGATGATGGACGAACACATCTTTGATAAACTGTTAGGTGAGGAATTATTTTACATATTCCTTAGAAATTTTAATCTCTTTATATTTAAATCAATGGCATTAACTATTAATGAATACTACATTATCCTATATTTGCAACTTTAGAGATATTTTGGGTTTACACTGTGTCTCTGTATTCAATAAAACTATATTAAATTTGTCATGTATGTATTGTGCTAAGTAGCTAAGTGAATGACAGCAACTAATAGTATAATAAAGTGACCTGCCTACATTACATTTGACATTATATTAAATTTAAACAAAACAAGCAAGTATAACTAATACATAACATTTATATTTTTACCAGCGACAGTAGATATTAATGAATACTACATTGTCTTATATTTGCTGCCTGCAAGATATGTATTTTAGTTTTGATTCTGTAAATGTTATTTTTCTTTCAATCACAAAAGATATCACTGGTTATAATCTAATTACTTATATTGTAAGTTTCTATGAGGATCTTTTCACTTTATTTATATCTCAAAATCTAAATTTGTTTAATATGAACACATCATCATCACTGCTTGCTTAAGACGGATTCGTGATTTCGAACTTATAATTTGAAATGACAAGCTCAGGTTTCCTCACGATGTTTTCCTTCATCTGTCAATTGTGTCTAAATGCTCTTAAAAAGTACATATGACCCGGAAAAATCACATTGGTACTTGCCAGGATCGAACCCGTTCCCTCATGCATGAGAGGTGGGCCTTCAACCTACCATCGTCCATCACGACTTATATATGAACACAACCTTTATATCACCTCTTTCTTCTGTGAGTGTGTATGTCACTGAACTTCTCTCTAACGACTGGACCGATTTTGATGAAATTTTTTGTGTGTGTTCAAGGGGATCTGGGAATTGTTTAGATTCACAATTTTGTCCGCTGGACAATGTTTTTTTAATTAATTTTTAATTTCCTACTAGTTGTTGATACAAACGTTTTTTTTGACATTAGATTTGACAACTAACTTATCTTTATATGTTTCCAGCCATCTTCAACCACTACCACAATCTTGGTATAAAGCTCCAGTCATCTGAAGATGTTTATATATCTCCTATGGTGGTGATGAAGCTTCAACACGCGAGCCTATCAGCCATTCGTAACTTGTGTGTGCCGATGGTCAACAAGCGTCGCGCGGCGGCCGGCCCGGCGCCTGCCATGCTGCTGGCAGCTCTGCCACACGTTCAGGAACACAATGTAGCTTACAAGCTGCTAGCGGCTATAAGAATGCTGCTTGATGGACAGGGTGAGAAATAAGTGTTTATTGTATAGAAGATTTTTTGTAGCTTTTTTTTCTGTCATCAATATTTTGCTACTTTTTTTGCCTGATCTATGAAGTGTCCATTGTCATTTGAAAGTTGTTCTTTGTTTAGTACCACTAAAACACATATAAGCTGGGATTAAGAGAAGGTGACAAGTCTTGTAGTAGCGATCAACGTGACTGTCCTAGAAAATAATGTATTTTTATTTGATTTCTTTTAAACAAAAGAAACATATCTATGAGTGGGTATAATATTATAGAATAATATGTAATAGTTGTCTGTACTTGGCATTAGTGATGATACAGAACCTTAAAACAATTAATGGCACCATTTATATCTATTTGTTTTCTGATCTCAGAAAGAACCAAGACTGTATTATACAGATATGTTGTGCCAGGCTTCACTAACAAGCGTGTGTTAGTTTTATGTAAACTGTTTAGAAATATATAATTCTAAGTAGATTTCTTATTGGACACTCATTATATTCTCAGTAAGTTTTTTACAGAACTTGAAGTAGCCAAATGCCAAATAAATTAGTGAGGCACATAAATGAATTAATAAGATACCTCTGTCCTCCCGGTGATATAGTCAAAGTCGCAGCACTGTCAGCTATATACAATACAAAAAAAATATTTTGAAGTTCTCTATTAACTGTATTTTACTATACCATTTGAATATCTCTGTTTCATATTTAAATCTTTTAACAATATGAAATACCTACTCTTAGTAAATAATATCAATGTCATATTTGTATGCATATTTCAGAGAGCGTGGCCCGCGAGGTGGCGTGTTCTCCGTGGCTGCATCACATCAGCTCGTGGGGCGGGTCGGGGCACGCGGGCGCAGGGGCGGAGTCCCCTCGCCTGTTAGCCCGGGTCGCGAGGCTCCTGCCACACGACCTCCTGCCTCGGCTGCTCGAGGCCGACTGCGTGTCTCGACTTGTAGACATGTTGCTAGCGTCTCACGCACTCATGCAGAACGAAGCTCTTGTAGCACTCACGCTCCTATCCGCCGCCTGCCAATCAAATACCAACCTTACCGACCAGTTAGTAAAGTCGGAAATCGGAAAGCACTTATCGGTGCTCGTTGAGACCAATTGCGCTAAAATGCCGCTAGAGGTCGCTGAGAATCTTCTATCGTTCTTGGAGGTGACCTCCAGGTATGAAATACTTCTATTGGATTATAAATCAGCGAAGGTTCATGACGCGTTGACGAAATTCGCTTCATCGAGAGACGATCTAGGTGGTGTTAATGAACGTATTAATAAAATGATAGAATTAATATCTGAAGAAAAAACTGAATAGTCGACTGTTATAGAATTCTGTTGAGATTTTAGATATGATTTCTGAACACTACACTCGTTTTATAACAAAATAACCAATACAAATGAATACAAATTACAAATAAACAAGCATTCGTCGGCAGGTTGAGTAATGTAATCTCTAGTCACTCTATCGTATTTAAATCTCTGACTAATTTTAATCTAAAGTCTGTCTAAAATTTCAAAACATACTTTTCTAAGAAATAACTATAATATTAAACTTATAAATTTTCTCGACTTAATATATTGCATTTACTATCACTTAATTACTATAATTCTTACATTCCTATCGCTTTGCTTTGTCTTTGGTAAGTCAAATCTAAATGACATCTTTGTCATACATGAAGGATGAAAAGAAAATATCACCAGTTTTCTTATATTGTCCTAAAGCCTATTTGGGACAAAATATGTGCCAGTATAACAATTCTAAATATATTTTGGACCTATATTTACATGATAGTTACACGTGTCAATATTTATATAATTAGATGCACAATATTTTTAATAATAAAATGCCTTTACTCGTAACGGAATTGAGCTAACTTCTATTAAAATAGAAATAGATAGATTTTTGAATTTAAATCATCAAATAATCGCTCAATTCTTAAAAGGATATACCTACCTTTTTTTAAATGAGTGAATATTTCGATGTCAAATAGCAATATCTTTATAATACTCCAAGTACAATTATTATTAAATGTTAAAATATTTATTCAAATAGCTGTAAGACTAATAAGTGTAAGCAGGTATTTGCTATTTTATTTTTATGGATTCTTTTATTTATAATCGCTACTGTCATACTTTTGTTTTATTTTTTTTATTATGTATTTTTACCAACTTTTTTCTAGTTCTTTTTAAATCTTTTATTACATATTAATATTTCAGATTTATTTTCTGTATTAACAATACTTGAGACTCCAAAGGTGCACATATATTGTAGCTTCCCATACTGTATTGTTTGAGTGTTCCTTAAAATCATTACAAAAAACAAATGTTCAAATCAAATGTATTTTTATTAATTCAATAATTTAGTCTTGGGTATATTTATAATTTATTTGTATAGCTTTAAGTTTAAAACAGCACAAATAACTAACAAGTACCTTTGAAGAATATTTGAACAACTTTGGTAGTTCTTGTTTTCTGTCATTAAAATTAATGAAATTATATTTCATCGAGAACTCTTAAATGTTTTTAAAATTAAAAGTAGTTTTTAAACTAATTTTGATAAAAAATACATCACTTTGGTGCATAATGACAATCAATAATGATTTTTTGAGGAATAAAATTTATAAAAAAAGTAGACTTCATACTCTTTTCATTGTTGCCAGAAATATAATTTATTTCTGTGAAATATAATAAAATTGAAGAAAAAATTAATTTTGATTGAAATTCTCTTTTTTTTTAAATTAGCTTTTCATACTGCATTGACCAAATACTTATGGTGGGTTGGTAAGAGAAATACCTAACATAATTTACTTCCTAAAACATAAATATGATTGCACTTTGTAGCGATGGACCAAGTATTTATAGTCATTGAAAATTTTAAACAATTTAATATTAATATAAAATTTTGATTCAATATCTTTGTGTATATTTCTTAATGTTAGAACTTCGTAGCAAGTTCTTATTTTGTTTATTACTATAGTTTAAAAATATACAATTTCAATTACAATTTTAGTGTTACGTTTAAAAAGCTTTATTGTTTTAAATGTAAACATTTGTTAAATAAAATAATGGTAATGTTAAGAGAATAAATAAAAATATTTAATTACTATTATTATAAGAAATTTTTGTAATAGTTATAGATTCCGGCTTCAATAAAATTATTCTGCAAGTTTACTGTCTCTTTCTTTATGGTTTAATTTTATGTAACTAATGATATCGTAATATTATAAAAATACAAAGATGAACTTTTTTAATTTCTTTTAATAATGAAGTAAGTATACAGCTTACGGTTCCTTAGGAATCCAACATCCCCAAAGACCATACCATGAAGGTCAATAAATATTACGAGCTCACTAATGAACTCACTCGAAATAGGTTCGTAGTAGATTTGTACGCGGTAGAGGTGGGAGTGAGAGGTATAACAGATAAATCTCTCTACAACCTACTAAAAGACTTGGGCCTGTCCAGAACTCATATTAATACATTCTTGGAACGAACTTCGAAGGCAGCCCTAGTAGGTTCTTTTCAACTTTGGTTAGGTAAAGAAAGGAGCTTGGACGGTGGATGTGAGCGTTTAAAGCCCGTTAGATATTGCTCCCTTAAACCCACACCTGGGTCACAAGTCCCAGGCACTGCTGAAGCTCCTCTCACTACAACGATGGACCTGACACCCGCACAGTGAATACATTGAATGCTAAGAGGTTTCGTCTCAGAAGAAAAGATCAGAATATATTCAAAATAACTTTATTCATAGCAAGTCCATACTGTCAGCTATACTTTCAGCATCGTTATTCACAGTTTGGTTCAGCATTTGTGTGACTCGTAATTTAATCTCCTCGTCGGCTACAAGATGCTCCACTTGTACTGACTCCTTGTTACCGCAACCCATTACTGAAAACATAATTGAAGTATTCAATAAAACTATAATAAATTTGTCATGTATTATGCTAAGCAGCAAAACTGAATGACAAATTGATATGATAAAATAATATACAAACATAGTACTTGACATCATATTATTATTTAACAATACCAACCAAGTATAACTTTGTTTTGTTCTATATTACTATTCTTTGATATAATTTAAATAGAAAATATATACAGTAGAACTCCAATTATCCGAATTAATGGGGACCGGGACCCATTCGGATAATCAAATATTCGGATAATCGGAGTTTTTTTTTTATTGCCATTGGAGAGAAAAAAAAGTTACGTTTTGATATTGCGCTATTTTTTCATTGAATTAAATGAAAGAAACATGATATTTTCACATGTTTTAAATATAAAAAAGTTGTACTTATGTACAAGTTTAGAAATAAAAATCATTGTTTTTTAAACATCTTCGTCAATGTAAGCTGTTTTGCGGTCATAACTTGCCGTTGTGCCTACACTGACTTCGCGGAGCGAAGAATAATAGCGCACTTAGACTTTTTTTGGACAATTTTTTTTCTGAAAGTGATTCGGATAATCGGCGATTCGGATAGTCGGAGTTCGGATAATTGGAGTTCTACTGTAATAAAAATCCACCAAAACATGCAGGATTTAGTCAAACAATTTTTCAGTTTTTCACAAATTAAGAATTTCTTGTTCTAATAAATAGACATTATTAAAAGATGTTGTGTTAGAAATATTACCTGGACATAAAGTTTTCTTTTTCCGATTACCTATGAGAGTGATTATGGAATTCCGTTCATACACATGTCCACAGAGAGTGTTCCTTACTGGGTCTTGAATAACTCTTTTTGTTATAGGATCAATCTGTAAGAATATATGATTTAACACCAAAATCTATATTATAAAGCAATTATAAATAATTACTTACAAATGCCTCATTTGTATTAGTTATAGCCACATCGGATTCATCCAAGGTTTCTGTAAATATCACAAAGAAATCTAAGCAAATATTCATTCAAACTATTCTTCTTCTTCCTGGCAATTTCCCAGCTATAGCCAGGGTCTGCCTTACATATTGTGAATAGTTTTGGATATTTGTTTTTACGACCGGCCGCCTGCCTGACATCAACCCTCTTTTGGTAATCAGCATTAATCAGTGATATCTAAATATTCTTAGAAAGTACCTATGACTCGAAAAAATCACATTGGTACTTGCCCGGGTCAGGATCGAACCCACACCCTCGGCAACAAGAGTTGGGCCCTCTAACCATTAGGCCACCACTGATTTCATTATTTAGATTAATATGGGTTATTTTATTATTTTAAAACGAATTGCTCCTGATGTTTCGGCTACTTTCCAGCAACCGTGATCACAGGCAGACAACATATTATGAATGTCTGTCAGTTGGTCTTGTTATTTATAAATAATAAGGTAACACAGTAATTGGAATATTATAGATTCATGTAAATATATCATTAATGATATGGAGATATTATTTTATAGAAAATTTATTAGTATTCATTTACCTTGACTAATCTTTTGCCACTTTTGTATTATTTTCTTCATTTCTAACATGTGTGGATGATTGTTCACTTTGACTTTTTTGGTCATGTCTTTTAAGTTTTTATCAAATCTTTTATCAATGGTATTAATGTTTGATGCATTTGATTCATTCTGAAAAACAATTGAAACTATCACTAGGAGCCATTCAAAATAAAAGCGGTTTTTTGTAATGAAGTAAAATATTTATTTACCTTGATTTTTTCGGAAACTTCTCTCAATACATTTTGTTCTGCTTCATGTATGCAATAACGTTCCAAATAAGATTGAAGTGTTGTGAGTTTCTCTTCCTGATCCTCGTCTAAATATTTTATTACATTTTCCGAACATTTATACAGTTTACTTACGCACTGTTTTCGTAAGGTCTCTAGTTCGGCGTCAACCATTATAATTGTGTTAAATTTAACTTCCTTTACTCAAATCTCTATTTGTTTTGGATGTATTATAATATTTTTGTTTTTGAAGTGTCCTCCTCTGACAGCGACAGTCCTATTTGACAGTTCTTGTTATTAATTTGATAAGGTACAGTGTGACTATTAACAAGTATAAAAAACCATTTTATGAAGTAAATAATTGAACTATTTATTTATAATTTTAATTTCAGACAACTGGTGTGAAATATTCTGTTTTATATAAAAATTATATTATTTAAAATAAATTATACTTAAATAAATATTTTAGTACCACACCTTGTTAATTTTAAATAATCAAAATTTTAATTGGTCAACAAATAAAATTGATCAAAAATTAACTTTGAATCAGATTTACCCGTGACTTCCCTTATATTACCGTCAACCTCTTTCGGTTTACAATTTTATATGTGAAAAAAAAAACTAATCCTTATTAAGTATCTTTATAATCAATTTCAAGTAAATTTATTGAGTTATATTTTGATGTGTTATTTATGCAAGAAAGTCTGGAAGCTGCCTGATTTTAATTGGAATACGAAAACTAGTGGTGCTATAAATACGAATGTTACTCAAGTTTTGATATTCTTTACAAGAAAGAAACAGTACTGAAAATGTTATTTTGGGATTATTATTATATAAATAAAAGATAGTCTTCTATATTTTTATTATATTAAAAAATAAATAATTTATTATCTACAGTGCATGATACATTATACAGGTATAGTTATACTGAAAATAAAATTATATTTAAAGTCTCTTGATCTAAGTAGGTATTAAGCGATTATAATATTATAGTCCATATATATGTATATAAGGCTGTGTTCACACTGTAACGCCAACATGTCCGAGTGCGGCGGACAGTTGTTTGAGTTGTTCCTTCATGTCTGTAGAGGAGAGGCCACGACGAGCTCCTATAACCTTGAAGGCGTTCAAATATTCCAATTCCGAGAACTGTGGACCTTTCTCACGGACCGATGTTATGATCTCCTGGTAATATTAGGATGGATTAATATATAAAGACTATGAATAATAATACATATGATAATAGTATTGACTAATGAGTAACCTCGGGTGTGCAGGCTAGTAAGTGCATGTAAGCGTGTGCGGCGTGAAGGCCGTCGTGAGGCACCGACAGCGCGGCCAGGCAGTGGCGCAGAGCGGCGAGGCGGGACACCGCGCCTGCACCCACCACACCCCTCGCACCCTCCGCACCCCTCGCACCCTCCACGGCCGCCGAGCTCTGCCAGCGCCACACCACCGCCGCGGACATCATCTCACCGATACCGTTCATTATGTACTGCGGACATAAATTGCTAATAGAGCTCACGGTTTCTTGGGAAATCAATAGTCCGTAATGCATGGCTTTACTAACAACTATTAAGAGCTGACTAACGGATTCACTCGTCATGTATGTAAGGTAATATGTATGTATGTATATATGTATGTATCTTCTTCTTCTTCTACCTGGCAATTTCCCGCCTATATATGTCTGCCTTACATGTTTGTGAATAGTTTTGGCTAATTGTTTTTACGACCGGCCGCCTGCCTGACATCAACCCTCTTTGGGAATGCATTAATCAGTGATGTCTAAATATAGAGAGTACATATGACTAGTATATGTATGTGTGTGTGTGTGTGTGTGTGTGTGTGTGTGTGTGTGTGTGTGTGTGTGTGTGTGTGTGTGTGTGTGTGTGTGTGTGTGTGTATGTGTGTGTGTGTGTACGTACCGTCATAGCGGCGGGTGTGAGTATGTTCGCCGCGTGTTCGTGTAAGGCCAGCAGCCTGTGCGCCAGTCGCGCGGCCCCCCCCGCCCCGCCGGCCTCCTCCCCGTCCCCCGGGCCCGCGACCTCCTCGCGCTCCTCCTGACCGAGGTAGTGGAAACATTCGATGCGGACCTGACGACAAATATTGTCATAGTGTTTCATTAGCATATAAAGACAGTAGTAAGTAGGAAAAAATAATGTTCAGTTTATTATCATCGTAGATAGAGTAGCTTATATATATTATGACGCTTCTCGAAACCGACGCAAAGTCCACCTAAAGACCATTTTTATACACGACCATCCTATTACTGGAACATTCAAAAACATTCTCGTTAATATTTCTATTTGTTTACATGAACATGAACAAAACGAATGTTCTAGTAATTGTGTTGATAATAGTTTCGTTATTCGTCAGGAGATGGCGCTGGCGTTGAAGTTCGAAAACATTCACAATATTTGATTCTTTTTGTTAGGACGGCGACCGTATGTATAAATAGGTTTAAACTTACTGGTTTTAATTATTCAACAGCATATTTCTGTAAGATATGAGTGATTAATTATACATATAGTTATATCATGTCATCTCACCTAATCTACAGCATAGTTCTAAGGAATATTTAGAAAAATATAATAATATGTACGATAACACATATTTTATTTGTTATGGATTTTTATGATTATTTGAAATTAATCTTATCACATATATAAAAATCCATAAAGAAAATTTAGCTATATATAAAATAAAAACAAAACCTCTATAACACATTGTATACTGTGTCAATGTAATTATAATTAATCTTAATGACCATTTTCAAGGACATACTGGTTCAGTCGTAATAGTGTCTGTGCTATGACATCCCAGTAGTCTCGTGTTCGAACCCAGATTGTACTAAGCTCATATATTAATTATCAATATACAGGGTGACTGGTGAATTACTATCGATATTTGAGGACGTGATATTTGACGATCATATATGTCAAAATAAAAATTAATATAACACAAATATTAATAAACTTCTAAGTAAAGTTAACCAAAAGTTATGTAATTAATTACGCATCGTGTGAACACCCTACAGATTAGGTATACATACACGCGCACACATACTCGTGCGGCGGCGAGGTGTTGTATCAGCACGCCGCCGCTCGCGTCCACACTTGGAACACTTGGAACGTGTCAACACTTTATTTATTTATACGGAATTTTTGTCAAAAATTAAGTGCCTATTTTTTTACATAATTCGAATGAGAATCATGTACCGAGTATTCTCCTTAAATATTGATAGTAATTCACCAGTCACCCTGTATATCTTATATATAAAATTCTCGTGTCACAATGTTTGTTCCCATACTCCTCCGAAACTTAATCGATTCTCATGAAATTTTGTGAGCATATTGAAGGTCTGAGAATCGGCCAAGGGTTGTTCACCCTAATTTTCTTTTTAATGTTTGGACCAAATTTTTGATTTTTATTTTCTTATAATGTGACATTAAAATATACATACAACCCCAAATATTAACTTTTTTATCACCAACCCCCAAAATATGGCCCCCCATATTAAAAATTATAATGCCAAACATTGTTTGCGGGGTCATCTAGTATTATAACAAGTCCGTACCTCCAAATGTAGGAACAGTAGACATTTTTGTGCGATGTCTTCAAACACAGCGGCGGTCGCTTGTATTTCGTTGATGAACTTCTCCGACAGTTTGATCCCGGGAGCGGACGGCGAACTCGCGCTCATTATACTCGGTAAGGTTTTAATCTTCTGAGACAACCACTCCTGGGAATATATATATATAGAATAATGTTATATATTATATAAATGGCATAAAAATAACAAACTATGCTTTAATATGGTGGGATTTTGAAATGAAACGCTTATTTTATGATATTAAAAATCACATGCTCCCAAAAATGTGGATCGCTTCACGATTTAACGTGTCATCCTTCATGAAAATCTCGTAGTAATCCGAATAATGTTAGTTTCATTTAAATGAATACTTGTGAAGGTCTTAGACATCATTGGTGGGTGTTTTATTAATGTGTGTACACGTGTCCTTGTGTGTACATGTGTCCATGTGTCCATGTGTGTACATGTGTCCATGTGTGTACATTTGTCCATGTGTCCATGTGTGTACATGTGTCCACGTGTCCACCGACCATGCTCTCGCTGAGCAGCGCCAGTTCCACGAGCGTGTCTATCTTGTGTGTGATCTCTCTGCCGGACACCTCCCCGTCACCAAGACTCGACCCGAGGATCTCCGCCTCACGCTCGTACGCTTGCTTCAGTTCCTATAAATATATAATTGCATGATTATTTTAAATAAATCGATTTTAACGTATAGTAGGATATTATTCAGTTCAATGTACTAATAGAGAGGGAATTGAAGTTTTCCAGAGATTAAGATGAAAATTGGATATTTTGTTTTCATCAAAACCCATGACTTTAAATGTTTATGTCTATATTCGATTAGTTAACATTATTATAAGTGAAATTTTTAAATGATTCTCAAATTGAATGAATTCTTTTTTGTCAAATGCAAAAACCTATATGTCTGTCGCAACAAAATCATTATTTTTGTTCTTCACCCGGAGACTTGTTACAAGGAACTTTAGATGCCAGACTTGAGTCTATCTAGATTCAATATTAGATAACTTTATACACATTAGATAAATTTATATGTCATCATGAGCTCTGAAAGTAGTAGAGTTTCCTAATATACCGAAGGATGGCTAAACTTTTATTCCTGTATGGAATATATGAACGTCCATTATTCTTGAGACACCCAAAAAAATTTAAATGAAACTAATATTTTTCGGATTATGCTACGCGATTTTATTTTTGTAAAAAACCACATACCCTCAACGTTTCGGCTACTTATCAGCAACCGTGATCGCCACTTGTAGTTTCTTACAAAAAGTCGCATAGTATACATAATCCCAAAAATATTAGTTTCATTTAAATGAATACTCGCAACCAGTGGCGGCTGTATCTTAAGTGCACTCGTGCGCTGAACCACCAATTCAAAAGATTTAAAAATTACAAAATATTACTTCATATTATTTTTAAATTACCATTTTAATATTTATTTTCTAAACATACAAAAACGTATAAAAATTAAATTTCTAATTATAGTCAAAAAGTTTGAGCGCTTTAATACATTAATATCTCGTGCGCTTCGGCGAGTGCACGAGGACTGCTAATACATCTTGTATGAGATACGCATTAACACGCCTGACGCGTGAAACAAAAGATAGTTCATAGAAATGTACCGAGTAATGAGTCGGTTCTCGAGCGCCGCACGAGCGGCCGAAGATTACCGAGAGCACCCGATATATGACGAATTGGAATTGAAAAGAATCAAAACTTTTCTCCGAAATACCATGCACTTGTAACATGCACTTTCTGTGCTTAGTGAAAAAAATAATTATACAAACAATATCCGATTTTAATAAAAATTTGATTGAATATTTCGCTTCAGAAAAATGTCGTCGCATTGATTTAATGTATAATAAATAAACATAGTTTATGTCAATTGGTTTTTTGTTACATTTTCTAATTTAATATTTTACTAAAGTGCACCACCAGTTCGATAACCCACCAGCCACCACTGCTCGCAACTCTTAGATCTCATCACCAAAAACATGTCAAACAATTCCCTACCTTATCCGTGTAGTCTTGTCTCTGTACTACAGCCATGTAGTTAGGTAGTGCGGTGAGGAAGCGTACGATGTCATCATCGGCCAGCCATCGTGCAGCTCGGGCGGGCGGGGGCGGCTGTAGGGTGGAATGTGCGAGTCGCGCGTGCTGAGCTAGGGCGGAGAGCGCTGGGCGGCTGGCACGGGCCGCCCACACCCCACCGCACGAGCCGCAGCGACGCGCGTGGAGCGCACACGAATATATACCCGACCACGCCTCCACACAACACGATAACACTGGACGATCACTCTCACTGTAAACATACACATAATGATATATATACGTACTAGAAGACCCGGCGAACTTCGTATCGCCCTATAATCAAGAAATATCTGTTACGTTTTTTTATTTATATTTTTGGAGTTTACCTGTTAAAGCCATAAATCTCCGTCTTTTGAAGTGCGACAGAATGATTGATATATTAGTTAGTTGTCAAATCTAATGTCAAAAACAACGTTTGTATCAACAACAACTAATAAATTAAAAATTGTGAATCTAAACCATTCCCAGATCCCCTTGAACACACACAAAAAATTTTATCAGAATCGATCCAGTCCTTTGAGAGAAGTTCAGTGACATACACACTCACGGAAGAATTATATATATAAAGATATATATTTCTCATGTAACAATGTTCGTTCCCGTATTCCTCAGGAACGGCTTGACCGATTCTCATGAAATTTTGTGAGCATACTGAGTAGGTCTGAGAATCGACCAACATCTATTTTTCATACCCCTAAGTAATAAGAGTTGATCAACCTTAATTTATTTTTTATATTGTATCATTAAAAAATACATAAAACCCAAAATTTTTACTTTTTTATCACCAACCCCTATTTTTTATATGGCGAAATTTCTGTGAGAGGGTGGTACTTTCCCGGTCGAGCCAGCACATGTTCGAGCTATAGTAACTGACCACAGCTAGGCTCTACAACGTAAAATATACTTGAAGGGCGACAGGGCATATAATATTCCTCACAATTACTATTTATACCATAAAGTTAATCTGATACTAGATGGACCACCACAGAAAACTAAAGGTCTAACTAAAGTGGTTATCTACATATCATCTAGAACTATAATATCATCGATGTAGGTCTAACCGTCCAGATACCATGACCCTCTCCCTCCAGGCCCCCGGGGCCTTGACGGCGGCCTCGACCGCGGCGCGGGCCTCGCGGGATAGACGCTCGGTCTCACACCACCTCACGTAGTCCGACACGAACATGCGGAGGGAACACTCGCCTGCACTGAAACATACACGAACATATTACATGATACATGATAGTGTACCATTAGTATTTTAGATGGCTACTTATCGCTCAAAGATTCAGAGAGTGAAAGCAGAAAAGAATTCGATATTCCGTACAAAATTTCGGGACCTCAACAAATAAGATCAAAAAATTTGTTACAGTCTTAAAAATTATCGTTTTAAAGAGGCTTTGGCAACAATAATCCAAAACAAAAAAATATTTTTAACCGTCGATCATCAGTGCTATTCTTATCAAGTTCACGAAAATTTCGTAACCAAAACTGAAGAAACTAGATATGAATGTTATCATGAAGAGGCAGGTACGAGGATTATTTTTCAAGCTTCTAAAGCAGAACCAGGCTCAAGAATTTTAATTAAGGCCTGTGATACTGACGTTTTAATTATTTTGATGGGAAATATGCACAAACTGATGGAATCTGAATTTTGATATTGTCGAAAGAACCGAAACAGAGAGTGATGACGAAAAAGTACAGATGTCGAAGATCTCAGTTTTATGTCCGATGAAGGTCGCTTTATATCGGATCTTAGGCTATATAGTATGTTTCTGGTTCAAATTTAGTATTCATGCATTTCGCTTTATATAATTCTACATATTTTAATTTGATATGAAAACATATATTTTGTCGCACACAACAATCTAATTCACTATAATATATTTACCCGGGTTTCTCTATGAGCGCACACAGAGCGTGTAGGGCCGGCAGCGCGGCGTGTAGTAGCGCCGGCTGCGGCGTGCACACTAACGGATAGCGGTGACGACGACCACGGACAGACGGCGGGGGGGACGCTGGGGAGAGGGGGGGGGGCACGTTAACACACACACACACACACACATACACGTATACTCATAGTGAGCATGTGTATGTGACGAAAGTATAATGACACATTTATTTATAAGTAACTGTATTTTTGTATGTGTGAGTATATATATTCAGCCAAAAAAAAAATTATAACAAACTAGTTTTTGCCCGCGACTTCGTCCGCGTTAATTTCGTCGTTAGTAATATATGAATAGCTGACCGGGCGAACTCTATTCCGTCTTAAATAACCAGGTATTGGTATTTATTAAATTTTTCCTGTTTCGATCCGGCAGAATGATTGACATATTAGTTAGATGTCAATTCTTTTGTCAAAAAAACATTTTTGAAATGAATCAATTTTGTTCAGATTTTAAACCTTCCCTGAACCTCCACGAACATTACAAGACTAAGATAAGATAAATCCGTTCAGCCGTTCTCAAGTTTTAGTGAGACTAACGAACAGTAATTAATTTTTATGTACATATATAGATAGATGTAGCTATCTAAAGTGTCTCTCATTTAACGTTACCTATAGTCGACTTATGTATATAAGTACACCAACTTTAATCGACCGCTTTATATGAGTTGGAGACAAAAATATATAATTTTCTAAGGCAATATTTTGTTAGACAACATGTAACATAATTAACGCACACCCTCAAACACCCAAATTAGAATATAATAATATAAACGCAATGCATACACCAAATATCATTTATATGTGCGTTTGCATTGTTTATTTGTGAAATTAGTTATCCCAATTTCGTGCATGTAATATGGTCAGCTATTCACCAACACTCCGCTGCACACGCACACACAGACAAACACAATGTACTACTCTCTCCGAGTGCCGTCCGACAATAATAAGAAGTAGGTAATAAGTATACGAAATAACTACATTATGATTTATGATTCTTCTTTCCATCACACTTTTCAGGCTTTAGATTGTCGACATTGATTTTTTTTTAATGTGAAGCCAATATTTTATAATTACTGATTTGTTAAATTAAATTTGTAAATAAGAATTATTAAACAGCTTATAACGCGTGATTTGATTAGACACCACAATACCTACGACAAAGTTAAACAAAATCGACGTGTTTAAATGGTGTGAATCAAAATATTTACAATAATTTAAAGATCATAAACAAACTTAGTTTATTTTGCACTCGCACGGCGTTGTCGTTTTAAAACATTTTAAAAATGTCCACTGCCTTGTTCAATCACTTTAATGACCGTTTTCCCAATTGTGGTTTTATTTAAGATAATACTGCAGTGTCACTTTTAATTTTTACAAAGGCGGTTATTATCTTATTTTCAAGTTTTTGGGCACTTGTTGTCTCTGTGTTATAAACTAGCGATTTATAACCAAACAAAGTCGAGTGGCGTCAAATCAGCTGATCTAGGAAGTCAATGGACACGTGCGTAGGTATTTGATGCGTGCGTAGGTATTTGTAAAATACTATTTTAGCCTTGAAACAAGTATCAGTTTTCTTTAATAATTGAATGTTGATTACTAATTTAATATTTCATTTTTAAAATCTTAATACTCTGACTTACGATCCATTTTCGTTTCTATGAAGTGTTTAGATAACTGTGTGTAGGATGACTGTAATTTACTTAGTTCTATCTTAATTTGAGAAAAAAATGATCTACATAAAAAACTATCAAAATCGATCCAGATTCCGATTCTGAACATATTACTGTCAGGGTGTGCCTTAATTATGTTACATATTGTATATGTATATTAATATATGTTCTAGTAGTTATTTCCCCATACTCATAAGTTTGAATAGCTTGTCGCGTCTCCTCTGCGGCTTCTTCTTACTGAAGTAGTCGCTCAGTTTGAGTTCAGCGACCGGCTCGGGCGGCCGCTGGGAGGACAGCGCCACACTCTCTATCTCGAGATACTCCGTCAGTAGGAGCTGCATCTGATGTAAACAATGTAATACATTATGTATTATTATCTTTATATATATAATTCTTCTGTGAGTGTGTATGTCACTGAACTTCTCTCAAACGACGACCGATTTTGAAGAATTTTTTTTTGTGTATTCAAGGGCATCTGGGAATGGTTTAGATTAACAATTTCGTCCGCTGGACAATATTTTTTTAATTAATTTTTAATTTTTTAGTTGTTGTTGATACAAACGTTGTTTTTGACATTAGATTTGACAACTAACTAATATGTCAATCATTATGTCGCACTTCAAAACACGGAGATTTATGGCTTTAATAGGTAAACTCCAAAAATATAAATAAAAAAACGTAACAGATATTTCTTGATTATAGGGCGATACGAAGTTCGCCGGGTCTTCTAGTATGTATATACAGGGTGACTGGTGAATTACTATCGATATTTGAGGACGTGATATTTGACGATCATATATGACAAAATAAAAATTAATATAACATAAATAATAATAAACTTCTTAGTAAAGTTAACCAAAAGTTGTGTAATTAATTACGCATCGTGTGAACACCCTACAGATTAGGTATACACACACACACACACGCGCGTGGCGGCGTAGTGTTGTATCAGCACACCGCCGCACGCGTCCACACTTTGAACACTTGGAACGTGTCCACACTTTATTTATTTATACGGAAATTTGGTCAAAAATTAAATACCTATTTTTTTTACATAATTCGAATGAGAATCATGTACCGAGTATTCTCCTTAAATATTGATAGTAATTCACCAGTCACCCTGTATATTCAGATTTAAATATCTGCATGATAGATCAGTTAGACAATTTGCTCACAAGCGATATCCCCACTAATATTATAAATGCAAAATAACTCTGTCTATCTGTCTGTTACGCTATCACGCCTAAGCCACTGAACTGATTTTAATTAAATTTGGTACAGAAATAGAGTTGACCTTGAGAAAGAACATAGGATAATTTTTATCCCAGACTTTTGAAAGGTTCTCTTGGAAACGCGATATAACCGAACTCCACGCTGGCGAAGCTGCGGGCGGAAAGCTAGTACTAGATATTTAAGGTCAAATACCCCTTGGGTTGCATTTTTTGTTCCTATGCATTTAGTAAGTACATATATAATAAGTATATCTCCCCACCACTTGCTGCACGGCGCTCCAGTAGTGTTGCTCAGTGTGAAGCGTCTGGTCAGATATTTTGTGTTTTGTTAACGCGGCGCGCCACAGCTGTAGCAAACTGAAACGAACAAATGACGTCATTACATTTGTGAATAGTAACTCCAGGATATATACTTGAATTTCTTCGTTCTGAAGAACCTAAGACAGTCCCCATTTGCTCTCGCTCTCTCCCCCCGCCTCCCGTATCTTCCGTCCCGCTCCCTCCTCCTTACCGTCTGTTCCTCGTGCCGCCAGCCTCGAACTCCTCAGTCAGACAGTGTATGAGCCTGGTGAGCGGTCTCCCCGTCTCGCTCTCTCCCCCGCCTCCCGTATCTCTCCATCCCGCTCCCTCCTCCTTACCGTCTGTTCCTCGTCCCGCCAGCCTCGAACTCCTCAGTCAGACAGTGTATGAGCCTGGTGAGCGGTCTCCCCGTCTCGCTCTCTCCCCCAGCCTCCTGTATCTCTCCGTCCTCTTCTCCCTCCTCCACGTCTCCTTCTTCTATGATCCGTCGCGACACTGAGTCGATCACTTCCAGCAGCTCGTTCTGTATTTGAACTTTGAACTTCTGTAAGGATACAAACATGTTAATTAATGGCAGTCTAGATACTTATTTATTCTTGGTGGTCAGGTGCAGTGCGTCCTGCGTGTGCGTGTTTGCACAAGCGAGAGTGGATGACTTTTACGCAATGCTCAGAAAAAAGACTGCTTCACTGCTTGCCCGAATAAGAACCAGTTCTAATATTATCCTGAAGATGTTGGCAGATAAGTGGGATGGGAAAATGTTAAGCTACTTCATAAAATTGCTTGTTTATAAATAGTTGATTTTGTTCTCGAAATTATGAAATTATTATGTATTTAAAATTAAAATTTATTAATAATTATAAAACTATTTAAGTGAAATTATAATAATTAAATTAAACAATATTAATTAAATTGAATTATTAGATAACATTTCTTTAGTAATTGAAATGAATTGATAACAAATTATAAAACACGATTTATAAATTGGTGAATTGTATTAAAGTAATTGGATTGAACTATGAAATTAATTAATATGTATTAAAAATTAAATCTTAAAAATTAATTATTTATATTTGAACTGTATAGCAATTAAATTAAATAATACTAATTAAATTGAATTATTTATTAATTAGATAATAGTTTAATTGTAAATGTAATTACATAGTTAATTAATAATAAATTATGTTGTTACTTTACTTTATTTGTTACGTTACTTTATTTTTATTACATTAGTATAAGGAAAATGTGTACTAAAAAAGATGGCTCAAAGATGCCTAAATAAATAAAATTATTATTATTATTATTATATAAATTGCTATCTAACTGGAGCTATATAACTATTAAACTCTGAACATCTTTATTGAGTCAATCCTATATCATGTAAGCCAGTTATTCATCTAAGTTTATTATAAGTGGTCTCCGTACCTCGGTGGCCTCCTTCAGTTGTTCCAGTACTCCAAGCGCCTCCATACATATCATGACGTTGTTCTCGAAGGTTCTGTCCTCATCAGCGAGGGACGCTTCGTACTCCGGGGTAATATCTTGTAGGAACGAATCCGTCACCTCCTCGCTCTTCGTTAGCTCTGAAATATAAATACAGGGTGACTGGTGAATTACTATCAATATTTAAGGAGCATACTCTGTACATGATTCTCATTCGAATTGTGTAAAAAAAATAGGTACTTAATTTTTGACCAAATTTCCGTTTAAATAAATAAAGTGTGTACACGTTCCAAGTGTTCCAAGTGTGGACGCGTGCGGCGGCGTGCTGATACAACACTACGCCGCCGCCGCGTCTGTGTGAGTGTGTGTGTATACCTAATCTGTAGGGTGTTCATACGATGCGTAATTAATTACATAACTTTTGGTTAACTTTACTTAGAAGTTTATTAATATTTATGTTATATTAATTTTTATTCTGTCATATATGATCGTCAAATATCACGTCCTCAAATATCGATAGTAATTCACCAGTCACCCTGTATATGTAATATTATTTCTGCTCTTCATCTTTGTATGTATATATATTAAGAAACGATATTTCAGCGAGATGATTCTTAAAATTAGAATTTTGTTAGTATTATGACTAATAGAAGAAAGACGATATGTTAACATAGTGACATGTAAAACAAAACATATAAAAGAACATAGTCTTCTGATTAACATAGTATATGAAAACGCCTGGACGTAACAATTAATATAACACAAAACGTTTAAAAGAAATGTATAACTAGTTTTGTTGCTAAAAGCTTTAGGTATTTTGTCTACATTATAATTTCACTTATAACACAGTTTTTGAAAACTATAAAAGACCTGAAATTGATGTGTGGATGAGAGTAAGAATTAATTCTTATTACATACTATTTCATGCAAAACAGAGAGAGCTACCTAATATGTAGATTATTCATCACGATAAATTGTTTAGTTCTCGCGACAAATGAAGGTTGTATTACGTTTGTTTTATTACGTTATTCAGACAATAGATGGCGTTGTGTGTTGTTTCCCAGTTTCCATTTACCTATCTTTATTAAAGACTAGCTTTCCGCTCGCAGCTTCGCCCGCGTGGACTTCGTTTATATCGCGTTTCCAAGAGAACTTTTCAAAAGTTTGGAATAAAAACTATCCTATGTTCTTTCTCAAGTTCCACTCTATCTCTGTACCAAATTTCATTGAAATCAGTGCAGTGGTTTAGGCATGAAAGCGTAACAGACAGACAGAGTTACATTCGTATTTATAACATTAATAGGGATTTTATCAGTTAATATTAATATATTCATAGTAACCGGCCAGTAGTAGCGCGGTCCTCCTCCGGGCTGACAGTCGTCTGTTGAGAGGTGCTCGCTCGTCACGATACACCGCGTCACTCAACCGGCTCACTATCACGTCAACTAACTCCTGCTTCTTAGCCTATCATGATTAACATCGATTAAAATACATTTATTATCAAATACATACCTACATTGGGAAAATACTTAGTTATAATCAAGTTAAAGTTGTGGTTAAAGGCCCGCCTCTCATGCAGGGCGCGGGTTCGAAAACTAGCAAGTACCAATGTGGATTTTCGAGCCATATGTACTTTATCAGAGTATTCAGACACTACTAAGAGACGTCGAAGCAAAACATCGTAAGGAAATCTGAACTTATAATTTCAAATTATAAATTTGAAATCGCCACCCGTCTTTAGCGAGCGTGGTGATTAATGCTTAAACCTTCTCCATGTGAGAAGAGGCTTAGCTGAATTTGCTCTGATAGGCTGATGAATCGAGTTGAGTGATATCTTTATATATATAATTCTTCCGTGAGTGTGTATGTCACTGAACTTCTCTCAAACGACTGGACCAATTTTGATGAAATTTTTTGTGTGTGTTCAAGGGGATCTGGGAATGGTTTAGATTCACAATTTCACATTAGATTTGACAACTAACTAATATGTCAATCATTCTGTCGCACTGCAAAACACGGAGATTTATGGCTTTAATAGGTTAACTCCAAAAATATAAATAAAAAAACGTAACAGATATTTCTTGATTATAGGACGATACGAAGTTCGCCGGGTCTTCTAGTATATATATAAGGTTCTATATAGGTGTCAATAGATGGCGCTGTGTTGATGTACCTCTAGATGGTCGGTTGTGGTGCTGAGCGCGGTGACTGCGGGCAGTTCGGTCCTGGCCGTCATGAGAGCCGCCCGTAGAGCATGCGCCGCGCCCACAACACGCCCCGCCGCGGTCAACTCACGAGCCTCGCGCTCACACACGACCACACGCTCACTGCAACACATTCACACTTAATAATCACGTGTACGGTCGAATTATATGTTGGTTTTGATGGTGTAGACTAGTTTTTATTAATATTTTAAGGGGCGTTCTAAAATACGTGAGATTTTTAAAGGGGGAAAGATTTGGGGATGGGGATGGTCAGAAATTACAAAAAACACCTCACGTAATTTATGAACGCCCCCTTACAGGAGTGTAACATTTTTTTTATAATACCAATATTCTTAATAATTCTTCATATATGAAGCGTTGGTGTGAGATGTATGTTATATTGGAATAATGAAACTAAAAATATTATGTAGGCATAATCCTTAGTAGTCAGTGGTGGCCTCGTGGTTAAAGGGTCCGCCTCTCGTTGCCGAGGGCGCGGGTTCAAACCTGGCAAGTACCAAAGTGATTTTTCGGAGTCATATGTACTTTCTGAGATTATTTAGACACCACTGACCTACGGTGAAGGAAAACATCGTGAGGAAACCTGGACTTATAGTTTCACAATTATAAGTTTGAAATCACCAACCCGTCCTGAGCAAGCGTGGTGATTAATGCTCAAACCTTCTCCATGTGAGAAAGAGGCCTTTGCTCAGCAGTGGGCGCTGATAGGCTGATGACGAATCCTTAATACTTAAATTACACTATGCCTTTCGGATTAATTGTAGGATTTATTAAATTACATTTTAACCTACATTTCGATAACTTTACAGAATCTGTAACCACAGACCGACAAGATGAAATCTAGTTAGTCTTGTGGTTATTTTCCTTTGCGCTCTCGCTACCGAAAGATTAACTGCTTCACATATATACATATATAAATTTCCAAGCAGTTATATATCACAATTAAACATCTCTCGCTTAACTCACATATCGGTAAGCATCCGTAGTGCATGGTGATGTGTCCTGGCATCAGCCCACAGTCTTCGGAGGTCATCTCTGCGTACCCTCAGTAGAGCCCTACAAGCCGCCAGCCGAGCCTCCGCCGCTGAACAATGTTGACCCCAAGAACTCAATGCTGTACTCACTAAACTGAATTTCTGTGAACAGACAAAACCTCTCATCATTCCATGTATTCACCATGCGGGTGTTGGGTCCATCGTTGTAGGGAGAGGAGCTTCAACAGTGACTGGGACTTGCAACCCAGGTGTAGATTTAAGGAACCCCTATCTAACACACATTAAACACTCACCTCCACTGTCCAAACTCCTCTCTCTACCCAACCAAATTTGTAAACTATCACATTGAATAAAATTATTAAGTTATATTATAACTGTTATATGTCCATTCTTAAAAATCTGATGTCAAGTGTAATGTAAGTAGATTATTTTATTATGTATATCAATTTTTGTCATACAGTCTTGCTATTTACCACCATACATAGATGACAAATTTTATATAGTTTTATTGTATACTACAATATCACAATGATATAAATATCTGCTGCAGCAAAATAATAAACACAGACAGTACAAATCTGTGTAACTGGCATTGGATAATTCTGCATATCTCTATGAGAAGCAAATTTACTGTCAAAACTCACAATCCTTTTAATTAAATCTCTTTATATAAATTTTTCCATGGCGAGTAATAAATTCAACACATGAATAATAATTACTTACTATAAAAAATTACTTTAAAAGATTTAGAAAATTATTAAGTTTCAAACATTTTCTGTCAATCTGATTCTATTTCAGATAAGCGGGATTATCTAATACTATCATTAGGCCAATTTTTCACCATCTCTGACTAATTAATAATAATATTGTATTATGTATAAGTAATAAATATTATTATGTATAAGTAATAAATATATACACTCATAACATACCAAGATCCTTCATATCAATAAATATCTTCTGATAAAGTTAATGTTCAGAGTGAAGCAAACATAAAAAAATTGTTTACAAACCAAGACAAAATATGTTAATCTTTTTGAATATCTTAAAATATAAACATTAAAATTAAGTTCAAACATTATTTAATATATGTCCCCTAACAAAATAATACTACAGACCAATTTATATACTATAAGTATGTTAACATTTTATATTTATTGCAATTTATTAAGAGAATATTCCAATAGTTATTCAAGTGACACATTTTATGAGTTATGTTGCTTAAAATATATGAATTTTAAAGAGATGTTGATTCAAAAAGGTTCATAATACTGTTCTGGTGATTAATTTAATATGTAGTATTGTATATTACCTGCATAACATCTGTTATTTCTTGTGCATGAGCAGCCACCAGTTCATCGAGGCGTGCATCACTCTTTTTGTACTCCTTTTCCAATTTTGCTCTTTCTTTCTCTCTCTGTTCATTTGTTTCACTCGCTGATAGTGTTCGGATCACTGACATTAACAAGCCACTCTACAGAAAAAAAGATTCAGTAATCATTATTCATAAAACCATTGCAAGTATAAACTCAACCACCTACAGTATCCATTGCCTGAAGAATGAAGATTATACAATAAAATGGACGAGACTGTTAATAAAGCTTATAAAATAGTCAATAAATTTTGGTCTGTAATACAGTGTGAGGTGCAATTAATAAAAAATGATGTGATTACTGCAATCTATGAACGAGGAATGTTTACGCACAGTTTCTTTTCCCTGTTTCACTCCTCGCGGTGGTTTAGTGGGGGGCGGTGAAGACATGTTTAATACTTTGTTATAAATTTAATGAAACAATTCAATCGTAGTTAAACAGTTAAAGTTTACTGTTTAGTATTTATTAATCGCCAATGAGTGTAGATCCACCCATTTGACATGATAACAGTATTTTGACAGTTGTGATATACTACATAGTATATAGACGTAATTTATTATTACATTATAAGTAATATCTTGAAAAATCTTTAACAACTATCTAATGAAAATGTTTTTTAATCAGTAATAAACCAAAATATTTTCAAATGTACATACACTTCAGTTGCTTGGATAGAGTTGTTAAACAAAAAATTAAATTATAGAATTCAAATCCAACAATCAGAAATTAAAATGTATCTTTTATTGAATTCTCAAATTAGAAAAGTTTATTTTATGCTTTATCACTAATATTAATGGTACATAAACATTTGCCTATTTTTTATGAATCTTATCAGGGAGAGCAACTTTTGATATATTGACATATTTTGCCGTTTTGGATATTTTGAATTTGAAATGTGTTTTTTAAATGTTTTATAAGTTATTTTGTCTAATTTAGATTATTTCATGTAATAATCAAGTTTTAATTATAATATCATTTCTTATATAAACATGGACTATTCCACAATCAGTAACAAAACCAACTTCACGGAGACAGAGGATATAACTGGAGGTGACCTTAATGAAAAATATTTCTTGCTTCGTAAACAATATGAAAATTTGTCAAACAATTACGACCTGATCAAACAAGAACTGCACGAAACCAAACGAAGTTATCAAACCGCTTTAGACATCCAGAGTCATCTTGGAGCTGAATTAGAAAGTTACCAAGCCAATGAAAAGAAACGCTGTGGTGAATTTACATCCAAAATCAATGCTCTGCAGGAAGAATTGTGTGCATTGCGTTTGGAACGTTCGGAGATTATTGAACGGCATGCCAATGAAGTGAAGAAGTTGGAAACTGAAAATAAATTACTGAGAGAGGAACAGGAAACAGTGACAAGATCCTCACCAGTTAAAGAAAATCACGCAGAGACTGATGAATTACGCGTCGCATTATCGTCTGCTATATCAGAAGCGAACGATGCCAAAGCGAGTTTGGATATCGCGAAATCAGAGATAGCTTCCTGGCAATTAAAAGTGGAGGAATTGGCCGTTCAGATAGACGAGATGAGAACCGCCGCTGAGATAAGGAAGGAGGAATTGACCGAAGCTAGAGAACACGAAGCATCAGTACTCGCAGAGCTAGCTGAGGCGAGAGCATTGTTACATCAGATAGATTCACAAGACTTACAACCACATGGTAAGATAGATAATAGAAAATATATTAAACATGAAATTATAAACATTTAATGATATATATTATTTTTTAGCTGCAAAAGGCAACTCACTGTTTGCGGAAGTTGATGACAAAAGACAGGAGATGGCACAGAATTTGATACAAATGAAACAAACTAATTCTAGAGTAAGTATCAATTTAAATGTTGGACAGCTATGCATTATTATTTTAACAGTTATATGTCTAATCAACTATAATTAGTGAAAAATCCAGGTTTTAAGTACTTGTATAAGTAATCATAATCAAATTTGTAAATTATATTCTTAAAACATTATTTAAATTCTTCATATATTTTTCACGATTGTGATGTTATTATATATTTAATTCGTAATCGCCAACCCGTCTTGAGCAAGCATGGTGATTAATGCTCAAATCTTCTCCATGTGAGAAGAGGCCTTTGCTCAGCAGTGGGCTCTGATAGGCTGATGATGATAATGATTATTTATGTTATATAATTTCAGTTAAGAAGAGACTTAGCAAATAAACAAGCAGAATTAGATGCTCTGCTTCATGAGAAACAAACTATATGGGAACAGCAGGCCGGCATGGCGGCACACTATGACCGGGAACTCATTGGTAATAACATTGAGATCTTATATTACAAGTGGCACTTTCCAGGACATACTAATAATAATAAAATATTATCCTTACAATTATATTTATGACTGATTTTAATTAATTACATTATTGAATCATTGTCATTTTATAATGGCAATTTATAAGCATTTTGCTAGACATTACTGGAAGTAATTCTGAACATTGAAAACAAATTTAAAACTGTATCTCTGACACTCATATATGTGATAGTTGGTGAAGATGTATGTGTGTGTGTCACAAAAAATACTGTGCAGATTTTGATGAAACCATACAGTTATAAAGTTTTAACATCCATACAAAAATTTGTTACATACTCATATGAATAATGTGTATATATATGTTATACATACATTTGAAACTTAGAATGCAGAAAACAATTCAAAACTGATATGTGTAGTTTATATCTATAACTTTGTCAGCTTTGGTTGATTGTCAACATAGTTATTGTATAATATATAATGTAACAAAGATTTGTTATAAAAACTTTGTTTCATAACAATTATAAATATTATTTTATCCAATGGACATTTTTATCATATTTTGTAATGTCAAGTGTCAAACAGAATTATTTTAGAACTTCATCTATCACAATTATATTAATATAAATTTATCTATACATATTATAATGATGATAATTATGCAATGTTATATATATCCACAGAGGATTACGAGAGTCGAATAACTCAGTTGGAGGGTATGTGTGAGAGGCAGAGGAGGGAGATATGTAAATGGTTCAACAAACTCGCTGAATCCACGGAGGAGGCCTGGCTGCCTGGTGTATTGGAACATTTAAAGTGGGTTTGTTTTACATACTATACACATAAACTTTTATTATATGAATTTTCTATATCTTCGGGATAGTGTAAATCTAGTAACTAGAAAAGGATAATTCTGCATACATACATTGGAAGCAGATCATCAAAAGAAAGTTCAACCTGAAATATTTTCTATATTAACGACTTTTAAGGTAATTTTTTCACAATTAGTAATTAATTAAACACTAAATATTTTTCAACTAAATTTTTATTTCAGTTTAAACTTTCTTCTGCTTACAATGTAGATACGCGGAATTATCTAATAGTAGTTAAACGGATTTGCACTATCCCCGACGATATATATTATTATTACTCATGTTATTGTCTAATTATGCGGCTAATTCTTCCACAGATAGATTATTGTATCAATTAGTTGTATAAAGTAAAAAAAACTGTCATTTAAACATGACAGTGTAAATTGAAAGTCAAGTAAATTAATGAACAATTAATATACTATTAAATTTTGTTTTATTAATCATTGTTATAGAATTGACATTAACATGTGAGATCGATTAAAACATACGATGTTTTGTTACAATATTACTTCAATGTTGATGGAATATTGATAAATATATAAATATGTAGTTTTCATAATGAGATCTTTCACGAGTATTCATTTAAATAAAACTAATAGTTTTCAGATCACTACGCGTATTATACGTACTTTTTAATCCGAAAAATATTAATTCCATTTAAATATATAGTTTGATGGATTTTGTCATATTTGAATTGTGAGGGTCATGTCACATAGAACGAGTTTATTCTATCAATGTATTGTATCATGTATGCTTATTATTCTATGTATACCAGTCAATGTGAAATTCCATCATCTTTTTGTTTTAGAACCGAATGCGAGAACCTTAGGGCTGAAGTCCTCTCCCGCGGCGCCGCCCAGCTAGCTAGTGCGGCTCAAGTCCGGGAGCTGCGAAGGAAAATAGCCCTACTGACCTCCACAAACACTAAGCTGTCACCAACAATCAGTAATGGCGATAAAGACGATATTCCCCTGGTCAAGCCGGTCAAGTTACGACAGATTGATGATGTTAAGAAACAAGTGTCCTTCAATTGATTTATATATGAACATTTAATTTTTGTACTGTCTTATTATTCGTATAACCATAATATAATGCCTTATATGTACATGATAATTTTGTCTATCATTGTCCTCTATAATACTCCTCAGTATAACGCGCATAAAGTCGAGTGTGTTAGTGTTTAAAAAGTTCAAAATATTTTTAATCCAATTAATATGTAGGCAAGTTAATGTATATAAAATGCTAAAGAAATATTCGCCCGGGGCCGTTTGATCGTTGGCGCGGCCCTAGTTATAATATTCGGATCGAATATCAAATCCTGTTTTGTATAGTCAAATCATTTTAGGTTTTATCTGGGAAAATTATCTGGGAAATTTTTTATGCTTCCATCGTGGTTCATAACTGCAAGGTAACGATCGATCCGCTATTGCTACTTCAACATATTAAATAAAAAAAAATAGAAAATCTTCGTGAATATTTATAATATAATTAATTCCATATCCAATAGCACTATTTAATAATGTTGGCATGAGGTATAGTTTTCTTCTTCTATCTGGCAATTTTCCAGCTTTAGCCAGGGTCTGCTTTAAATGTTGTGAATAGTTCAATACCTAATTGTTTTTACAACCGGCCGCCTGCCTAACGTTAACCCTCTTTGGGAATGCATTAGTCAGTGATGTCTGAATACTCTAAAAAAGTAGGTACATATGAAAAATCACATTGCTATTTGCCAGGGCCAGGGTCGAACCCGCGCCCTCGTGCATGAGAGGCGGGCCTTTTAACCACTAGGCCACCATTGACTTAGGGGCATGAGGTATACTAAATAAAAACCAAAACCATTTGAATGGGATATAGTACGTTTTACTAAAATGTTAAACCTCTATGCAATAAATAAATCTGTCTCGAAACGTATAAATATAAAATAAGAGATTTTTACAAAGTATTACAAATATTATTATTTACTAGCTTTTGCCGCGACTACGTCCGCGTGGAATAGTGACTTCCGGCAGATTTTTGGTTCTTCCCACATAGTTCCCGTTCTTGCGGGGTTTTCGGAATGGTCGAGTTCCCGTAGAATTTTCAGGATAAAATCTGTTTTTTTTTTTAATCACAATGAAGTACTCTTAACCAACAACATATTTATTTGAATAAAGATTAATATTATTATGTTGATACAACTTAAACAAATTATTTCGACCAAATTTGGTACCATAAAAACGGTTTTTGTGAGTTAATCTTAAAAGATAGACATATACTGTCCCGGACTGTTTTTTAGATCATTAAAAGAGCTATTATTCTTTAATACATATTTTTTGTGTATCTTGAACCGTTTTCACGGCGCACGCAACGGAAGGCTTCAAAGATGAAATAATTTCTCCCGTTTTTTACACATTTACCACTATATCTTTGTTCCTATTAGTCGTAGCGTAATGTTATATAGCCCACAGCCTTCCTCGATAACTGGACTACCCAACACAAAAATAATTATTCAATTCGAACCAGTAGTTTCGGAGATTAGCGCTTTCAAACAAACAAACAAACTCTTCAGCTTTATAATATAAGTATAGATTAGAAAGCAATAGAGATACGCCTTGGTGTACGGTGTTCAATATCGTATGTGTATTTTAGTTGCTTTCTCAACGCTTTAATCCGAAAACCGTTAATTTTACAGAAAAACTGCAGTAAACATTTTTTGTAGACAATTTTATGAGGAAAAATTTTTATAATGACCCCCTATTGACCTCCGAGTTAAAGATAGCGAAATATTAGCAAAAACCTGATTTTCTTGACCTTTGTAATTTTTTTAGCCTGCACTATATCGATGTCGATTTCTGACAACTTTATAATAAAGATATATCCAAAAATTCAGCTCACAAGGAATTTTTCCCAGATTGGGATTTAAAATGCCTCAAATGACTGGTCTATAGTCAGTGGCGGCTGGTGGGTTATCGAACTGGTGGTTCACTTTACTAAAATATTGACAAAAACAACAATTGACATAAAATATGTTTATTTTTTGTACATTAAATCAATGCGACGACATTTTTCTGTAGCGAAATGTTCTATCACCTTTTTATTAAAATCTGGTATTTTTTCTATAAATTTCTTTTCAATACTAAGCACAGAAAGTGCATTTAGCCGATCCTGAGACATGGTATTTCTGAGAAAAGTTTTGATTCTTTTCAGTGTCGAAAAACATCGCTCGCTCTCTACTGAAGTCATTGGTATAGTATAGATGCTCCTTCATAATTATATCCAACTCTGATACAAAGTCTATTAATCCACGAAACACTCCAGCATTACTGGACTCAATAGTTTCATCGTGACCTCGCAAAGCTAACTCAAATGCACCACAAAACTTGACACAATCGATAAGACGTGATAAAATGTATCTGTTTTTATCAACTTGTTTATTATACTTTTGGATATTACTTCTATACACAGAATCTAGCTGATTACGAATATCGACTGTGCCTAACACAGACAAACTCATTACATTTTGTAGGTGTACTTGTGAAGAATCGTGTTTTTTTATATTTTCACTTAAATGCGTCAAATCCTTGATTCCAGTTTCTGTCCAAATCGATTCTCCGCCAAAAATAATGCAAGGAAAACAAAAGAATGCATTAAGACGCTCACATCCACACAACCATTTCTTTCTATTATACATTTCACTTTTAAAACTTCGTATAAATGCTTTATTTTTGCAATTTACACTCTTGTTTTAAATTTAAAAAGGGCCATGGCGGCCCGGCCAATTTTATGTTCACTTTACTTTGAAAAATTTTGTTATTTTCTTTAATATAATCAATATTTATACTCATTTTCAACTAATAAAAAACACAGTACAGAATAAAAGTTCTATTATAGAAACGAAATAAAAACTAAAACGAATTACGGAAATAATTATAAACAATAACGAATTAACGCGTCACGCATACAGTGAAAGTTGAAACAATACCAATAACGATTAACGAAATGTCAATCATAGCACCCATCCTTTCGGCCGGCCCCTTGCCGGCCGGCTCAATACGTCATACATCGGGTGCTCTCGGTAACCTTCGGCCGCTTCGTGCGGCGCGCGAGAACCGACTCGTTACTCGGTACATTTCTATGAACTATCTTTTGTCTCACGCGCCAGGCGTATTGATGCGTGTCTCATACAAGATGTATTAGCAGTCCTCGTGCACTCGCCGGAGCGCACGATATGAGTTTAGTAAAGCGCTCAAACTTTTTGACCATAATTGGAAATTAAATTTTTTATACCTTTTTGTATGTTTAAAAAATAAATATTAAAATGGTAATTTAAAAAGTAAGATGACATAATATTTTGTAATTTTTAAATATTTTGAATTGGTGGTTCAGCGCACGGGCGCACTTAAGGTACAGCCGCCACTGTCTATAGTATTAGGTAGTTTTAAATAAGTTAGTAGTTTGGCAATTTGTTTTAACACTTTAAATAGAATTCATTGCGAAATTAAGTAGGTTTTAGTTAAATTAAAAGGATTTATTGCTTCAGCTAAATAAAAGTTTAATAGTAGGTGAACATTAGTAAAAAATGCATGATAAAAAGTATAATACAATAAATATACAAAAAAGTTTTAGCAGTACTATCACGAATCTATTACAGCTGTTCTGGTCGACGCCATCTTCCTGAAAGTAGACTAACATACGACGCTTTATAGACGCTCTATAGATTATAAATAAAGTGCTTACTGGAATATAAAAAGGTTCTTCAATGTTTCACATTACAAATTATTATGGGTATATTATAATACGTTGCATTTTTTGTGATAATGCTTCAGGAACCAATTAAGGATTCATATTATGTATGGAACTCATAATTAAGAAAACATTCGTAAGCTTTTTATAGTTTAACCATTGTTTATTAAAAGACTTGTACATTATTGAAAAGCTATTCATGTAAGTATAAAGTAAAATAAAAAATACTATTATAATAAGCGTCTGTTTTTATGTAGTAAGTAATACACCTGTAGGTAAATCCGCTTCGGCATTCTTGAAGGGACAATAAAAATTGATTAACGTTGATTGAAGTTATTTTTTTCCCATACGTGTTATTAATATTTATATTAAATCAATCTCGGATGTCTGTGAAGATGGTTAAGACGTAGTTGTATATAGACATATAGTTTTGATTTTTAAATTAAGACTGAGGACATACCATAGAACAAATACAAAATTTGTAAACATATCTATGAGTCTTATATACAAGGGCCAATGTAGCAATGTAGCCATTTCCATTTTGTTACTTTAAACACTTCATTATACTGTATTCTACAATATCCATCTAAAAAATGCGTATATGTTGGTGGAAAGACTTAGTTTTTATTGCACTAAAAAGGCATAAGTAATACACTTTTTAACGTACATATACCCCCTTATACATTATTTAAAAAACTAGTAGATTAGTTGCTATGCAAAGTTTCAAAAGCGTCAGTTGTCGCATGTAAAAGATACATTGAAATGAAATTTAAAACGCCTTTATTAAACAATTGTCATTTTGCACATTGGCCCTTATTATACAAGCCGTCGATATAATATATATAATAATAAACGTCATTAGATGTCTTTTAGCGCGTGATGTCTTGCGTGTTGGACGTGTCGTGATCGGCGAGCGTTGTCACGAGCGTCGCGTTCAGAGCGTTCGTACAGACGACGAACACCCGCGTCTTGAACGCATTGAGAGAACGCACCTATATTACAACAATAAACAGAATCTTAATAAGATCATTCATAAATTCATAAATTCATTGAAATCATTTATAAGATCTTCAAAAGGTTTTGAATGTTTAATAATAATAAAATTTCTTCTAATCCAAATTGCATCGTACCTAATATGCCACTTTCGTTTATTATTGTCATAATGTATGTTTATTTCTATTTTAAAATTTAAATTCATCTGCATCGGTGGCTATTTAAAATTTGATTATTTTTCAAATATAATTTAAATTAGATCTTCCAATTATGGTTTGAACATTTTATTCTAATAAGACTCTGTTTAAATGAAACTAATATTTTTCGGATATACTACGAGATTTTTATTTTTGATTATAAACTACATACTCCCGACGTTTCAGTTACTTTACAGAAAGAGTGATCACGGACAGACGAGATGTGAGTTCCTCACAGTAATGGCATAGTATGGCCTACATTGAAAAATATTAGTTTCATTTAAACAGAATCTTATTAGAATAAAATGTTCAAAACATAATTGGAAGATCTAATTTAAATTAAATTTGAGAAATAAATAAATTTTAAATAGTCACCGATGCTGATAAATTTAAATTTTAAAATAGAAATAAACATACATTATGTCAATAATTAACGAACGTGGCATATTGGGCACAATGTTATTTGGATTAGAAGAAATTTTATTATTATTAAACATTCAAAACCTTTTGAAGGTCTTATTTTAAAAATGAGTGAAAAATAAATAAATTAGTGATTAATGTATATGAATCCCTACTAATATTATAAATGCGAAAGTAACTCTGTCTGTCTGTCTGTTACGCTTTCGCGCCTAAACCACTGAACTGATTTTAATGAAATTTGGTACAGATATAGAGTTGAACTTGAGAAATAACATAGGATAGTTTTTAATCCAAAGTTTTGAAAAATTCTCTTGGAAACGCGATATAACCGAACTCCACACGGGCGAAGCTGCGGGCGGAAAGCTAGTTTAATATAAATAATAGCACTTGCCAATGGTATCCCAACATTTGATGACGTCATCATTGGACGCGTTGTCATAACAGTCAATGAGTTTCTTTTTAATGTCAGCACACACCGGCTCGACGCTCACCATATTCGCCGTACGAACCTCCACCCGGTTAACCAAAGCGTTCATATTGTCAACTGTTATACTGTAAACAATTAATATTTATGTTAGAATTACTAGTAATGTAGTCAGTTATCAAAAGTATTCATAGAAGTAGTGTAAAAATCATGTATTTTATAAGTTCGTAAAGATATTAGACATTTAAAGTGAATAGATGCAGTTTGAATGATATATAAATAAAAAACAAGGCAACGTAGACGAGGACAAAGTTTCTATAAATATATATGAATAATTTCATGTCTATGTATGCTCACATAAAACGCAATAGTTATACTCCTTGCGGCTACAAAATTTTTTGGCAAATCAATGAAATTGTGAGTCACAATTTATTGTACAATCCCGAATCCGGTTTCAATGTCAAGGAAGGTCGGATTTTTAAGAAGAATCACACATTTCAATGAGGAAAGAATTTGTTAAAAAAATCCGGGAAGAACATTTATTAAAACACATCAAAATAACAATATAAAAATGTATATTGCAAGCATTATTGGCTGTAAACGTAGATGGACATAATTCAAGATGATTAAAAAAGTTATTTATGTGAAATATTTACATTAACTTGTACATTGTAAATACGGAGTTATTTATTTACTTATTATGGTTTTATTTTATTTCTAAATGAAATTAATAAGATGTTATAAATAAAACATGACGCGTTCGAGTTGACTAATTCGTTTACCTGTAACTGCTTAGTGCCCTTGATAACAGGATTTAAATTTCGATCATTTTGTGTTTGCTGTGGTCAATGACGCAACTTTCATATTTACACTCAAACTTCGGATATTTAAGTTAAAACAATTATACCCAAATCTTTCCGAATGATTGTCATCCAAGCATTTTAGTTTTTCCATGTATATCATGTCTTTGTAATCCTCTTTCGCTTTTGTCAACTTTAAGTTTGTTCCGCGTGTTAATGTCGCATCTTCAACGAGCCTCTCCACCTACAGAAATAATTTTATTTACATAATATTGTAATTTGAGGAAAATTTATGGCTTATTGTGCTTTAAATTTGATTAAAAATAATTCGTGAATGAATATTATAGGTAACTGACTAGTATTACTTACATACAGTTACAAAAAAAAACATGTTACAACTGTCAAAGTCATAACTGTCAGACTAATTACGATACATTATAAAATGGGTTTTTGTATGTATTAGATAAATACCATTTTATTTGATATGCTGATTCTGTTTTCTTCTTCTGAACTTTCTTTAGGTACCGGCGGGTGCTCCCGAGGTCGTTGGAAGTGCGTGGCCCGGACTGATTGGTTGCTGCCCATTTTGTAATCGAATTCAAAGCTAGATTATTGAAGTGTTTGTGTAGAAAGATGTTCCCTGAATTAAAAGAGAAATAAACATTTTATTTTAAATTGTACTATGTCCGAAATATTTTAAACAGTTTGTTATAAATTTAAATTTTTCTTTTTTCGACATTCCAAAGTGCTTTTCATTATTTAAGATTCATAAATACGCATTTTGATTTTTAAAAATTTTATTCGAAATTAATCTTTTTTATCTAAAAGTAATCGAAATGTGGCATAAAACGAATCAATTTGGAGTTAAGGGTATATAATTGGATTAATATTTCGATATATTTAGTATGAAGGTGGCACTTCACTTGGTTTATTTGTTGTGTTCGGCCAAATAAGACAATGTGTGGAGGATTTATTCGTCTTCATTTGACATATTTGCACAAATAAGACCCATACACAAATAAGCAAAAACGCGTAAAGACGTGTTGTTGGCATGCCAAGTGTGGATGTCGTTTTTGCACTATTTGGACAAATTCCCCGAATACGCTACGTGAATACGCAACGCCAAGTGAAGTGCCACCTTTAAGGTGAGTATTACAAGACGTATGACGAATGTAAGAGATTTAGCGATAAAGATCGTCAAATAACAGAGTCACGGCTAACAAGGGGTAAAAGATTCAATGTTGTATGGAGATTTAGATCATACGGCTTAAAGCTGATTTAAATAATATTTTGATGTATTAGGCAATAATTTTGTCGAATTTCACAATTGAAATAATTTGCCAATAATTTCTATGAGTCAATACGCTGTTTTTATATTATATGAGTCGTATAGAATCAAAATCAGACTGAAATCAGAGAATTGAACATTTTTATTTGTGTCGTCCGATTCAAAAATAATATTACGTTACTCTTTTTTAAGTGATGTAAATATTGATTCGCTTAATATTAAACTCTAACTGTGTACTTTAAAAATAAGAATTTGAAGAAATTTAGAAAAGAATTTTGAATATTATGTACGTATATTATAATGACGATCAGTCATAGCTATCCGTTTTAATTCTACTGTCTAAGAGATTTCTCATTAGTTATCGTATCCTTGAGTTTTTCGTAATCTCCCGATTATAATTACCAGCATCATATTAAAGTAGCGACCACATTCATGGAATAAAATTTGCATTCATTTAAAACGGAGAACAAAGATGGATGAAGTTGAAAGATTCACAAAAAATATGAACTTATACGGTGACAAAGAATTTTATTTTTTTTTTAATATGAAATGTATAACCATTAAGACTTCATCCGTTTTAAGCTAAAATATCAGTATTTTAACATATATTTTTTAATATTATTTCAAACAAATATTATTTTGATTTAACAAATTTTATTCAAGACGTTTTAAAAATCCTATTTTTTTTGTAAAAATACAGCTTTCTTAATATTAATAATTTTACCTCATACTAATAAATAGTATATTCCAAGTGTTTAGAAAAATAATTATAATAAACATATTATAGTCATACATAATTTATTTTTTTAAGTTTAATCATAAAAGTAACAGTATGTTTTACTGAATAATGAAACTAATTTCTTACAACCGAAATCGCGTTTCTGAACGAGTCTTGAATAAATGCAAACAAGAGGTTAGTAATATGTTATCGTTTGGAAGATTTAAAGTGAAGTTTTATTTGAAAATTATACGTTATCAATAAATCAATAACTGTAGTATAATTTCAAGGTTTTTCATTCACAATTCTAAGTATACTTTTATATATAGAAAAAAAAGAATCTATGAATAATCGTTTGATTTATACTCGTCAAATGCAATCGCATTCGGATCAGAAAAATTATACGTGTTTAAAAGAAAGAAAGAAATAGAAAGAAAGAGAAATTTAAGAAAAATTTGTTATGAAGCTACCTTTGTATATATTCTATTTATACGTGAAAACAACTGTTTATAATAATCAGTTTAAATTCAATAAAAAGATAAATAGTCATGTAAAATAACATTTTAGTAAAAGAATTTCAATAAAAACGAAAAATTTTTGCTTAAAAATTGATAATAGATATATCGACTTGTTAAAAAAAAAGTATCCAAAAAATGTATTTAATATTTTTCAAGCCCTTTTTCAATTTTCTGTATATGGGACCTTGAACATCTCACTAAATGAAAATAGTACAACAGATAAAAAAAATCGGTAAGCTGGTTGAGAAAGAAATTATTTACATTTTACAAATACTTAATATTTATAAAAAAATATAATTTAATACTAAATACAATAAAGTAAGAAGTATTTTAATTAGTAACTAAATTGTTTCAAAACTATAAAGAGAAAATATTTTCGTGTAAATAAAAATAAGTATGCTTTTCTGATACAAGAATTATGAAATCAATGACTGCTTTAAAACCTAAAATCTTTAAAGTGGAACTAATAGATGGATGATGAATATCTTTTAAGATAAAAAAAGATATAAGATGTTGAGGATGAACGGCTATCTTTTGAATAATTACATTGTGCTTAAGATATGTCCATAATGATGGATAGTTTTAAGATTCAGATTCGCAGAGTGAATTTATCTTAATTTTTATGACTATATTATTCAAGACATTATTTTTATAAAATATATATTTCTTTAGGCTCAAATTAACATCCATTTTATTCTACAATATTTATGGACTTTGGATAGCAGTTAAATTGAATTGTTATGTTAAGGAAAAGCTGTTAAAAAAACATTGATTGATTAATTATTAAAGCTTTTATTAAATATCAGTTTTGTATAATACCGATGTGATTTGATAGTAAAGGTGAAGGTTACAATATAATACATATGAAAATATTTGTCCTATGAATTGCTTAATGCGAATGTATGTAGGCTATAAAATTCCCACATCAAATATTTTGAATAGCTAGTATTAACATTTTTATTCCACGGATAAACCCCTCGATTTACAAGACGGGTTCCACATACCTTATTTATAAACAAGTTGACTATTATTAAAATTAAATATATTTATAGCACGATTAAATTACCAGTCCGTTTGTTTGTATTAAAAGACCGCAACCTTCTTAATTTGTACCGCGGTGTTATTTCAGGAAGTAATGTGGGTTGGTTGGTTAACATATACCTATAAGTTCCTGACAATATATACATATATAAATCTGTTTTAATTTTCTTTTTAAGAGGAATTATATATACGGGATAGTTAGAGCATTTGCTTGAGTTTTCTTTGGATAAGAATCTCTTTTTCAATTCGTCGTTTCGGTACAGTTTTGGTATTTTATCTTAATGCCCTGAATCAGTGAAACCTTTTACCATAATTTAACGTTGTTCCAATAAAGATGGCATTGACAGAGGGTTGTGGTGTATGTGTTTGCGTCGTAGAATTAATTTTGATATAATTGAGATTGATTTGACACAAAAAACATGAAGATATTATAACTGAGGAATATAATATCAATGATGATACATTATAAAAAATATAAAGAAATAAACATGACGTAAATTATCATAGCCAACGTCGTAGTATACACATGAGTATGAGTTTTTTTAAATAAAAACCTTTACTAGACCAATGGTAGACGAATTGACACCTACGTATTAATGTAATGTACCAACAAACACACAAACTTAAACAAATGACTGTTTTCAGACTATTGCTAGTTCTGTTTTGATAGTTTTCAGTTTTTCTTTAAAAAACTTCGTTGTAATTTAAACAAGGGTCATGTGTCGTGAGGATGAGCATGTAAACAGGTTTGGCGAGTGAGGGGAGGGAGGTCGAGATGACTTCATAGGAGGCTGCGGTATATAGGAGATGACTTCGAGCATCGCTATACTGTTCACACTTGACGAGTGAAAGATTAAAGATGCTGCGTTTTGGAACATTCCTCGCTCTCACTGTGAGTACACATTTACTAATATACTATTACAATTTCGAGATTTTAATGAAAAAAATATTTTTTTTAATACAATACTGTGCTATTTATATTTATTGTTATTTATCTTTTTTATATTTTTTGTTATTACGTTTTTAAAGCTAGATCAATTAGAGTTAAAATAATTTTATTTAAGACTGAATATTTTAATAACGAATATTCTTAAATTATTTTTACTTTAATATATAGGTTAAAAATTTGCGTATATATAATAAAAATAAGAACAACGAACAAATGTACATAGTGACTGATGTGACAAAGGGCCTTTTAACTGTACATTGTTTAAATACTAATAAACTTTGAAGAATATGTTCCGAAGAATATAAAAATAAATATAGTATATAATAAATCTTTTTACAATTACCATTAAATATATACTTAAATTATATATGGACATAAAACTAATATATAAGATTTATTACATATTTGTTATAATTCCAATATCTCGATTGTATTTATAATAACGTAATAGAAAAAAATTGACGCAAAACTAATAAAAGACTACGTAATCTATTTCTACGTAATTCTAAATATATATATATTTATATTTTTATAAAAACATCAAGACAATAGTATATATATTTATATATTGTAAAATGGCTCTACATTCAGTCTTTGACTTTTATCAATATTAAATAAAATAGCTACATATATATTTACAGGTTTATATATATTATTCTGATAGTTACATACATGTAAACAGAAATACACCTTTGTTTATATATTACAGAAAAAAAAAACATTTAGATACTTTACTTCATAATTCTAGCAGAAAAAATGCATTCATGTAAGTATTCACCACATTAATTGTATATATAGAAACAATAATAAAAAATATAATAATGAAAAGTATTCATTACAGTAAAATATATATCACCTATATATATTTTTACAAGTTTTTAAGCCGGAGTTTGTAATAACCGATTTTTAACAAAATAACTTAAAATAAATAGTAAACAATAGTAAAGTGAACTATCATTGAAATGCACTCCATTCAATAATTTCTTACTATTATCTTATAAGTTTAGAAAGCAACAAGTTACTCACGTTTCCACGAAAATGTTTGACCTTTGATTTGTAAAGCAAGTTATTAATATTATGATGTTCTTTACAAAAAATTTGCCTGTTCTTGTGACATTTTGAATGTGTCTGTCAGCGTCAATGTCGGAATAAAACCTCGTGTAAATATATGTCATAAAAGAACCGCTCAAGACATTATTTAGTTTTAAGAACAGAATTACTTGAAGTTAATCAGCGTTATGAATTATTCTTTCCGGTTTTCGTGTCAGCACATCTCTTATTCATAATCTTAATAAGACTTAACATTTAAATCCCATGTTTCATCTCGAGTCCCGTATTAAAAATGCATTCAACTACATATTCGTTTTGTTTTAAATAAAAAGTATTATGTAATTTGAAATTAATTTGATATAGAATATTAAATAATTCATAATTTAATTGATTTATATGTGTATTTTATCTGAGTTTGAATTAAAAATGATTTTTTTTTATATATTTTTAAAACGAGTATTATTTTTACATACAATTTTTAAGGCATAAGTTACAAAATTTTGGATCGTGAATAGTATTATTTCATTAAAATATTTTATAGGTGGCTTATTGCAATGTTTATACAAGGAAATAATTTTTTTTTGTAAATACCGTTTTTTTAGAACTATAAGAAAATTTTTATTCGTTTATTATATATACATGTATTACAAGAAGATAAACACATTTTATGTTTCTATCTTTGATTATATATCGTCTTAAGAAATATAAACCAATTAAAATCCTATAAACAAAAATTCTTGTTTAAAAATATTTATTAAATTAACCTTTATAAAAAACTAATTACTCATTAACTTGATCGTAAAAAACTTATTGTTAAAAATGTTTTTATACCGTATTAATATCTTATCCGGGTTGTGATGTGATTATTGAATTATAGAGCAAAAAATATAACAATATCAAAATACCAAAAGATGTTAAAAAGTACCATTAATCTTTATATATAAAAGAAAGTCGTGTTAGTTACACTATTTATAACTCCAGAACGTCTGTACGGGTTTGGATGAAAATTGGTTGAGAAATAGCTTAGAACAAGGGAAAGGACATAGTATACTTTCTACCAGATTGAAAGAAAATAATAATAAGTTGATCAAATCAAAAATCTTCTTATCTACTGTCTTTAAGGAGGAATAGAGTTCGCTCGGTCAGCTATATATGTATTACTAATTCTAAAACTAATGCAGACGAAGTCGCGGGCAAAAATAAGTCATATATCATCTTACACACAAGTCTATGTTGAATTATAGAAAAAACCAGCCACTTATATAGCTATATTTTGTTGTGAATCGAAATGCCAACAATACAAAAATTAAGCATTTTTTTTCAACAACAAGTTGTAATTTAGTTAGAATTGTAACCTGTTTTTGTTCGTAACATCTTATTCGTTTCGAATTATTGTTATTTAAATGTGAGATCGCGGGATGAAACTAGTTTAAAAATAATGTTTCGTTAATGGTTAAATCCGGTCTGGTGGACGGTCAATGTCAAGGCGAGGAATAACAATTAAACAAGTGTGTTTTCACTTCGTAGGTCCGATAAAAATAATGACTGTGGCTATATTAATATACATACTAAGTTTGACGAAGTCAGAGCTGGTTTGTATTGAAGAATAATCATCAGTAAAGAATATAAGTCTTTCATTATTTTTAAGATTCATCTCGTCGAATGCGAATAATAAATTATTTATGTCTCTGTAATCCATGCTCTCTGAAAGCATTAATTTATTTTTTTTGTCTATTAAAACAAGTGTTGGTATAGTAATCCTTATCGCTTTATTTGTTCATATAAAACTCACATCGTATTAAATAAGTATAGATCGAAATTCAGGCAATGTGATTTTCTCATGAATTTACAATACAATTCTTCAATGAATCATAATATGTTATAGTTTAAAATAACTATGAAGTATTTATTTAAGCACGGCTTATTTGTGATGTTTAAATAAAGCATGTTTATAATCTGTGACGTTACAAATAATGTCTAATTTAGGGCTGTACATGATAGACAATAAAATTGGTACGATCTGTAATAAAGACACGTACATATGATTGGGTTCAGATGACTGTCATTTGGATGAATTGAAATGAGCCTGTGTTCGGAATAGATTGGATAAAGTGTATGAGTTTCTTCAAGATAAATTTAAATATTATTTATTTGTTTTAACCTATTCACTGTTTAATGCTAAAGAAATTTTCATACACAGAATATAGAAGTATTTGATCAAATATGACAAGATTTTTTTAAATATTGCGCTAAACAGACGTTTTGGCTATTTTCTAGAATGATCGAACGACATTCTGAAAAGTCGTTGATAGAAAATTAATTGTATAATTATAAAATACATAAGTGAGACGGACTAGTGCTTTATAAAACTTAAAATTATTAAAAAATCATGTCTGTATGTACATTAGTTTTTAACTTTCTTCAACACCTTAATTGGCGTGTCTAATAAATATATTTAATGTATTATCGACAACCATATATATTAGTTTATAACTATAAATATCCTAATAAATAAACACCATTAGGTGTCAATATTGATTATAATAATCAAAACTTGTAACACATTTTCTAGTACATATTATATAAGGATGAGATCATAATGACCTTGTCCTCCAAAACTCAAATTTCCTGCGAAACGTTTTTTAATAATTCTATATAAATATTACGTAAAACGAGTTTGACATATTTCTAGAATGTTTATTCAAATGACAGATGCCCTAAAAGGAAAAGTTATGGCTGCGTTCAGTGATAATAAAATTAATTTGTAGTTTATTGAATAAAAATACCAAATCAATATGTCTTATTTACATAAAAAAAATGTAGAATATTTAAACTTGATTTTATTTTGTATTAAATATTTTTTAAGTATAATTCGGTATCAATACTTGACAAATTAATGTATTTTGATATTTTTATCTCTACTCAAGTGCGGAACTCTTTATTGAGACATCCTTATAATTAATCACATATTGAAATTTTAAAAATAAATCGTTCGTCTTGAGTTTCATTAACATAATCGTGAATGTTTGAACGCATTAGACGGAACTGCTTAAAACGGAACGTTGTAATCAGTTGGATCATCGTTAATTTATAATTAATATATTTTAATTTAAAATTTCAATTATAATTTTAAATCTTTTATAAGTGTTGTTTTTTAAACTATAACTTGTAGTTTATGTTTAGTACGAGTTTACTTCGCTATTCTATAAACGAATTAGTTCCCGTTTTTCATTCAAAAACCTATAGTAATGCGATAGTTTGATGATCAAAGAGTTGTGGTAAGAACATAGTATTGTATTTTCTATTAGCAAAGTAATTTAAAATATTTGACATGGCTTTTTAAATTTTCAAACTAACGGCACAGACAAGGTTAAGCTTTTTTGTCGAATTCAAAGCTGTAAACAATTTATATAAAAACTAGTAATTATATTAATTAAATACTGACTTATGAATTGTGGATTTTCCATCGTGGGTTAATATAAGACTTGTTTCATTGTCTATTAATAAAAACAAAGTCTAAACACTTAACTCAATTAAAGATGATTTGAAAACACCGATACAATAAATACCATTAGAGAAATTGATATGTGTACAGATTATCTAATTGTGTATATTTTTTTTGTTATTAAATATCTAAAGTAATACTTACAAAAGAAACTTTATGAGGTAAAGTTTTCTCTAAAATAATTATCAACTCATAATCTTTTGGACAAATAAGTTAATGAAAATGTGATTCATTCTTTGTTTTTGCAAATTTCATATTGGAAATATTTTTATGTACAAAGATTATTTATAACATATTTTTAATAATCGGTAAATGTATGAATGATTATCATTTACCTCGTTCATAAATATGTTTATGACAGTTTCATTTTTTAACAACATGACCTTATTTTTCGTACACAAATAAATCTATTGTAATGTCAAAGGTCAAGGAAAATAAACAAGGAGATCTAATTCTAAATGACATCAAATAATTTAAATGAAACTGATATTTTTCGGATTACTACGCGTATTTTAATCTACATACTCCCGACGTTTTTGTTACTTTTTAGTAATCCGAAATTATTAGTTTCATTTAAATGTATACTCGCAAAAGTCTTAGACATCAAATCATCCTTACAAGCGATGTTTATTACAGTTTTTAAAGCCTTCAGAGTGTTTCAATGAACATTCCTACATTACATAACGTTATTGACACATCCGTATGTGTGATTTATATGAAAAGTCATAATCGAATTAGTATAATGTAAAAATATATACAAATAAAACTACTATTTCGGAAGCCTATCGTATTTATTTAATTTTGATATAAATAGATTAGACAACATTTATTTTATCGTCAAAATAAAAATAATAAATAATAATCTTCTTCTTCTACCTGGCAATTTCCCAGCTTTAGCCAGGGTCTGTCTTACATGTCGTGAATAGTTTTTTGGCTTATTGTTTTTACGACCGGTCGCCTGCCCGACATCAACCCTCTTTGGGAATCTTAAAAATACATAATGTATTTATATTATTTCAAGTATTAACTAACATTACTTGCTATATAATTTTCTAGAAAAATTAAAACTGTAAAATCCTAAGGCTGTGTACAGAATAGATGTAAATATGTATTCTAATTTGAACGTGTCTTCGAATGAAGGTTAGGAATTGTGGCGCGTTAGATATTATGAAGATGCACCTCACAGTCACACGTTGAAATACAATCCTCAAGTTGTATTTACAATGACGTAATATTAGTTTTTACGCATTTACTACATCTTAAAAATTACATAACAACTATTTTAATAATGTATGCATGATTAATTAAAAGCTTATTAAGTAGAAACAGAATTTATATTATTTCAAGCAGCATCTAAACGAAACGTTTTGAATTATGAGAGACGTCTATTTGGCTTTAAAAACAAATTTAATATTTGTGAAGTGGAATAAATTAAGCAAGGACTCGTGTAATTTAAAGAACTTAATAATATTTGATGATTAGTTAGAATAAATATATATTATTCAATACAAATGTTTACGAAGTCTACATGTGTGGTATGACGACTCTACAATACATATGATTCCGGTTTCTTCAAATGAATGAGACGATCTTGGCTTTCCACGTGTTTTATTATGAAATAGATTTCACAATACAGTTTGTTGACCATCTCTCTTTATAGATGGTTTAAGAGACATATCAAAATATTTAAGTGTACATGAATGTTAATGTTTGAAATAACTCTATATTTCTTACCTTTTTTATCAGAATAAAAGATTTATATCATTTATTTAATTCAGGTTTACATTTAACATTTAAATTATACCAATCAGAGAAATGTATTAGAATTTTTTTTAATTATATTACTTTGTCGTATGAATTATGTATGACTTTAACCATTATATTATAGGCGAATAGGAATTTTTTTTGAGACCATTATATATATGTAAATTAAACTGGTCTAGACAGAGTGGTGCTGGTTTTTACCTGACTTTTAAAATGTTAAAATAAATCTATAAAATTAATTAATAATATGATTAAGGTAAATTCATATAAGTTACTTTGAATTTACGTCCATTACATATACCACCTTCTCCAAGTGAGAATGGCCTTTGCTCAGCAGTGGGCTCCGATAGGCTGATAACGACGACATATAATACAATATTATGTTATGATTTTATGGATGTTAGTTGATAAGAATTATTGTAGATTCATATTCTATCTCTAGGTTAATAATTATTTTATTTCCAGGTGGCGCTGACTGCAGCTGCTCCCAATCCATTCTCTAATGTCTTGCAGCTGGACCTGTCTCCAGAAGAAGCACAGAAATATCTCCAGAGTCCTCCATTCAGCGAACCAGCTCTTTCTGGACGAACTGCTGTTTTGCCTCTGGTAAGATTATCTTGTACTTTGTTATGACCCATAGTATAAAATGTACGTAAAAGTCTAGATAACATATATTTTTGTCATATTCAACACAATTATTATAGAATGGGTAAAAAAGTAATAAAGTTATATCCAAAATATGGTTTCATTCAAAAACATGATGTAATTCGATATACGGATGTAACATGAATAATATATGAGAGATATTGTTACAAATAAAAAAATATTCTCCGTGTATTCAAATACCCATTCGACATTAAATTTGTATAAATTATAACACGCAGTTCTTTGACAAGTCTTTTTTATGAACATCCTGCCCGAACACAATTTTAGTCACGCAATATATTTCAGATTAAATTCAACGACCCGAGGTTTCGTTCGGCGGAGGCCGGGCCCACGTACGGACATTACTGGAAGAATGGACACGAGATTGAAAACCCAGAGGACTACGTTGAAGAGGTATTTTTGGACAGTTTATTTTGTATATCAGAAAGGTGCAAATGAACAGACGGCCTATTACTTACACTTTTTTGTATTGTGTTCTTTCATTTTAAACTGTTAAAGATTTTTTTTCGATTTTAAGATGGTTTCCGAGATAATTTCGGGATTAAGATTCAGATTGTAGAACTTTCAATGTTTTTGCTTGCAATATATTTAAAAAGAAATAATGAATAAAGAAATATGCTGAACATATCTTTAGTAACCCAAAGTTGTTATTCGGTTACCTTCATAAAGAATACAGTTTTTTATTTTGTGGTTTATTTTTCTAAAATATAAAGAAATACGAACCTTTTGAAGTAACTCGATATTTCGATGGACAAATAATTTAAATTCGAGTTCCAAAGAATAAAACGAGTTATTATGTATTTATTACTTTTTAAGAAGCTTTTTTAATCTTCACCTCACATTATAGGTATACGACGCAAAACAATTCCACGGTCAAGATGGCTTAGGTGCTTATGGTTACGGCTATGAGACTCCTGAATCAGCGAAGGTTGAGAACAGAGTTCGTTCAGGAAATGTTCAAGGTTCATACACCTACAGGGACGGAAACAATGAACTCATTAAGGTCAGTGAAGGAAATATTTGTATGAAACCAATAGTTAATGAAATATGACTTTTATAAAAAAGCATATGATATTACTGAGATCTAAGACTTTTGCGAATATCCATTTACAAAAACCTATAATATTTTCGGATTTACGACGCAAATGTTATTATTTAAATACTAATTTAAATAATACATACTCCTTAATTTTCTGTTACATCTCGTCTGTCCGTGATCACTGTTGCTGCAAAGTAAACGCAAGGTTGCGATAATTTGGTTTAAAATAAACAAAATAATACGTAGTCATCCGAAAATATGAATTATTTCTTTCTTAGACATAATACATATCATGAAATATATTTGGTTTTCATTGTCTTCATACAGGTCCGTTACTGGTCGGACGGTACAGGTTTCCACCAAGAAGACAATATCCCCAAGGTTGTGTTGAAGCCGGTCGAAGAAGCGGAAGACGTGAGACAGGCTCGTCTCGCTCATGAGAAGGCTTGGCAAGAGGCCGCTGCTGCTGCTCGCAAACAACCCGACCCTCAGTTAGTATTGATATATTTAGCCAAAGAACTTTTATTACTTTTATATTGTATTACGTAATTTTCATAGCTTGATAGAGATATGTCCGTTACACTTAAATGAAAGCAATAGTTTCGGATTACGCGATACTTTATTATGTTTAAAAACAATAGGTATACTCCCAACGACGTGAATCTCGTCTGCTCGTGATCACGATTGCTCCGAAGTAATCGAAACGTCGAGAGTACGTAGTTTTTAAAATTAGTAAAATAACGAGTAGTTACAGGAAAATATTAGTTTTATTTAAATGAATACTTGGAAAAGTAGTAGATCTCTATTCATTTCACTTTTGTTTTCTAAGAGGCTATATTCACGACATATTAAAATATTAAAAGATATTAAATTTAGTAGCTATATCGTGATAATGTGACAAACAGGAAACATTCTCTATAATAATTAATTATCCAAAATTTTAAATACTACTAATATCTTCTATTTCCAAGAAAATATTATATCAAATTCTTATCTAATCATTTGAATAGATCGTTTTGTTAAAAAGAAATAATAAGTAAAATAAGTTCTAGCCTATAATAAAATTATACAAATTGTTATCGTTTATTACAGAGGCGAGTACTACAGGCAGTATGACTACCAGCCAAATGTACCCGAGCCACAACTTGACTACCAACCATCAGCGTCAGAGCCTCGCCAGTACTACGAACAGAATGTAGCTCCATCTACCACCTCTACTACTCCTGAACCAACGGTAATTATCTATAATATATCTTCTACCTGGCAATTTCCCAGCTTTAGCCAGGGTCTGCCTTACATGTTGTGAATAGTTTTGGCTAATTGTTTTTACGACCGGCCGCCTGCCTGACATCAATCCTCTTTGGAAATGCATTAATCAAAGATGTCTAAATACTCTTAAGTACATATGACTCGGAAAAATCACATTGGTACTTGCCAGGGCCAGGATCGAACCCGCGCCCTCATGACTGAGGCGGGCCTTTTAACCACTAGGCCACCACTGAAAATTATCTATAATATATTAACACATAGATATAATTAATCTATAGATACAAAAGACATATCCGTAGATAAAATTTTATTTTAGGTTGCAAGTTTAAATTCATAATAACTAATTGGATTTTAAGGTGATAATGAAAATATTTTTCTGCGTGACACAAACTTGAATTTATATTATTTTTAATAATAAAGTAATTCTCAAAATATAAAAAATTATAATGTATAAATGATATAACGTATTTTTATATTTAGTAACTTATTGTACTATATCATATAAGTATTGAAGATTTAATAATTTAATTTGTTTCTTCATACAGGGTCCTCCACGAGGTTTCTTCTATAGCTTCAACTACCCAGTATCCATCCTTGTACCTAAGAACGAGGAACAGCTCGGAAGCAGTTACGCCAAACAGTCAGTTACATCGTCACGTCAAAACTAATATAACGTACACCAATAACGAGTTAATTAGAATTAAAAATAGTTATACAAATTAAATATTTGCTCAGTATTTCAAAAAAATACAAAAAATACAACTGAATGATTCATTATGACTCGATTAATCGATTTTTATATATGTTGATAGTTATCGATTTTAAATCGATATGAGGGTAAAAGCATTGCCGTTTATATTAAGTAGGTTAAGTAAGTCATATACATTCATTGTACCTAATTATGTCTCATGACATACATTGAAGGTGCCTTGAGTATGATAACTAGATTTATTTTCTATATGAAAATTATAACAAAATATCGAATACTTTAATCGGACTGGAGTTTAAAAGTGTAACTCGAAATTTTTGTTACATGAATACCAATCGCTTTTTTATTGATTTTTTTATTAATGAGAATATTTATTTCTTATTTGCTTTGTAAGTTAAACTCTTGAACCCAGTCTTAGATTTTAGTTTTTCAAGACTCGTGCCAGTTAATATGTAACTTTGTTAAAATAAAATACATCATGAATTACTTAAGCATTTTTATTTACTTTTTTCTAATAGTCTATTTCTACATTTTGACTGTTTGTTTGGGAATGTCATAAATATATTTGAAGGCAAGAAAAATTTAGTTGTTTTTTAAAGAAAGTGGTGCATAAATATGTTATTTATATATTATACTTCTAGTCATGATCAAAATTGAGGTGGAAATATCAGTCTTTTGCCACCAAACGGTAGCATAACTAAAGGTTTGACAATTATTGGATTATATTGAGCGTTTGTTTTCATGCCATCCATGTTAGCTTCAGCTATAATATCGCTAACTGTGTTCTGAGTCGGTCTTCGGAAAGGTAATCTTTGTCCAATGCCAGATATGATGCCTGATATTCCACTTCCTATCCAGGATATAGTATCTGGGACGTTAATTTCTATGGGAAGGAATGGTATAGCTGAAATAAAGTCGCCTATAGAAAATCTACCATTTGGTAGCATTATTACGGCTTTTCTACCATCAATGGTGGGTATAGGTTCAGCGTCTATCACAACTGAATCGTCTTCTTCTTTAGTTTTTGTCTTCAGTTGTTCCATTCTATCATATTGATGGCCGTTTTTTGGATCTGTGTTTCCGTCTGTTTTTGTTTGTTCCTCTGGTAAAATGATTATAAGTGGCTGAGGTTGATTAGTCCTGTGGAATAAAATAGAGATACATCTTCCACTAAGCAGTATACACTACGCAGGTTGCACAAAAAACGGCAATTTCATTAAATAATAATCGTTATAAAGTTGAAACTTAATAATAAAGTTTATTATAAGCAAGTAATATAAACCACAATGAAATATATTTTCTATTAAAATAAAGAAAGAACAATGAGAACATTTCGTATTACTTACAATGTGTCAATACCAAGTGGTGATATCGGATAATATTGCTGCATCGCCTGTAGTTCTAACAGCTGCTGTTGTATGGGAGTTATCTGGTTTTGCTGCAACCATTGCAGCAGAGGTGCACCTGATATCACTTGTATATGCAGCAACAGCAACCAAATACAGTGAACTCTATATTCCATATCCACACGTAATAACTTCACTTTTTTTAAATATTTATACAAATAAAAACAGTTCGATTTCTCAATTGAATATTTTAAATATTTATTTGTATTTTATGTTATTACTATGATATGCACATGTCTAGTATCACACCTTCTTGAATACGCTCTCTATTCCGACTGTTTTCTCGTCAGGAAGTATAAACGTATACTCCAGATTCATTATTATTCATGGATCGTCATAACTTACTGACCTAGTGACAGGACTCGTGACCTTGCCATTGGCTTTCTTTTCTTTGTCTGTTTTTAACTTTATTGTTGCTTTAAATCTTACCACGTGTTCTCGATGAGTTTGATTTTCATATTAAATTGATGTTTTCACTACAGGTTCGTTTTCAGAGTTGTGTGTGGCTGTGATCTTTAATATGTGGGTACTTATTATACATTCTTATCTATGTTTTGATATAATAATTATGAATCTTATTTATGTTACGATGTCACATTTCTGAATACGTTACTGGTCTGAGGGTTTCAAATTTAACACATTTTTATTGAGTTTTACGTATATCACAATATTATAGACTGCTTTGATTCATTTTATATTTATAATTAAAACGACGGTGATTTAAATTAACTTAAGTAAATATTTTTTGATTTTTTTTAATATACTATTTTTTTCTTCTAAAAATAAAATCAATATTCCTACAAACTATTGTAGTAGTTTTTACAAGCATTATTGAGGTTAACGAGTTATAACTTTACTATGGGTTTGTAGGACAAACATTAAAATCTCATAAATTTTAGAGATTACTTTGTCAAACGCGTATATTTCTAGCCATTTAAATAATTGCAATTCATTTTCTTTTTGACTGAATAAGTTTTTTTATTTTTGCTATTTGAAATTACCAGGAACGAGTTTTTTCGTTATCTATTTTGTAACTAAACTACTTACTTTTTATGTTGCATGTGATATATAACTATTATGAATTGAATAACAATATCATCCAATCGTAATATGTATGTTTTTATTATGTAAAGCATTATTTTTTTAATTTTCAAATGGTAATTGGGACTTCATTTCTTTTTATTTATATTATACATATATCCCAATATTAGATGATTTAAGTTGTTGAGTTTAAATAGTAAACGTATGTATTGACTCAATAAATACATATACAGTGTATTGAATATTAATTGATTTGATTTGATTGATTTATTATTTTTTGATTTGATTTGATCATGAATATTAATTGTACCTACTTTCGTTAAATAAAAGTTTCAATAGATCTTTCATTTTCGTTGAGATGAAAGCTATTTATCTCTCCTCGTTAAACAAGATAATTGATCGGAGATATTTGATGTAAAGGTAATAAAATATCACAATCACAACACGGAAATTTTATTAAACTAAATCAAAATAAATAAACAAGCAGACTTGTAAAATGCATATATCACTTTTTATATCTAATTGGATAATTACTTAATATTATTCGGCTGGTCGTCATCTACTATGACGTCTATTTCAACTTCGTATGTTCCAGGCTTCGTTTGGGAAGGTCGGACGATAACTCCTGGTTTCTTGGTGTCCTTAGTGTTGTCAACCTCGTTCTCCAATGTATTGGCTTCTGGCAGTTTACCTTCGCCGTTGACTTCAATATCGGCTGGCAGACGCACTGACATCAGGCCTTGAACCTGCTGTACTAAATACTCTAAGAGAGGACCAAATCTGGAGATACCGTCCGTGGTTAGAATGGATCTCTCAGGCTCCCCCGCTTGAGGCTTCAGCACGAACATGTTGAAGTTGAGAGTTCTCCTGACCGGCTTAGCTGTTGCCTGATACACGCAGGCTATAGCAACTAAGGCGATCGCTACACGAGAAGACATCCTGATTCCTCAGCGTCCGACTTGCACGGAGATGGCCCCTACACTGCGCTCGTTGCGTTTTTGCCGCGCATCTAAACCCAGATAACGGGTCTTCAGCAAAAAGATCATAACTGCCCCGTCGCGCTATGTAAGTTGGTAATTGCAGCGTTCTCTCAACACCTTTCGTTTCGAAAGCGCACGTACTATCTCTGAGTCATCGTTAATGCCGACCAATTCAAACTGATCCCTTGCAATCTGATTTAAAACAGATTAGGGGCACTGTTTATAAGAAGTGAATACATTAAGCGGTTCTACGTAATGTGGTTGATAGAAAAGGCAGCATTGTAATATCAATGAGAGTCTTTTCTATGTATGTAGTCGGCCTATAGTCGATTCAGTAACAGGTCATCTACATATAAAAGTTCAAAGTCGGTACAGTGATGGGTACATGAGGTGATAGTGTAATTGAATTTACAGCTATAGTTGATAATGATGCACTATCAAGGTCAGCTGTAAGTGGTTGTAATAACAAAATGCGGTTACTAGGATTTCGCACATTGTTTTTTTCACAAATCGACTGGAAATTATTAAGATTTTTTACGCCCATTCATTAAAAACGTTGTTAATAAGTGAAAGAGCCAACAGTCATTTCTATTGCAATTAAATGTAAAAGGTGAAATTTTAATAAATGGAAAGAAATTAGCGATTGAGAATTAAGTGTTAGTTACTTAAGTTTTTATGGTTTTAAAGAGAAAACTTGTAAATACTGAGAGAATTTATGGCCTCACTATAGCAATCAATTAATATAATTTTTTAATAAATTTTATTTTTGTTTTAAAGTGCTTCTTCGTTAAACTGATTTTTTTAATGGATTTTGCTTTCAAAATAGTATAAAATATTATACTGAGTAACTGTATTTTTATTTTAATCTCTTTAATAAAATACAAAAATATATATTATAACGAAACATTATTGTTATTTGTATGCAATATTTGTTTTTTTTTTATATTAATACTTGTATATTATTAATAAATATACTTCGACTAATATTTCTCCATACAGAGACAGTTACTATTAAAGGTTCGTATGTTTGTATCACTTCCTTGTATCAGATAAGGTGCAGGAAGTCAAGTGCATCTAAGTCCAGTCGAGTGTAACGGTACTCATCTATATGATGGGGCTAGTTCTTACGTGTGTTAATTTATGCCTATTTCAAAACATTTGTAACCAGCAAGAACTACTATATAGTTGCATTTAATTCCTATGCCATTGAATTTTATAAGATAAACTCGCTTCAATAATTTTTTTTAACTTAACGACCAGTTCTCTACAACAATTTTTTAGTCATATCATATTGGAGTTTTGTCGGAGATACTCGAATAGAAATTTGTCTAATGTTATTTTTGTATTATAAATGTACATACGTCACAACTCACATGTCCACATTTATACTGAGTATGGAAATTTTTAATGACATTGTAAACAAATATAATAATTTTATTTTATCAGTACCTAATACTAATTGCTCTATATAGTAATTTCTGTAAATTAATGTAGGCACAGCCCGTTACAACCTAGAATCTAGTTTAGAAAGCGTTTACAAGCTTTTTATCGCCCTTACAAATTTGCATATTATAAAGCTTTTGCATAGATTTGTTTGTTGATAAAATAAAATATTGGGAATATACATATATAATACAAGGATAATCTGTATTATACATACCTATATATGGCATGTATATGGTTGTTACATTATGTCTACGTGTTATTTCGTTTATTACGCAGTACGAACTATTTTTATATTAGTTAATAATTCAGTTAAGTAAATTGCATAGATGTTTATAGTCGGAACGGGAGATATAACAACTAAATCTCTACAACCGTCTAAAAGATTTGGGAATGTCCAGAGCTAATATCAATTCATTCTTGGAATGGACTTCGTAGGCAACCCTAGTAGCTTATTTTCAAATTTAGTTAGGTGGATAGAGGAGCTTGGAGGTGAGCGTCTAGCGAGCGCTAAGTAGTTGCCCTAAAACCTACACCTGAGTCGCAAGTCCCAGGCACTGTTGAAGCTCCTCGCCCTGCAACGATGGACCCGGCACCCGCACGGTGAATACAATGAATGGTGAGAGGTTTCCTTTCATAGTACTTAATGTGTTTTAAATATACGGATACTTACATAATAAAACAATTAAACCTAGTTGTATCTTCACTACACTAAAGTACAAAGAATATAAAAACAAAAGGAAACAAATAAATTATTGCGGATTTTATAATATTTTAACCTTATTAGGAATTGTACGAAAGGAAATTTTGCTACTGTTTAATCACTATTTAATAAAATAAATTTTATATTAATGTTAATTAAACACATTATTTTTTTATATTCATGATTCCGATTTTTGTGAACTTTTTTGGTTTTCTGCTGTAGATTCCTTTACTTCGGCATTAGCTTGGCTTTTCAGTTCAGCTTTGGGAGCTGTAAAAAAATTTTTTTGATGTTTTTATTTTTATTTTATACGACTTTTCTAGGTAAACAGGCCAGGACACAGATTGAAAGCGATCCTGATAAGATTTTAAGTTGACAACATTAATCGGGATTATTTTGAATTATGGTCTTATATTGACAAATCTATTCAAGGTTTCAGCAGAACATAGCAGGGGCTATGTTTCCACCTCGATGATGAATACGAAACATACATAATACTATTCTAACCATTTGATCCTACGACGATAGGCTGTGTCAGATCCTGAAGAGAGACCAGTTGAGCTAGACGTAGGGTTGGACTTCCCTGGGCTGGTTGAATTTGTCTAAAAAATAAATTACGGAGCACATATTAATTATTAAGTCTTTCGTGTCATTTTTTCCAAGGAACTACGGTATGGGGTTCACCAAGAAAAGAATAAACACCCACTCTGTATTACATTCAGGATTCCATATATCTCCAAATAACTTTTTAAATTGCAATAGCAATCTAGTTTTCTAAAATGCTAATAGTTGTATGCTATAAACTCACTGGTATAATCCAGGATTCTGTAACGCGACGTGTGGCCCAGATCCTGGGACACCGAACACGTAATTGGGACTCGCTTGCGCTTGAGGATAGTTGACTACTTGTGGACCTAGCAGCAGTGTGCTTTGATAACCTGGAATGTTTTTAGTAATAAGAAATTCTCATGGTTTTTATATTGTGATTTTATAAAAAAGCTATTCAGTTTATATTATACTAAATAATATTAATTGTTTTTTGATATTTTAAGCTTGTATAATCATTATATATATTTTTTATACATGTTAAATTTGAATTCATGTTAAGAGACAATTTTTGCCGACATTTTCGAGTGTTGATCAAAAATGTATTTGTAACGTTTTTTTTAATGCCTTACCATTCCCGGGATATCCGTTGTTTCCTTGTGGAGCTGCGCCGACTATATAAATAGGCTGATAGCCTCCGATTGATCCCGGCCTGTAAACAACGTACCTTTTAAAACCATTGTTTACTATTTATTAATACTTAAAATACGCTAAATAATAGTATGGACTTTATATTTTATATATTACATGTATATAAGATGTGAAAATACATTTTATTATTAAAAAGCATATTATACATATGAAGATACAATTTTAAATGATAATGTACGATATCACAACGAACCCATATCATTTTTGGAAGAACTATCAGAGTGGGCTAGGAGAGTACAAAGAGAGTAGAGTCTTTTACTTCGATATTACTGTTATTTTTTCCCAAAAATCGTGAATTTATGTGATTTCATACGAGAACTAAGTTTCCTTTTTTAGAATATTAAATGAGATGGCTAAAATTATTCAAGGGTAAATCAGCTAGCTCTTCACCAATCTGTTACATTATGTTTTATTGCTCTCTGTATAGTAAGTATACGATGCATCATACGTTGTAAGTCAAAGTGAACACGCTCATACATTTCCCTTATAACGGTTCCGACAATTATCCGCGCTAAGTAAGCTTTATATAATTAAGTGCCTGTTGCCAGCGGATAGCAATTTAGCCGTCCAACCTCAGTTTACGCTCTCAGCTCTGTAATCATTGATTTTGTAATAAAATAAGTTTTCCACAGGAAATTGTTGTAGGGAACTACCGGTGGAATTTTGTTAAATATTATACCAATGGTAGTTTGTTTGAATATTTTTTGTGTTTTAAGGCAAACTATATTTTGTTCATCTGATACTAAATGTTTACACAAAGATATTTGTAACAAAAGATATACATATGTCTTTGCTCCAGAGATTGTTCATTATGTCTTTTATTAAAATAATTTCTCACAACAAGTAGTAAATGTCTAACTCTATGTTTTTGTGTGAGAGTGATACCATAATTATTGTTATATTTTCTTAAAAAATCATATGTAATTTAATTCTTCATATCATTTAAAATTACGGACTATAGTTATTTTCTTAGTTTATTTAAATGAATTACCAGTTAAATCGAATATCGAGTAATATCTACCTAGCAAAGGTATTTAAATGAAATTTATATCATATATTTAATATACTAACCTTAATCCTGGTACCGGCATATGAACAATGAACACTCTCTGTCCTGGCATCAATCCGGGAACATTTGGAGACACGGGCACCTTTAAAAAGAATTGTTCTATTATAATTACATAAATAAAAATATCACAACTATGTATATACGTTCATTGAGAGTATGAATATCAAAGTGATACATTTCCGGGTCAAACATTGAATGAAAAGTAAAAATTTGTGAAAATCGTCAATGTCAATCATTTTGTCAGCTCTCGTTACAAATGCAACTAAGTTATTCGAATCGTGATCACGGGATTTCATCTCAGATGAGAGATGCAGATGCCCGTGATCACGGTTGCTACATAGGAACTGAAACGTCAGGATTATATAGGTATAATATCATTATAAAATTAGTCGTATTTCATATAATTATTATAAAAATAAATCTTAGAAGTATAAGAGTAAATACTATCTGACATAAAATATTTTTGTTGATAGGTGGAGGCTATTTGTTGACTACCGATGGACACCTGAGAGTTGTTCCCAATATTCAAATTTGTCAATGAATTTTGGAATTGGACTAAAAGTGAAGAATCTATTAGATCTTTCAAAATCTCTTTGATAACAAATACTTTTGCTTTAATCGCTTTTAGCTGGTAAATATACGAGATGAAGAACAGGCCCATAGCTGTTTTACCCTAGTTTATTAGCAAAATACCTATTGAAGTTAAATATTTGCTTTATACCTGTTGCGGTGGTTGTTGTGGTGGTTGAGCGCCAGGAATGAGTTCCACTTCACTATCAGGTTCCAACGTTTCAAGACGAGCTGGTGAACCATTTGAAGCATCTGGAAATATTTGTAATACATTATTAATAAAGGAACTTATGATTGGAAGAATAGAGTACAAAATAAAAGATGATAGACCTTGTTGCTGTGGTTGATAAAAATTTGAAGCTTCCTGATTCCGATAATAATAGTCCAAACTGAAAAAAAATTATTTATATTACTAACGTAATCAATCAGTGATGACAAAAATATTTTCGAATTATTTCCCGTATTTTATTACTAAAAAAACTACATATGTACTGCAATCGTTTCAATTACTTTGCAGCAACCGTGATCACGGGCATTTAAATGAATACTTGAGAAAGTCTAGGTACCTATATATATTAAAATAAGTGAAGGTTTAAACTGTAATGTACGATATAAAGATTAAGCTTACGGATTCAGATGTTCCATTTGATCTGAGTTGGAATATGGATGTGACATCGGAAGACCAACAGCTGCGGAGATGAACGTGGCGATTATCATATACTGGAAGAAAATAATAATTTAGATTCATGTATTAGTTGATATAAGCGACTGACAGATTTATAAAATATGTATTTTTAAGGTACGTTATGACATTAAAATTCTGTAGATTCTAAGTTTGGAATGTTATCAGGAGATGAAAAACATTATTTTAACATATTTGTAACTTATACAATATATAACGCCATGTAGAGATTCGATCGTTGTCATTCTAAGGATGCCCGTCATTACCTTCAATGCTACCTCACTGAGGCCGACACACGGAAAATGATGATTATGAAACATTCTGACTCGCGAATCGAAATCAGAATTTGGTGTCAAATAGAAGTTTCCTATCCTTCCCATTACAATATTACTATTAGTCCTCTCATTTAAAATAAAACAAATAGATTAAGTTCTTCTTATTTAATTGAATATTTAGTATCATAACTTAATAATGACGCTAAGTTATTCATTAACATGATACACTTCAACAACTAGATCGCATTAACATACTAGATAATTGTAATTTTTAAAATGCTTCTACAATTTGTCATCACTTATTTTAATCTAATCGTGTAGGTTTTAAATATAATCATTTTATCTCATATAAACGAATGAACCAATTATAAAAAAAGGCAGTAAAGAAACTGGTTAGTAAAAAAATATACGTAGTGGTTTTACGAGTAAGATATAAGTAGGTTCTTTTCAAATTTGGTTAGGTAGAGAGAGGAACTTGGACGGTGGAGGTGAGCGTTTAACGCGAGTTAGATAGGGGCCCCTTAAACCTACACCTGGGTAGCAAGTCCCAGGCACTGTAGAAGCTCCTCTCCCTGCAAAGCGATGGATCCGGTACCCGCACGGTTAATACATTGAATGCTAAGAGATTTCGCCTCTATTGGGAGTCCTTATTATAGATACAAAGTATAAAAAATTGTAACGACCAACAATGTAAGTAGGAAGTTTGTCGTATTACTGCAACATTTATATCATATAACATAAAAAAACACTTATATGAAGTACTTATCTCCTTTAGAGAACTCAGAATATATCTAGAGACATTATCAATCACAACAAATGGTTAATTGAATAAAATATTTAATTGGAATTCCTCCTAAGTTAGTTCTATACGTAATGATTGGAATAAATTTGCAAATATTAATGATAATCTTATTTGTTTCATAGTATTTTTACGGATATCGTCATCATACAAAGTAAGAGTTATTTATAAACGATTGCACTTCGAAATAACTGTATTAGTTAAACTTCTCGTATACTCTAGAATAGATAAGAGAAAATACTACGAGTTTTTGGTTTGGTCCTGTTTTAAATGTCTTGTAATCGGTATAAGCATTATTGATTCATAGATCTACTTTTTCTACTGCAACTCTCTATCAACAGTAAGTACATTTTATTTGCTGCCATGTTATCTCTTTTTGTCTCTCACTTACCGTTAATATATGTGTGACAAATAAACAAAACGATTGTTAAAAAATATTTATTTTATAAAAGTGTCCATTGTGTATTAATAGATGAAATAAATTATTATTTGTAAAAGGAACATATGTATGAGAGAACTAAAAAAGTTTTTTCTAAAATGATGCCAAAGCTTACACATAATATATAATTTATATATACATATATATGTATTTAGTAACTGAAGCTGAAACATTTATATTTTAATTTTCTTATAGTGATGGTAAACTTCTTACATTTTAAAAGTTCTATTATAAACTCGGGAATAAATAAATGTTTTTTTCTAATTATACTATCAGCTAGTTTCTTATAGAGTCATTTGAATTATAACTTACTAACTCATGTTTACGCAAATGTCAATCCTAGTCGACTCTGAGTGGAAAAAACGTGGTCACCACAATGCGGAAGGAAGATATTTTAATTAATGCCTACATTCACTATTCTCCTTTGTTTTTAAAGTTGTGTGGTCACAATGACACTGGAATATTCATAGCTAAGATAACATTGTACTATTGTATATATTAAACAAAAGACGCTATCTGCTGGACATCGCGTGTAAATGGGGATTTAAAAAAATAGGTTCATTTAGAGAATGTTGAATGGATATGGGTGTACTGAAAAAAATATTATACTATATCTTTTATGAATGTAATAAATAATATATGTAGAAGGTTATGAATGGGACCTCTAAAGAGAGACGTTTTTCTAAATGTTACCTATCTGGTAAATAAATACAGTTGTATCCTTAATCGTCGTATATTCCCAATTACCAATAAATTGGGTATATTACAAAGAACTGAACATCCTCTTGAATGAAGACGTACATATTATGATATCCGTATATTAGTATGTATGTGATGCTACCAACCTTCACCCAGTTGTCATTGGACGAACTAAAGTGACATAACCGCATCGGCTTTGAGATCCTAAGATAATAGTTAGATTATTACAATAAATTAATGAAATATCCAATGAAAGACATAATAATAATGTTAAGAGGACAAAGGAAAAGTGTTAAGTTTCAACCATAAATGAAATTAAGAAATTTTGTTTAAAAAATTTTTTTTCTTATTGTTTATGTTTGTTGTGGATGCTAGTTCTAATACAAATTTGATTAAAAGATTTCTGTGACGTTGACTCAAAAACCTAAAGGAATTACTCATATTTCCAGTAAACAACTAATGAAATGTATCAATATTTTTTTTAATAACTGAAAATCCTTAATGTCCAAAGATTTTGTCCAGTTTTGAATACAAAGCGTGGAAATGTTTGGAGATGTAAATGTAACGGTTATTTTGTATTATTTGAAGTTTCTTTGACATTTTGTTTGGACGAAGAGTGACATTAAAGGGTCATTCACCCTAAATAAACAGACGTATGAAGGATCATTGTACGTTTTTAGTTAAAAATATTTCTATTACTTGTAAAATATGATCTTCATCGACATGTGTTCCGGATAGTTTTTGAATTAAAAGCCAACTTTAGACTAATTCTTAGATTACCATAAAAGAGTATTGTATCCTAGTAAAAATTTTTGTAATTATATATCTGCTTTCATATAAACGTATAGAAATTTCAAAATTGTAAGTGTGTATTTATGTTTTCCAAAAACGACAACTTAAAACACCAAATTTTAAAATTAATGATAATAAAGTCGAGGCATTTTTTAGAAAAAAAAAATGTTGATAGTCCTTTTAATTTTAGGGGATTGGCTATATTGGTAATAAGTATGAGGGGGCGTTCTGTCAACGATTGTACAACCGTCACAGTCAATTTGCTGTGACCGAAACCCCTTGCATCATCAGAAGTTAGAACCATCACAACTCAATTGCAGGGGTTTTAGCGACCTCGTTCACAGCCGATTTATTACGTAATGTATACGATTTAAGCACTATTGCTAATATATGGACATATATGTTTCTTAAAATGTTACTAGTCAATTATTATAAGTTTATTAAGATAACTAGACTTACATTTGACAATAAGATTGGTACGGTTTTCAGTAATTTGGGTCAACAAGCAAATTTTTGTATAAACCCAATACATTTTAATTATTTTTTTATTTTTTTTTATTTATTTAATATTATTTCTCAGAAAGGCATATTTAAAATAATAGCGTTTCAGAGTATTAAAATTTTAATAGTTTTAAGCATATCCTTTCTGATGACTAATTAATTATTTATTACAAGTTATGAACCATTAAACTATCATATGTGTAAGACGAAAAAAGCAATTAAATACAAAACCTAGAGGAAAGTCTTTATTTCGAAAAGAAATAGGAAATTTCCTAGTCGTAGATTGTCCTTCTAATAGCGGTAGAAGTGTTATCAAATAATAGTTGGAAGGTTAAATAAGAATAGAGAAAAAATAGGTAAATAAAATTAAAGGTTTTTAATCAACTTATGTAGAAAATAGAAAATTAGAATAAATTAATAGTTTTTTTGTCATTACACTGGTATGAGACCGCTCTGACACTGCTTTTTGTTTCACGGAGTACAAATACATTAAAAAGTAAAAGGAGCAAAAATATTTTAAGAGGTAGTATGTCTATTAAGAGATGATCATGTCTTATCACACATCAGAATTTATTTTAATAAAAAAAATCATAAAGTATAAAACGAATGAAAATTTGTTAATTTATAGTAATATTTAATTGTCAAATAATTATTATAAAAAAGTATATTTTTATTTAATGATATTATATGTATTTAGTGATAAAATAGACTTACGAAAAACGCCGCCATTGTTACAACACCAAGGAAAACACTTGCGCAGGCGCCGGTAGGGTAATGCGTGTGTTGATCGCTCGCCGCTTTATATGTAGCCACGGGGTTGTCGACACTCCACTCTTAAATTACAAACCCTTTTCATGATTTACTTATAGAAGTAACTTTAATGATCATTAAAGAAGGATTTATTGGTTTTTAACATTGCAATATTTTTCTGACCCTCATCGTATAATATTATAAATGATTTTATTATTTAGACGGCTAAGAGATGGTGTATGTACATATTTAATTGATATAATAAGGAATTGATAATTTTATACAATAATTTGCAAGGCTATATTAATTCAAGATTTAAAAATTTTATAAGCCAGATTTTTATAATTAGGCAATTTAAGCGCTAATTTAAAAGTACTTCTTGAATATTAAGGAATTGAAACATTTATTACGGGAAATACATTATTTTTATTATGTCCATTGTTCGATTAATGACTAATTGTATCTAAGTCGTATTCAATATATGAGTATTTGGCACGTCTCCAGCTTGGTAATAAATAATGTTGTCAATCGGAAGTTAAAAAGATAGGTAGATTTATTATATCGTATCTTATTTATTATCTTGTTAAGAATCTTAAAAACTATAAAGGATTTGCTAAATAGATATAAATATATGTATAACCAAATCTGGCTGGAATGATATTATTGTTTAGATATCATGTTTAAAAGGTACATTTTTAAAATATATCCTTAGTCAAGAAATACTATGTTTTTGTGATTGGAATAGGGCTGTGGCAGTAATAAAAGAAAAACACTTACATATATTTCCGAATTCCGTGAAAAACATAGGTTTTCAGAAATATTTTAATTCTATTATCACTGTACAATTTGCAGTAAAAAATATTTTTTTTCTACCATCCTTCTTATATTATAAATGCAAAACGTTAGTTGCTCTATCACGTAACAAATTTTGATGAAAGTTTCCATTAATGTGGTTTAAACATCGGAATAAAACTTAGGTTATAATTTTTCAGGGAATTTCAGCTTCCTCGGGATCATGGCATAACAGCTGTGTTTTACATGAAGTAGTGTGAAGGAATATAGAAGTCACTACTGGTTTCATACCAAATCTGTTATTTCAACACAGTTTGTATAATTTTCTCTGAGCCCACTACTTAATTCTATAGAATAATTATTTAGTTTTATAGATGGAGTCACGAGCAGGAATTAGTTTAAAATAAGCCTTTAATACATTCCAAATATTTATTTTATGGTTAATATTACTGATTCTATTTGTATTTACTCCATAAAACTATGAAATAAATAAATCGCCAAATAAAATTGGGACTTTCCTATAAACTTTATTCTTAAAAAAGTAATTGCCAGATGTAGCTGTACAAGTGAATCGTGTGAATACGCATTGAGTTCAAAGTTTTGACCACTACAATGACATCGCTTATCTGTTTCCAGAACCAGTCGTTTCCTTGAACCTGTATTATTCATCAAAAAGCAAACAGAATACGTCATATGCGAAAATATTTGAAATGACTGAAACCAGAACCAAAATATCTTGAGCTTTAGTATTATAACTTTCCTTGTATCACGAATTTTGTGTTGATTTTCATATAAAAATATTGTTTATATAAATAGTTTATAATAAATATATGGTTTACGTTACGATCGAGGCAATTTTAATTTATATAAGATATTGGTTCCCTCACAAAGCTTGACTATGGAAGTTTCCATATTCCAGATCAACAGATATGAACTATATCTTTGGAGTACAATTTTTGGGGGGATCATAGAGGCCTTTACATGTAGCCTTTGATGTAATCTAAGGTTCCTTACTGGCTTGCTTTATAATGCACAATAACGTTATATAGAGTTATTACGATTCAAATGTATAATCACTTTTCTTTTTCTAATTGAGTACTGATGCAGAAGATTCGTACGCAGTAAATCAAATTTTATATAAAAAACACCAATGAGATTTAAGAATATAAGAAAGTCTTATCTAATGACAATGACTAAGACTTACTCTTTGTTAGCTATAAAATATATATAAATCAAATTTCGTCAAACTGTCGTATTAATAATTCCATTTTAAACTTTAACTAACTTATAATATACTTGCGTTAATTATACTTAAGTCCTTAATCATATATAACGTACCATAATATTAGAATCGTTGAAAAAACTTGTACAAACAACATAATATTTGCAAGCTGCGATCGATTTAAGGGAAAACCAGATATGCAACGAAAGTGACGCATTACTTTATACAAATGTCGCTGTACAACACGTGGCATAATAATTTATATGCTAACAAACTAGAAGCAGATCAAATTGCAACGCAATTTAAAAATTGCTATAATATATGTGTTTCATATTATAAGACTATGGAATATATTGTGAGTATGAACAACCTAGGCAGAAGCAAGCCTCTGGTTAGAAAAACTTACTGGTACCTTGGTATAGCAGTTTTCAAGTCTCGGGAATTTTAAGTGTATTTGTGCTTATAAGATTTTATACATTTACTGTAGGGCAACTTAATCTTAGGAAAATGGAAATGGTTTTTTAATTATACAAAAAACTGTATTGAACATGTCTCAATAATATTATAATAAAAACACCCAAAAGAGCTGCTGTTTTATTCTGGTGTAGAATGTATTACATTTTGTAACGATCATATACATTTTGACAATATTCTTATTTTAATATTTAATTGTACTACTATACTATGTTAATAGGTGTATTTTTTAAAGTGAAGTCCAATATTTTTTGCGAAAAAACGAAGAAAGCAAAAAGTTTCACTAGTTTTACAAATTGGTATTTTAAGTTTTCCAATTATTTTTCCTACGTGTAACTTTATTGTTATATCACCTTAACGAATTTTGTTTTTTACTTTACACTAAAAAAGGAATGAAAAAAAATTAACTTCATAAAATCTGATAAAAATTTTGTAATTATTATTTATTATAGTTTTAGTGTTTGAGAATAGCAAAGTGTTTTTTATCAGGCGTTTATTTTTTTAAATTAACCAAACCTCTTTGTTGTTTCTTTACTATATAAAATATAAATATTTTCAGAAATAAACAAATGGATTATGTATGTATTATGGATCAAAGTTTTTTTCTATTTTACTCTTTAAACAAATGTATATTAATTGTATTAATGCAAACTTATACAACGATATAAAACTACCATAAACTAGTGTGTGATAAAAAAATCAAAGCAAAAATTTAAGTAAAATATATTTTACTTTTTTATGATGTTACAATAATATGCATATTGTTTGACACAAAAAAAATTAACATAAGTATTTAAATATTGTTCATGTCTCTCTTTTATTTTTATGTTTCTGAAGTTTCCTTTTCTTTATAAAATTTATGACTTATATTGATTCCTTTATTGATGCTGTCTATACATATTGAATATTTCAGTAGGTTCTTCCTTTGATTCTGAGTTTTCTGCTATGATGGGCATTAAAATCTATTCCTAGTAAGCTCGGATCAATGCCAGCTATGGCTGTCCCTATTGGTCTTGCAATCGCTACACCACTGGTTGCTACAGCTGTTCCCATGGGACGAGATGCTGCTATACCACTCTCTGCTATCACCGCTAAACCTGTAGAAAAACATATACGAATGTAGTATTATATATACAGATCGATTATGTTAGAACTATATATATGTTAGAACTATGTATATACCACACAATGTAAGTTGTTATTGTTGTCTAAATAGCTCACTATTTGAAGTTCTATCTATGCAACGACCTGTTATTGTTCGGTTGTATAACAATCTCTCCTATGTAAAATGTTGTATTGTGTGACCGTATTTGAAATATATCACAGTTAACCAATTAAATTCTGTTAATTTTCGGCCAATCCGAATAGATTAAACTTTTCAGAAGATTATCAAATTTCTTACCAACTGGTTTTGCTTCAGCTACTAGACTTTTATCTATGTTACTTCCTTCTGATTCAGCCGCGCTGTCAATTCCTATCCCTTCCTCACCAACCTGCAAATAGCGGTTTAATAATAAATATGCAATAAGATGAGATATATAATAATTTCAAAACAACTTACATCATCGTAATAGTCGTCTTCCTGTTTGTTCCTTAAAATGGTTGTATTTTTTTTGAAAAGAACATCAATATCATCAGCGACCTCATCTATTAACTTAATCGTGTTAGAGGCTGCTTCTCCCAAGTTAAGTAAATCACTTTTAAATTTTGCTTTCTCTTGTGTACCTAAGGCACCAGTTTTTCTTCCTAAGTTTTGCAATTTTATGAGACTGCTTGATAAAGTTCTGAGATTTTCTAAGTTGACTGCTAGTATTTTAGATAAAACATTGTCATTATTGTTCTTGTTGATATGTTCAGGACTTATGCTTTTCTCAGCGACAACTTTCTCGCTCAATACAGTGCCTCTGGTGTCCTTTTTAACTTCTAAATATTGACCTTTCGCACCACCGTAGAATGGTATGTATTGTGTGGCATCACTATAAACAGTAAATGTAATTATATGTATAAGGTTTTAATTGCGTATAGTGCTTATATTAAGAATGAGGGTATTTTTGAACAAAACATTGATTATCTTACTCAAACTATGGCAGAATTTTTTACTGAGATGTACTGTACTTTTTGTGCTAGAAATGTCTGTTAAAATGTTTACTTAGTTAAGAAATAATAAATCAAGTTACAATCTGTTTTTTAATAAAGCAAAACGTATAACACAATTTATCAGATTTTTTATATTTATAATGTTGTAGTTTGGATTCTTCCAGTAAATTATTGTTTCTACTTATCATAAATATATATCGATAAAAATAACCTGTATATAAAAATATCTTAAGGTATAAAAAGGTTACACATAATTTTAATAAACATAATTAATATTATTGTATTAAAAAAAATATAGAATTAATTAATAATTAAGAAATAATCATGAAAAAGTATTTTTTTTATTATTGTAGAACCATAAAGCCTCGGTAGAAAATAAAATAAAATAGATAACAGTTTGTTCCTAAACTATGATAGTTGGTCCTCATTTCTTTACCGATATTACACGGACAGATATTCCCCATCCATCCCCATGTTGAGATTTCATTCAGTTCTTATATTCGTCATTATAAAAGGCTTAAAGGAAAAAACAACGTTGAATATGTACTCTTTCTTTTATTTATAATACAAATTGTTATTTACACAAAACATAATAAAGAAATAATCTATTATTTTAATTGTTACTGTGTCGAAAAATAGCTTCAAAAGAAGTCGAAATTATTTTTCTACATCATATCGGAAATAAGCTTAAAGTTAAAATTTTGCGTTTAAAGTTATATTTCTATTATCAACGTTTAATTGGTATACTCATAAACGTTTAACTCTGATTCTGCGTGAGCTATCCCCCCTGGTCCAACTATCGCTACAGCTTGAGGCTTGTGCACTATAGAACCTACTTCTCCCGGTCTTACGATTACACTTGAAATTGGATTCGATATGGCAACGCCCTTGTTACCACTAATAGCAAATGCTCTAGGGCTTATTTGAAGGAGGAACGTTGAATTAGCTAAAGTATGTCCGACAAAGTTTACTCCATCATAATTGTAAACATCCTGACCATCTTCTAGATTCCTTGGTTGGACACTCTTCTTAATGTACTCGTATAATCTAACAGGCAAAAAAATTTATACATTAATAAAATATAATCATACTATGATCATGGTTGGGATGGTTGTTCAGTGGGGTGATAGTAAATAACGGGACCAGTAGCGACTAATTTTCCTTCTCTTATTGGTTGCGACGCTGCAGGTACTGAACTATCATTTTCTTGCAGACTTGACAAGACATCATTGATGTCAGTTGATTCAGGAAGAGCTACAATTCTTGCATGTGGTCCAGCTACAGCTAAGCCGCCAGGTTGAGTATAAGCTAGTCCACCTGGACCGACAATTGCTGTTCCACCTCTGCCCGCAGTTGCAACACCTCCCGGACCAGCGATAGCCACACCGCCTTTCCGTACTCTTAACCGATTAATGAAGAAACCGGGAGGAAGAGGAACAGCTGGTTTCTTATCTCCAAACCAATTAAAATCACCAAATGGAAAACGCAAGTCTCCTCCAGAATCATCATTTTTAGAGTCTTGAATCTTTTCAACATTGTTTGGTTTTTTAGTAGCCCTTCTTGTTGGAGTTTGATTGGTGACGTATATTTTTTTACCTGACTTGCTTTCTTCAATTTCTTGATTTGGTGATTTATCTGCAACTGTGCGTTTTTTAAGTGCTCTTGACTTTCGAGCACTAGTTTTAGTTTCTAAAGAAGTATGTCTTATTCCATTACTATCATCTAAATCTTGGTCTAAATCTATTTCATCAGATGAATGCCTGCTATGCCCAGACTTTTGTTTTCTGTTACATACATCAGCACTCTGCCCGTATTCGATAAAATTGTCCCATCCACCTCCTTGTGAGAAAGCAACAAATGGATTTTTAATTAATACAGGAAATAAACTTTGTGTTAGGGGCCATTCAAAATTGAAATTCTGAAAAAAGGGAAGACGTAGAAAAGGCGACTGCTGTCGAGTGGTGTATGCATCGTTTGGTAAAACTGATTTAAAATTATTATTAACGGCAAGTTTGTTAACAAGGTCGCTATTAGGTGTAACCACGACTGGCAAATTTATAATGTAAGGTAATGGCATTGTTTGTAATTCGTTCCCCATTAACATTTCTGGATTGAATTTTAAGGCTCTTGAATTAATGATTTGATGATCATCATTGCTAATATTGCTATCTTCGGGCAGGTTAAGGGAATGTGATTTAATCTTCCCTGAAGCAATAATATCTTGAAGTTTTTTAAGTAATTCTTGATCGATGCCTTGACTTTTTTCAGCATATGGTAAATTATAATTTATTTGTTCTCTTCTAGGTTTAGTTAAACCATTATTTATAGCTTTGATCTTTTCCACTATATCTAAAGTGCTATCATCGTTTAAATATTTTTCTGTATCTGCTTGATAGTAAACAGGTCCATCTACTCTATCTAGGATAGCTCTGGCTAGTTTTGTGTCCGGTTCGTCTTCAGAGAGATTTGACGACCTGAAATTAAATACCATTGAGTATGGGAACTTGTTTTTATATTTTATTTTATCTACAAAGCATGTTAGAATAATAACAGTAAAAGCAGTGAAATAAGGTAAAGAGCATACCTGAACCTTTGCACCCGACCCCTATAAGAAGTAAGTAACTGTCCTCTTGGATTAACGTTATGTTAGTTATGTGCGTACTGCTCTTCAAAGCTAACTACGAAAGTGCTTTTATGGTACAATATTTTAATTAATAAGATTTTGTGAACAGATTTAAGTTGCATTTAATATTAATAAATTTGTTTCTTTAAGCTCTTCCATCTTCATAATAAATGCAAATAAAATCCGTTTTTTTTGTAAGTAACTAAATAAAATCACATATTTACAATTGAATATTTTGAAAATAATAAAAATAATGTTCATATTGTAAATCCATTATTGTTTTTCAAATACAAAAAAGTGTGTTGTATTTCAATTTCATAAGAAATTTTTTGTTATGTAGAATTGATATATAAAAAAATATATTTTTTATTTTAAAGATATTCTTTAATGAGATGATGTTAACAATTTTTTTTTTCATTTTCATTAATAAAAAAATTAGACACTTATTGGAACCTTTTTTCTGCTTATTAAAACCGTAGACGGTCCTTAGTTACTAGTTAGTATGTAACATAAGACAGATTCTTAAGACATAAATGTTTTATATTCTTTACATTATAATATATAATAATTACGTTAATTTTACATTAGAAAGAGATATGATACTTACTCATTAGGGGATGGCCGCGACGCTACTCTCAGAAGACAGCACGCCAGTAACAACTGAAATGTAAAAACCGGCATATTTAAAACAAAACAAAAAAATATTATATGTCACCTGTTGAGTCCAGTTTTGTTCATATCGTTGGTATACATTTATTAAAAGATCAAATGTTCATCCTCATTAGTTGAAGTTTTATAAAGTTAAAAAGTTCTGAATGTATGGCTTATTTTTCGCATCTTATGTATTTAGATAGCCTTTTGAATGTATGCATTGTGTCAAAAGTCCCTTGATATTAAAAAGATTATTTGATATGAGATTAAAGATAAGTGTATGATATATGGGCACCAATCTAATACATAATTGCTAAAAATGCCAGCTTTAGTGATACATACATTTACATTTAGACCAAAATGAATAGAAGCAAAGTTTTGAACATAGAAGTATCTTTAAAATGTCAGTGATCGGATTTGTTTTTCCTTTTGTGTGTGTGTGTGTGTATGTGCGTGTGCGTGTGTGTGTGTTTTCAATATAATCCACTTATAACAACAGAATATAATAGTCCGATGACCGTGTCAATGTAAGTGGCGCAGACTAAAAAGTAAATATTAACATCAGTGAGTGGGTCGTTTTTTATAGCGAAATACCGTTACCGTATCAAAATGAGCAATACTATGTTTAAAGGTACGTGAAGATGATTCTCTGAGTCTCACTATAGTTTAACTGATAATACAAATCCTGCTTATTTTAATATGTATATTTCTTTTTATTATTATAAAAATCTATCTTACAGTAAGTAAAGTAAGTAGTTAATTCATATAAATAGAATGTAGGGCTCTTGTACATTCTCGTCTCATCATTTCTATGAAGAAAGTTGTTAAGCCACTGTTCGTCTGGTTTTTTTTAATAGATTTATAACACTTGAAACTTTTATTTCCTTTTAAAGTTAACTGGTAACTTTTTTTTAACATACATTTTTTATGTTCTTTCAAATATTTACATTACAGCCTTCTCATAAAAATCGTTACTAATCTATTATTATTTGAGTGACCAAACTGAATGTATATGTCATTTATGGTCACTTTGACTGTTTTATATGTCAAGGACATATTAAAATGTATCAAGTTCCCTATAAAAATAAAAGATATTGTTTCTTCTTTTGTTAATATATATCTCTATGAACAAACTTCTTAAGATTCTTCTCTAATATCTCATCCCAACCGAAACTAATTGTTTTATATTAGAAACAAGTTTTTAATATTAGAAGGTTCGCTTTTAATGTTAGTCTTATTTTTATATCAGACGCCCTTAACTACTCACTGATTTGAAAATGTCAAAAGTCCACCGACAAGAGCATGTAAATGCTAGATAAAAAATGCCTTTACTAGGAAGAAATTATAATACGCTTCGAGCGTTTTATAACAAGATTGGGTTGACTAGTTTTTTATAAAACATTATATTTAATTATCTATAGGAGCTCTGAATAGTAATTATTCCATATAAAGATCGTGTGTTGATAAAGAAACATTATTGATACAAAAATATATTACATATAAGCATACAACTTGTCTACATATTGTGATGTAATAAATTTTTATTATCCCTGACTTTATTATTTAAATTATGGTTCTTTCAATAGTCTGAGACTCATTTTCGTCGGCGTTGATCGGATAGTGTGTCTTTTTGTATTATCCGCACTATCCGATGATAAACAAAATTTGCAAGTATAATGTACCATGGAGGTGAAACCATCGCCACTTATTGTATATTATTTCATCTACATTATAGACGTATAATTTTTTTGCTTTATTATATTCATTTACATTTTTCAATACGGAAGATCATTTTTAATTTGCGTGAGGACAGTAATGATGCTTCGTATTTTTCTTTTTCGTTTAATAAGCTACTGGTATTAATGCCTCTATAAAATAATATTACAGGCCACAGTGTATCAAGTTTCGCTCGTGTCTAATTGTTTTATTTTTATAGCGATCACTGTACGACTAAATATAATAGCTTTAGTAATTAATCTTAAGCAAAACAAATGTTTTAATATGTTGTAACTGTATATTAGACTGATATTCTTTTTTCTAAGGAGATGTCAGAAGTAATACAACTGACAAGTAATTGTTGATACCGCTTGCTAATTAAAGAGGCTTGTTCATCTTGATATGTTCGAGTGGCTCTGCCTTTTGTATGAACCTTTTGTCTAGTTTTACTGTTATATGAGTATCATTAATATTTGAGTATGTCATTTTTAGTACTATATAGATTTGTATTTTTAGATTATTCTTTAAAGGTAAAGGTATTTGCAAAGATATACATATGACATATTTAAATAATATTGTACTAAGAACCACTTTATTTTGTAATGATTCTGACTATATCTTTTGACTTAAGTTTTTAAATAACTTCGCCAATTACTTAATCGTCATTTTATGCTGTAATTTATTTCAGAAATATAATTGTGAATGAAAAAAATCGTTATTCCACCTTGACATATTATTAAAGAATTTTAATTCAGTTAAATCGTGATATTATAACTGATGTATCGTTAAACTTACACGACGTTGCCGCGTCACAAAACAATTAAGATTTAAAAGCACTTATTATTGCATTAGAGTATTAGCGTGTAAAAACTTAAAAGTGGTTTCAAAAACGTTTCAGACAAGTGAATGGGAATATTTTTTTTAATACAAATGAATTTAGTATAAAGTTCTCTTATTTTTTTTTGTTCGGTCGGATTAAAAGGGTCTTTTATTTATTCACAATTCAAACGTGCATCTTCATGAGAGAGATTCTGTAATGTTAAACAATTTTCTCATAAAACTTTAAAAATATATTCGATTGTAAAATCTAAATAAATAAATCCATCAATGTGTCTGTAAAGATTTTTATGAGAGTAAAATCGAATTAATATTAAGGAAAAAAATATTATTAAATGCTTCGAGTATTCAGATACGCAATAGATTTTGGGACGAATGTAAAAGTAAGCTTTGTTATTACTCATACAGGAGGTGATAATATAACCTATGACTTAATAATTCACAGATTTCTTTAAAGAAATAATAAAATTTTGCTGCTAACATTCAAAATTGGATGCTCTGAAATAGCGAAAAGATTGAATAAGTTTATGTAGAATATAAATTTGACTTCAAATAATTTTATTGACAGCAAAAATTTCCATTCGACCCAAAAAATAGAATTGACTAAATAAACAAATCAAAATATATGTTAAAATGAGCATTTCATTATTTAGGTAAAAATGGAATAGATAACACTTATTAATAATTACTGTTTTTAAATAAAATCTTAATTGATGACTTCATCATATTTTAAATTAATCAAGTGAAATATTATTAAAATAAAATATTTATCGGATGTCTAATAAATATATGAGACTGTAAGTTAGTCAAATATATAAGTAAACATATAAGGAGGTGTCCAAACAATTAATCTATATGCTTTAGAGGTGTTTGATATGTGAATCAACCTTGGAATGTGAATAAAATACTTAAATCACTCAACATTTTAAGTGAAGAGTGCAATGACATCTACAGCAGGACGAAATCTATGATACTTTTCTTTTAAGTTATGAAAGATGAAATAGTCTTAATATAAATATATTTAAATTACCGGGGCTTTTAGGGTCTTCTTGTGAATGAATAAATTACTTAAATTCCAGCTCTATACATGATATTTTAATACACTAATAGGTATTCTCACTGAATAATACATAAACAAACATTTATATATTTATTTGTATGTATTAGTGGGACTTAAAACACGTTATAGCATAGTAACGCTCTTTTGACTCATCAAATAAGTGGTTCCATTATCAAATTTTATTTTTAGGAACATTTTTAAGAATTTGGATGAAAAAACTCGAAATTTCTCACTTTGTTTATGTTGTCAGTGTTAAAACAGTTATTTATTTCATTTGTATTCACAAATTCGAACCACAGTTGGTTGAACTTATTTTTATTTTATACAGAAAATCTTCTATAGTTCAAGACCAAAATATTATTATTTTCCCTCTCACTCTCTAGAAAATATTACATCCTCTTTTTTCTGACCAAACTAGTCCAATGGGTCATCTAATTCTATATATTTCCCATAGATCTCGTTACCCTCATTTCACTGAAGTAACTAACAATTTGCCTGTAAGTACTGCCCCGGTAGCACGCAGTGTTAGAAAGTTTGACATTTCTCCAAGGCGATATAAACGTTGACCTTTTGGAATAGAATTCATTATCAAATGTACGGATATAAGGTTGTTTGTTCTATATCCAAAACAAAGACAATATTAAGGAATCAATTTTCAAGGTAACATTAAGTCACTCTTGTTTTATAATTTGGTCTTTATTAGAAAGTTGTTTGAATTAATTTTTGATCTCAATATCACGATGTATACAAGTCTTCTTAATGCTTTTGTGTATTGCACTTTGATTTGATATTTACAAACTCTATATTATATATATACTTTATGGTATGTATAAGAAAGTTGTGTTAGTTCCACTATTTATAACCGAAGAGCTACTGTTAGGATATGGTTGCAAAGCTTAGAACCAGGAGATGGACATAGGATATTTTGATTCTGTTCGATCGAGAAAGAAAAAATAAATGATTCAAATAAATATACTCCGGTTATTTATAGCGTTTAGTGTGGAATAGAGTTCGCCCTGACAGCATATAAATTTATTTATTTATTACTTATTCCGAAATTAACGTGGAGGAAGTCGCGGGTAAAAAATAGATTAATATAAGAAAAAAATAATTATAAATAAAAGCCTTGTTATAAATATTCTTAGTTTCATAGCAACTAAAAATGGAAACATAAGTAAAAAAAAAACATAACATTTAGAAGATGATTACAAATGAATCTTTTTCTAAATGTTATGTTTTTTTACCAATAACACACTTGTTCGTGTTGTGTGTACCTAAAATTAATAGTAATTTATTTCCAACCCCCATGAGAAATACTATAGATATATGTACTATATATGTACGGTAGATATATTTATATATACTAGAGGGTGTAGATTTTAAAAATATTCCGACGTTGATTTTTTTATAAGTATACGAAAAAACAACATTCTTTTCTTAGGTATTTGTTTATTTTTAAACAATCTCATTATGTATTTTTAAACATTTTAACGTTATTCCTTAAATTTTATGCTTTGAAATGTCAAATGGAAATCTGTAGTCTAGAAACGGAGCGATACAATTTATTCGATTCACATATTGAATACTAAGTTTTAAGAACAAAACAACAAAAATGTTATACAAGCATCATCATATTTATACTTTTTTTATTGTGCCATATAAATTCTACATTTTAAACTACTAAAATAATCAATATTTGATGTCAAAACGATTAATATCCCTGAAAAAGAATAGTAGAAGTTACAGACGAAAATTTCGCTTGGAAAATGTTTTTGTTTTCCACTATCTACATATAATGCTATTGTTGAGGTATTTTAATAAATTAACTAATTTTGTATTAGCACTAGAAAGTATATAGAAAGTAGGTTCAACAAAATATTTTCAAAATCATTGATTAGCACCCAAAAATTTATTTTATAACATGCATACTTTTTAATACAATGAAAGTTGTTTTGCATTGAAGATGTGTGAAAATGTCATAACTTTTGTTACAAGGATAAAAAAATTATCACATTTCCACACAATATGATGTATTTGTATTGTTATGTTGTACTCACCGTCAATCCAAATAAAAATTTCGGCGTCATTTTAAACTATATATTATTTAACACACACGTCTTCTCTCTGTCGCCGCTTAAGTTTGACAGCCGGAGATCTTGCGAGCTTTTTGCTTAGCTGAGTTTAACACTACTACGGTACCTCGATCGGAACGAGTGACAAAAACATTGACGATGACTCATTCAGTATTCACTTGTATTATATTTCAAATATACATAATTCTATAAATAATATGAGGTATTTGATTAGCTTTTGTTCTTCATATGTGCATAATTATATTGTGCAGTGTTTCTTTAAAAAAAACAAAAACCCACATTTACCATTTATCTTTCGTTAATATAATATAATAATAACGTGTTTTTGCGTTTTATTTTTCTTATAAATCTTAATATTTTTGATATAGTTTATTTTGTATAAAATATAAATTTAAAGAAATTTCCTTTCGAGGATCTGTAGTAAGATGGAGATGGTCAATGTGAAAGTTTAAGTGACTTGCGATTATATTTATAATAAACTAGAATTAAAAATATCTAAACAAATTAAAAAATCAATCACTCCACTCCACTTTAAGTAGAATAAGAACTTATGTGTTATTTTAATGAGCTGTTTAGAAAGGTATGAAGTTCCTTAGTTTCCTCGACACTACACCATACTCATTATTTGTACAGGGAAAAATATTTTTCATTGTATTTAAAGACATGTTCTATAAAAAGTAATAAAATATTAAACGTGTTATATAATTTACGATAGTATAAATATCACTCAAACTTGAAATCGAAATAACTGATTGGATCAAGCCACACAAAAAATAGGATTTTAATTAAATATGTCCCAATAAAATAAAAAATATATAGGTTCATTGGCATTTACATGAATAACTTAATGATATTTTTTATAACCCTTATCACATGAGACTAATAATATAAAATTGTATCTAATAAAGACGAAACACTTGAAATGTTACGCGAAAAAGTCGCTATAACTTATGTTGTGCATAACACACTTGTTTTTTAGTTACGAAAATAAATACGAAAACTTAAATTTTTTTAGTGTTTAGTAAAATAGGTGGTATTATTCTTATTGGATTCCTTTTCGTCGAAACAAAGATATTGCTCTTTATTTTATGCAGGCGTTATTGAAGTGAAAGTTTTAATGCAACTTTTAACAAGGTTGCGTTAAACAATTTATGCTGACGGAGAGAAAAAGAAAAGTAGACAAATGTAAAAAGTAGGAGAGAAAATGAGAGTGAGTCGTTAGATTACAAGCACATGCTCACGGTTTTCTTGCTGTGCAGAGAAGTAAACAGTGTGAGCGTCTTGATATTAACTAAAATACGTACTTGTTGTTTTATATATTTTTTTTTAATTTTTATTTGATTTCGATTTCATATGGTACACATAAAATTTAATATTGCAGTATTGTAGTCCCAAATTTACATTTTTTACAAGTCTTTATAATTACGAAATTTTACTTCTTCCGCGCGGGGGGACTCCGTGCATTATTTTTTATTTTATTTTGAAATATGTATTGTTTTTTTATTTTGAAATATGTATAATTAGTTATATTAGAGAAAAATGTCAACGAGTATAATTTTCATACCAAACTGTTATAAAGTGGTATGTTTTATTAAAATTAATCTCAACTTTTTAACTTCTTTTTAATAACAAAAAAAACATGTTTTAGTATCCATTTACTGCGCTAGGTAAAATATTGTGGCAATATTGAGTTAAAAAAGTAAAAATGAATATAATAAAAAGTTTTTAAAATAAATGACATAAATAAAAGATTGAAAATTAACTATAAACTTAATCTCAAAACACCTGATTATTTCCAGTTCTTAATTTTGCAATATTTTGAAATAAATCGGTTCTTTTCAACCTTTTCACACGTGTTCATGCCGATTTTTGGTTATTTATTAATGGGCATGAATAAGAACGGTATTAGAATTTTAAACATGGCATGTCCGAGGTTTAAGACAACGCAGTGGTGTAAATTCTTTCAATTATTTGTACAAACAAATGAATACTATTTTATATGAAATCATACAAAAGTTTTTTTTGAGGATGGCAAATAAATCTGTTCTCGAGCAGTCTCTGATACTTGTATTTCGAGATTTCGTAAGGTTTGAAAGTTCATGTGAAATAAAATCACAGTATTTTCTATAATTATATCGTATATTTATGACTTATGACACAAACTTTTTTTATTATTTGATATAAGTTGTCTAGGAATATAATTTCTCAATTATAAGTTTAAAATTATAATTATTTAAACCAGACGCAACTAATTCCACATTTTTTATGAAATTATAATTATTTATTATATTGGGTCTACAGTACGTATTATGTTGGGTCTTAGCCTTTGTAATAATCAAACTTGATATATTTCTATTGGAGGCAATATATAATAATACGAGGATAAAGTTTAATAACCTTTGACAAACTCAGCTTTACATTAATTCCATACAAGATCTTAATATGCTAATAGCGACCGTTATATTTTTTTATGGTCAACAACTAATTCTTTTTTACATTTGTGGCTATTGTGAATCACGTTTCTGATCTGCAGTTTTAGGAGAAGATTAAATAAAATTAACAATGACATCTAGTTGATAAGCATCACTTTATAATAAGCTGATTTGATAATTTAAGTGTTTAAATTGTATTGTCTAAGTGGTACCACTATTTAGATAGATACAATGTTTCTTTGTAAGTTGTATAACGGGAAATTATCATTAAACTTAAAAGGAAAGGTGTATTTGCAAATAGGGAAATACAATCCACTTTCGAACTAGCTGACGTGAACACAGAAAAAGTTTTAATTAGATAAACATTCCTGTAGGTGGATTATTTATATGAGCTTTCCTATTTTGTAATAATTTTAAAGCGAGACATCCATTTCTTATTTTAATAACAGCACAATTTAAACCATAAAAGATAAAAAATAAGATATCTAAATTAATTAAATATTACTTTTACGTTGACCACATCATACTTGCGTTTAGTGGATTCCATTTCCTTATTACTGGATGTTTCACACATGATCATGTCTTCGTCTTTACTGTTTTGCATCGCCTCATTCCGAGCTATCACAGATATTTTATCATTTGGTTTGTTTTTTGATTTAGTGTCATGCATGTCTAAAGCAACGCCCTGATGTATATTGAATATGTTTTGAGGTGAAACAGTTTCGTTTTCCAATCTCCTCTTCTCGATAACAATGTCTCTTTCTCTGTTGGACACGGAGCCTCGTAGGTTGATGATGACTGTCGGTTTAACTATCGTCTGATATTCCCTGTTTCCTATCTGACTCTGTCCTGCCATAGAGTTGGAAAAAGGTTTGTCTTCTCCTTCTACGTTTGAATTGTTTTTATGTGATGTTTTAATTCTGTTTCCAGGTTTCGGTTTTGGTTTCGTAGTTTTCTGTGGTTTAGGTCTCGGTGTGGATGTGCTTGGATCATTATCACTCGGTGCATTTACGTATAGAACAATTTCTTTTTTGGATTTTTCATCTTTAGCACTATCATTTAGGTTTAAAGTTTTTGGGAAGCGATATTTGAGTGTGGGCATTTCTATTCGATCATTTCTTCTCGGTAAAAAGTCAAGGTCGCTAGGCAGATGCAACCGCTCGTCTTCCAATTCGTAATTCTGTCCCACATTATTATCCTCATCAATATCTTCTGGCAGCTGGTTGCGTATTTTAAGTGATTGAATTACATCATGGAAAATTGAACGTTTCTCAATAGTTTTAGAAACTTCTCGATCTTTAGGCGGATGTGCTGTCGCTATAATAATGAGATATATGACACAGACGTAGCAGTACATCTGGAAAAATAAACATCATTTTAAAACTTTCTATCAAATAATGAACTAAAATTAATCTTTTTACATTCATTATGCTTCAAACTTATATATGAAAAAAGTTCACACATTTATGTATATTATAAATCTATATAAGTTGCTCTAATTTTTAAGATTTCTCTTTTTTTTAAGATTTAATATAAATACTTAATTAATTACATATAGTAAAATTTTGTCTCACCTTAGCGCGTGCAACTGATGCAAGTCTAACACTGCACTAGACTGAGTACACAGCTTAGTACATAGGGTTGATTGAACTGACATGAACCAGCCAGAGATATTAAACCTTTTGTTTACTATTACGTGTATTAAACTCCCTATGGTCTATTAGAAATAAATAGTTCAATCTAATTGAATTCTAGTTGAGAATTGAAGGCAAATTTATAAATTTTATTTTATATGTGTGCATTATTTTTGATTATTTAAGGTATATTTTTTGAGAACTCTGACATAATATGTGCAACGATGTAATAAATGTCAGTAACATATTTCTATTCTTTTGATTATTAACATTAAAATTTATGTATAATTTAGCAAAAAATTAATGTAGTAAATTGTTAAAGGTTTGGGACCCCTGTATATAGTTAATAGCAACCTGTCTTGTCTCTACGGGAACTGAATGCAACCGGAACTTGCTCCAGGATTATATAAAAAATTTAGAATATATATTCATACATATAATTTATTTTGCCATATATGAAAGTATATACCTAGGTTATATTACATATAAAGTATGATGATAAATTTAAAAGAAAAATACTGTTTAAAATCTCATCGTACAAGAAGTAGAAAGGCGAATAAACTTCTTTGTAAAAATACTAAGAGAAGTATAATGGTTGATTACAATTAAAATTTATTGAGATAATTTTTTTCTAATGATTTAATTCGAAAAGCTATTAAGATTTAAGTTGTAATAATTAATTAGAAGATTTTTCACTGAGAATCTGTCTAGATGGAAGTTTTCAACTTAGTTATATTCTAAGCAACGACTATTATTAAAAACAAATGTTGCTTTATATAGACTGTTTCTAAAGGATACAATATATAAAATCCTATTAATTACTTAGAGAAGGAAATTGAAATTAATCTTTATTGCATAACGATTTTTACGAGTTTTAAAACTCCTTTTGAAAATTAAAAGCAATCACCACAATATGCAGCAATTTGATAAGGCAGGCAGGCAGGCAGGCAATTTAAGATAAAAATAAGTACATTGTGCCTTTATAATGTCGTTTCCATAATATATACGTGCCATCAATAACTTATGCAGATGTCTTTGGCAGCAAAACTTCTTTTAAACTATCTAATGAGGTTGAATTAGTCCTCGGGGCTTCAATGACGCATGTATCGCCACCAGCCTATCAGAGCCCACTGCTGAGCAAAGGCCTCTTTCTTACATGGGGACAGTATATTTGGAAATAAATAAAAAGAAATTTAACTTTTCATCATGTATTAGGTTTATTGTAATTCAAGACCGCAATTTCATCTAATTTACTTACACAACTTTAACAAAACATTTCTTATAACTAACAATATCTCTACAATTACAATAGTTTAGTCTTAGGCAAAAAAAAAAACTTAAATAGGCGTCTGCGGAATTTTACTTTTACGTGGAGTTTAACTTATTCGTCTTATATTAGAAATATTTTCAAAAAATGGCTAAAAATTTAGTAAATTTGTTATTATTTAATTAATATCGGAAGCAGTAAACGTTGATGGTCTACTACAAAAGTTTTTAAAACAGATAAACAATTGTATTACATAAATAAATAACATTGAATTTAATAAGCGAGCAAGACAGCTTTATCCGATTGAAAGAGAAAGTATTGATAAAATAACATTTGACGTTGATTTTCTTTTGGTAAAAGATTAAGGTGAGTGGTGAAATGTGCTCAACAAGAGTGCATAAAGAAGATATTGGAGGAGGAAGAATTGATTTTTTGTAGAAAACATTAAATTCGAAGTTTATAAGTAAAGTGAAAGACAGTTATTGAAAAATGGACTAAAAGCTGATAATCTACATTGTTCTATAAAAAAAAGAAACAAACTTTTAGTGTAGTCTGAAACAATTAAAAAACATATATAATATTGGTACTAAATAATTAGAAGCTATGTCGTTGATATTTAAAAACATATTAAAAAACAGCAAGATTTTAAAAATTTCGTGGATTTGTTTCTAATAAGCATATAAATATCGTAATAGCAATGAATATAAAGGAAAATTTTTACTCTTTTCTTAAGAAAATGTATTGAAATTCTCTTAAAAGAATATATATTTCAATACTTATCAAATGGAATTGTCAATAATTATTCACATTATAAGAAGTGGATGAAAGATAAAAGAAATCGGTTACTAACACATGTTCCAAATTATTTTGTTCGTTTTTACTTGAACAAAATTTCTCCCAATGTAAACAATTTTTAATTCATAAACATTACTGTTGTTATTTCAGTAACATTCTATTGCAATAATTTTTTATTTACGATAATTGTGCGGTTCAATACAAAAATATATACATATACATATATAAAGAATTGTTCAAATAATTTTGTAAAGCGTTTTATCTCACTGATGCAGTACATACCTTATTTTATATTCTACCTACGATATGCTGTGTTTCATAAGATTAAGCATTTTGAGATTGAGTAATTAGTTTTAAAAGTGAAGATTTTAGTAAAAACTATTTCTGAGGACAAAATTTTATATTTTTTATGTAAATCTAAACCTAGTTAAGATTTCATATATTATTTTTATTAGATCGAAACAGTCTAAAAAAACTTATTTTATTTATTTTAATAATAATTTTAACGACGGATTAAAATTGCTTTCGGATACAAATATTTTTGATTTTTAAAAATTATTATTGTAGCGCACAGTATTTCAAATCTAACTTTATTTTAACTAACAATCATTTTATAAAAAATAATGCTTTAAGCAAAAATTTATTTACACCTACTTATTATAAGTCCCAGTTGCAACTGTCGTTGTTTTTGTAAAAATATTAATATTGTATACTTTACCCTGAGTAATGCAAAATAAATAAGCCGGTACGTTTGTACTTGTGTTTCACAATACTCATATTCTTTTTGCAAAAAAAAAAATCTTACTTTATTCCTTATAAAAAGCTGTAACAACAATGACTGTCCTCCAATAAAGTATTTCGACAATCGCACACAAAACCTACTGTACTGGCAAAATTATATACCAATTAAGAAAGTATATAATATTATAACTTATATATAATAAGTATATGTACTTTAACGTCTTTCCACCTGAACCAAACATCACACTTCCTTCCTAACATATTAGCTATAATCCTTACAGATCGAATTATTAGCTACAATAAAATTTGCATGTTCAACATCACAAACATCAGTCTCGAATGAACATTCTAAAGCGTATTAATATTTATTCAATCATTTCTTTATTATACTGTCAAAATCATAATTCCGACCATACGCGGCGTTTGCAGTGCGTCGAGACAGAAAGACCTTACCATCTTTCATAAAGTCACCACAGGATTGGTTCACTTCATACGGAATATCATCTGCATCATTCGTCTCATTTCTCACTTGCGAACAAACACCATTCTCTTTCTTATAATTCTTATCATTAATACCATTCGTATGTTTGTTGGTCCTAACACCGTTTTGAGTTTTCTCATACTCCTTCTTTGCATCCATTTTAATTTTATAGTTCTTATAATAAAAGTTAAGAAATAGTATAAGAAATATCGTCACATTTATAAAAATGAAATACGTAAAGCCGGTGGCGTACTGACATCTTGGAGAGTTGTGAGTCCAGGCGCAGTACAAGAGCATCAGAACGAATTGAAGCTGAAACATAAATTAATATTTTATTAATTATAACATAATCATCACCATCAGCCTATCTAAACCTACAGCTGAGCAAAGGCCTCTTCTCATATGGAGAGGGTTTGAGCTTTAATCACCACGCTTACTCAAGACGCGTTGGTGATTTCAAACTCATAATTTCAAATTATAAGTCTAGGTTTCTTCACGATATTTTAATTCACCATCTGGCAGTTGTGTCTACACTTAGAAAGTACATATGACTTCAAAAATCACATTTGTATTTGCCAGGTATCAAATCCGTGCAATCATGCATGAGATACGGTTCTTTTAACCTCTAGGCTACCACGACTTTTATTATTTATAAAACTTTTATTAATAATAAACAACTGTTATATTCAACGTTAGTATATCAAACATACCAATTGCATTTTAGTGACGTATTTCTTCCACCACAAGTACTTCTGGAATCTTGGTCCCAATCCTGATAGCAAATAATAGGAATACATCACAACATGGACCACGGAGTTGAGGAGGGCGAGGATAGCTCCCTCCCCACCAGCAGCGAACTTGAGATAGCTCCAAGAATACAGAGCCATTATTACGTGATGGTACACGTGAAGAAAAGTCAACTGAAAATTATTATTATGAGAATAAATAAATGTTACTCCATTTAAAGCTTTGATTTCGAAAAAAATGTAACGGAGCAATGATCGCCATCTCACTCATTGAAATAAATACAACTTATTGATTTCACGAAAACATAACGAAAAATATAAATCAGGCAAAATTACTGATTTTACTTAAAGTATCCCTAAGTAATAAGTATATTATCTATGAAAAAAATGTTAAGACTTTAAGACAGTTGAACAAAAGTTCTATCCTCACAAACTTATAATAAAAACATACTAATGAAGTCGACAATTTACCTGCTTGTCTTTCTTTCTTAGAACAAAGAATATGGTATCCAAAAGCTCAGTGAATTTTGCGAAGAAGTACCACCATCCCAAGTCAAGTAACTGAAAGATAACAAATACATTGTAACGAGAAATTGATTTTAAATAAGTTACATTTATTCATGTCATTACAAAAGAAACCGTACCATTGGATTTTGTGTATTGGACGGATAACGACAGCCAGCGTACAGGATACCATCCCTAAAGAGATTTAATTTAAATACCTGAAAAATTAATATCACATTATTTATTGGTAATGAATCCAAAACTAACAAAGAATCACAAAAAAGCTATTCATTTACAATACTATACACACAAATATATATCAACAAGGTAATTGGTTTCCGAGATTTACATATGTACTGATAAAATATATTCGCATTAGCTCGGATTCTTTTAATCCGACCAACCTTGATACAAATCATAGTTGCTAATACAACTTGCGCGGCGTTGTAGTAGCTAATGAGTTTGTTTATTTCTAGCGGCGGCCTGTTCTTCATGATCCGAGGGCCGATTCGGATGAAGAGTAGATACAGCAGCACCACGCTCAGGATCGGGAATGGGCTGGACATCATGAACCACGAGTCTACCATCGCACCTGATTTATTGTTAAATAAAATATAATTTTTACAAGCTAGTAGCTATGTAGTCTTATTGTAATGAGCTAACTTCACTGTATTTTTGGCCAACTATGCTTCAGATTATTTTGCTTTTACAAGCTAGCTCCTAAGCTATGCTTCATAGCATTTATATTATTTATATTGAGTTTATTACACTATATTTATGGCTAACCATGCTTAAGATAAGTTCGGTTTCATGATTTCAATTGTAGTCTAATTTGTTGACATATCATCATCAGCCTATCAGAGCCCACTGCTGAGTAATGGCCTCTTTTCAAATGGACTTATGTATATTATAAATATAATATGTCGAGCAATATAGACTTTTATAGGTTGCAAAAGTATATAATGTGGCGAGTGCGATATTGTTGGTGTCACATTATTTTAACCGTAAACAACTTCAATCTTATTTGCGAACTTTTGAAAGCCATAATTTATATATAACCTATACAAAACAGTTAACATGTCTTAAAATTGTCAGTCTTTGATAATAGTTTTTAATTTATAAGTATTACGAGTATTAAGTTTATATAAATCATATTGTACTTACTCTTTCCAACTTTCAATGAATCCAAATAGCGATCCATTTTTTCTAAATAACTCATTTTTGTTCATCAATCTGAAAATATAAAATAACAGATGACATTAATTCCGCTTTAAAAAATAACGCGTTTCTAAAAAGGTTTTATATAAAATATGTTAAATCCTCTTTGGTAACAAGAAACCCTTTGTCGAGACGAACATATGACTGTTGGGTGCGACCTGATATGCTTTTCTACACATTTCATTAAAAAAAACTCGGTCAATTTGTACGGCTTCTTTCAAAGGATCTGCATAATAACGATATTACCTACATAGCGACGTCCAGTTTTGATTGCGAAGTGGTATAAGTAAATCTATGATTTATAAAAAAACATTTATATTTTTCAGAATGGAAGGAAGTATAAGCATATATTTATGATCAAATTTACCGTTCAACAGATTGTACATGTCGCTAATATCAACGTTAAAAATTGCTTCAAATAAAGCGAATTATTGAAAAAGTGGACACATCAAAAGTTTGAATTATTTTACTAATTTAAGAGTAAATAAAAAGAAACATGATAACTTTATGCCTCATTATTTTAAAGACTAAAAATTTACCTTCGAACTGTCAATAGTTGAAGTTGTAAAAAAAGTACCTCCAAAAATTGTATTATTAAACGCATATTAACACGTTAAAATATTAAATTTAAAGAAGAAAATATTTACTGATCAATGTGTATTGTGAGAGAAATAAAGTTAAGTAAACTAATATTTTTTCAAAGAGACCAATTCCGTTTTATATCCAAAAAGAATTTTTATATTTTAATTGAATTGTATGTCAGTTACAGAAATATAAAACACTGTAATTATTTAAACTATGTTCCAGTTATAAACGTTTATAAGGCGACGTAAATATCCTAAATAAAATATTATGAGGAAGGAAACTAATTACATTCTGACGAAAACGTTATTTTAGTTCTACTAAAAATAAAATTTGACTGAGAGTATTTTTAGATTTAATTTAGAATTCCAATAGATTAAAAATAAATAAATGTTATATTTCACATGTATAAATGCTGTTTGTTTTGATGAAGTATATTTGTTATGATGGTTTATAATATAATATTACGAGTAGACCATGAATTTAAAAAGGCTAATATGCTTTTTTATGTTCATTTAGGGGAAGTCATTTCTTTCTTATAGCTTATTACTTTCAACGTTAGCTATATAAAGGTCACTTGTCCATAAACGTCAGTTTAAACGATAACAAAGGTTAAGGTGGAAGGCGGGGAAGCACGATTTATTATATAAAATATTAATCAAAAGTCCGAACATATTACGTTGTTGTAAAAAATGTTCTTTATTTCCTAACAACATTATTAATTAAGCTTATTAAGTGGTATAAAAGCTGTCAAAAATAAAAATCAAGCTGTAAATTATAATAAGCTGTTCGTGATGCTTTGCATAGGTCAATTCATGTTGCACGTATAGAAACAGATCCGTTAAAATAACCACAATGTACACGTTTCACTGCCAATGTCATCATAATTTATAATGCATCTAGAATTATTGGAATGTCATTTCCACTGCATGACAAACACATAAAATGACAACTTTATCTTGGACTCTTCACCTGGCCCTTACATACATGTAACCCTTATTTCAATGTACTGGAGTTTCAAATGGTATATTAAAGTTACAATAATGTTATTGTATGTCAAGAGACTCGTTTAGGGTCAACCTTCAGTTCCACTGAGGTTTCCCGGTCAGTGATTGTATTTAGATCCACGATTTCAAAATCACTGTATACAAAATACACTGACACAGTTTTCTAACCAAAGTACGTCTTGGCGCAACTCGTACAATTAAATGGATCATTGAAAATAGGATGCATTTGTACTTAGCAAATGTACCTTGTAAGGCTTTTGTGGTTTTAAAAGGATATGACTCACCTCAACACTGATTATTTGTTGTATCTAAACCTTTTATATTTTTAATAATTGTCAAAACAATGACTTCTTACGACGTACAGCATTTTTATCTATGTTTTATATTTGCGTAAGTATTGAGTAATAAGTAAAAAGTTGTAATCAATTTCCCAAAAAGGTTTTTGACATGACACAAAAGCAATAATCAATAAGCGTTATCATAAGGGACAAAAATAGAAGCAATAAAAGTGTGTGTCCTTGGGGACTGGCTTTTATAATAATAACTTTTTAATTTTAACTCATGGTGAGGTTTTTTAATTCCCATATAAACACGCTTAGGGAAATTATTCAGTATATATGAGTGTATTTGATTCTTGTTAATGGATCAGTTTCGCTAATATCTATCCACGTATTTATTTACAGTTTACTGTTTATATGACAGGATGCCGACAGTGACCAAGCCAACAATCTTGACTTGTCACTTCACACCAATGTAATCTTAATTCACTAAATTAGAGTAAAACGTCTGACTCGGAAAGGAAATCATATGTTCTTCTATTGCTTTATTAAAATAATGGAACGCATGAATCTATCATGCAGTTGTTATATTTTTTATTTCATCTGAGATGAGACGGTGTTTTAGTTTTTGATTTATTGAAATGAATATATTTTATTATTTCTCTAAATTTAGATCATTGTATATTTTGAAATAAAACTGAGGAACTACTTCTATTAATACAATAGCTTTGTTAAGTAAAAATAGAAGATGCGTTTATGCAAAGGTTTTTCCCATTTTGGTTGTTAAATTAATTGAATCTGTTCAATATTTTTATGGAATAATATTTTATGAAACACATAAAACCATAAGGGTACAGTGTTAGCAAAGTTGTACAGATTATTTATGTACACTGATTTTATTTAAAAAAAAATATATCTAAATGGCGCAATGCGACGAATTTGATCAAATTGAATTTATTTAGTTTAGTCGACCTTGACCTTGCACAAGCACTAACATGCCAAATTGATTGTGCTTCAGTTGAAAGTTTTTGAAACGCAAACCTTGTTATCTCTACTGAAATAACTCTACGATCTATGTTTGGGTTTCGAATACCACAATTTCAGTTGTGATATTTGAAGTATTTGTGTTTCTTTCGTTATAAAATGTAAAATACTTCTAAGAATATTTCTTTTACTTTGAACTTGACTGAACTAACTTTGTTTACAAATGTATGCTTTCATGCATAATCATATTTAAACATTTTATTTGCTACTATTATTAGTTAAAATATAAATAAGTCATTATTACCATAATACTCGTATATTAAATAATTAGTTACAAGCCACTTGAATTTGAACGAGTATTTTTCACAGGCTAATAAAAGAAATGACTGTTGGCTTGTATTCGTAAAATTTTTAAGAAGGTAGTGTTAATATTCTTCTGCCATATATATTTTATTAAGAAAGCGTATAAATATATGTCCTTAGTTATATAAAAAAATATATAAATATTTTTAAACAAAGTTATGTGAACTTTCAGCACCTTATATTAAAGGGACCTTATCAAGCCTCGTACAAGCGTAAACAATAACATTGATAAGAGTTTATAGATTTTAAAGTAAATTATTTTATTAATCCTAACTTTACTACTTATTCGACTTCCTGAAATGTACTTTTTAAGTTTATAATCCTAGTATACTTTTTGCTTTGACTTAGTTCATTCAATATATGGTTAGTTGTTAGTTAGTAGTTAGTTGACTTAGTTCATAAATATTTGGTCTTAAAAATAATCAAGTTTTATGCGATTGAAATTATATTACTATGTAAATAAATAATTATAAAGAAAAAAGATTTACGTGACAGACCTAAACTTTTTTAAGCATATTATCTATAAATATAATAAAATTGTAGAAAAGTGCTGTCTGTACATTGAAAATAAAAATAAAAAAAATAGCAGGGGTTATTGTTATGTCGATGTCGAACCCAAAAATGTAATTAACTTTTTTTTTTGTCTGTTTGTCTGTTCACGCTAATCTCAGAAACGGCTGATCCGAATTGGATGCAGTTTTCACGAATATATTGTGGTATGCTTCAGTTATGCTTTAGTGTTTGTTACATGTCAATCGGTTCATAAATAAAAAAGTTATGTCAAATTAAAGAATCACGTCGAACACTATTCTATGCTTATACATACATAACTAAATGAACTACCCAAAATGACTGTGATTATGATTCAAAATACATAAAAATAAGTAGGTATATATTAAAAAAAAAACGCTGCTCATAGTCATTATTCCACGCGAACGAAGTCGCGGGCGCAGCTAGTGTTAGAATAATAAACAAAAAAAAATCTGTTAGAATAACAAACAATACAATAAGCTTAAAAATAAATCATTTAATATAAAATAATCTACAACATAAATATAAATTATATGTAATATTCCTTAAAAAAAACGAATATTTTTCTCGAAATATTCCAAAACAAAATACGAACATAAAATTTTTATTTTAGTGATATAAGAGATTTAAGTTTTTTTAAAATAATAAAATTCTATTTAATACTCAATGGATAAACCTATCGTTGATAATATAAATAGATTTTAAAAATTACATATGTATAAGATATAAAAGCATCTATTAATTTATGTAATAAACAAATTATTTATATATGAAGACGAGTAACAAGAAAGTATGACTAGATCTAGACTAGACAAGGTATTTCATAGATCATGAGTTCACTATATTGGTATACACAAATCACTTCGAATATGACACAAAATCAATTGTAAATGTCAATCAACAATCTTCATGTTAAAAGCATAATGGTAAGCTATTACATATTGCCCAATAATAAATAAAAGGGAATGAATACTTTGATATAAATTTTAAATCATACAACGAAATCATATTATGTAATTTCAAAGTAAAAGAATTATAATATTTTTTTATAAAACAATCATTTATAATTTTAAAATTTTAAATATTTTTCTTATTTCCATATAAATTTTAGGATTCAAATGAAATGTCATCTTCATGTTAATAAATAACACATTACATAACAGAAAATAATCCACCAAAATATTTAAAATAATGAAATAAAATATATCCGTAATTAGTATAGAGTAATTCTGAATTATTATGAATGGGCGGATAAATGCTGAAATCCGTTAAAAGCATAATGTATCGAATGAAACTTACCTTGATACGGTTAAAGGGACCGCGCTCTCTGCCCGTTTGGTTAGCACTGCGGCACTATCGACCCGAGTCTGAATGAAATACAAACACGCAACTTCAACTTGTTCTACTTGTGCTAATAAAATTTAATTGGGAACACCTAAAAATCATAAAACCCCGTCTTAAATTTGGAAGGGACAAAAAAATTATAAAGGGATATTAATAAAAAAATCAAAATATTTCACTCCTTTGATAAGTCAAAAGAATACCGAAGACATAGAATGTTGTATATTAATTCACATAAAACGGTAAACCGAATTTTTAAGTTAAATAAGTGTACTTTAATCTCTTTGTACTAATTTATTGTAATGACATAAATGAGGTTGTGGAAATAGTTTTATAAGAACTCCATAAATACTCTTCCTTTATTTTTCATTATAACACAATCCTATTTCCATGGAGAAGTTAATGCGTTGCTTGTTATTTTGAACACATAATATAGAAAAATGTATTACATATTAAAAACATATTAAAATATTTAAAAAGTTATGTAGCTACAATCTAATCACATTAATATTTATACAGGCTGAAAGTTGCAGTGTTCGTATAATGATATTTAAGAAAACATCCAATATTTTTAAAACATTACAAAATTTCTATTTAATACTTTTCTATAAATCATCATCTATTTGATAGTTGTAGTTATTTCATTTTCTGATCAAATGAGGTTAGAAAGTCTATTTACTTTCTGAAAACTTTAAAATAAAAAATATCTCCTTATAAAAGCATAAATAGTGGCATATTGATATTATTACAAAATAAATACAAATATTTATCAGATAGTAATTAACTAAAGATTTTGAATCTTTTTAATTTGAAGAAAGTCTTGTCATGAAAGAGTCGATGTTTGAGAAATATGTTTTGATATATTGTAATCAGAATGAAGATTTGTTCGTGGTAAGGAAACATCTCCAAAAACTTGCCTTTTATGAGTCATGATTAGTTTTGCTCGAAAGAATTTACATCGAAAGTGAGTTTACCTATCCATTTATTACACATCGAATGATTGGCAAATTAATTCGGTGTTACACTGTCGTATTACAGGACTAATTGATTAGTGATTTTCACATTAACTTTTATGTTATGTCTACCACCAGCCCCTTTTTTTATCGTGGAGAAAAACTCTCCTTTATCATGTCCTTTTAAGAATAAACACTCTTCGTTCCAAAAACGTTCTGAATGTCTTTTCTCATAAACCGCGAGTATATTTATAATGTTCCTATAATTAGTCACATTAAAACTTTCATAGTATATCAAACATATAGTTTTATTTCATCAACATGTTTAGTTATTCAGACTATAATTGACTGCGCTGTTTTTGAATTATACCTTACACCTGAAAGTTTGACCTCTGTTATCCATATATGAGTACGGAAACAATTATTATTAAATTGATTGAACTAACTTTTGATTAAAGATTAAGATGATAAATTTTTTGAATATATCTAAAGCTAAAAAAAAAACAGTCAAAAAAATTCAGTGACGCATAAGTTCCTACGTGGAATTTCAATTTTGCCACTAGTCATATCTGAAATTATGTTGCGCTCCAAAATTATAAAAGGACAACAACAAAGTAGAACAAAAAACTTAATTAATGTATCGTCTATTGGTTTGAATTATAAGCTAAAGACAATTTATTATGTAATGGGACCTTGTCAACGTTAGAAAACTGTGTACCATTACTAATATAATGTAAGATGGTTATTTACACTGCATGTGATAATCTTCAGACATGTAGCTCTATTTTTAGACAATAATAATATCATAAAGAAAAAAGGAATAGACTTCTAAAAATTTAAACTAGTAGGAAATTGATAGGACGGTTGAGTTGCATAGGAAAATTGGCAGACTTTCCCCTTATTCACAACAGAAAATGTCAAAGAAATCAAAATCAAAGTTGTAATTTTTTTACATACTTCGTTTTGTTTGATTGATATTTGATTGTTAACAAAATTTGTTTAATTTTTTGAGATAAATTTTGGAATCAAAAATATATTAAATATATTTAAAGTATTGCAGTATAAATGATTTAGTATTGTAAATAAAATATTAGTTCATTTATAAGTTTTTTCTATTTTCTATGTTGTTTTAGTCTGTGTACACTGTCCGAGATGTGTACAGTGTACACAGTATACTGAAGCTTCTCTTTGTTTACCGAAAATATGACTAGCCAAAATTGCACACAAGTTTATATTCATGTAACAAAAGAAAGTTAGTATTTTATATCAAGAATTGGTTTATATTTTCACCGAAGAACTTAGTTGTCTAAAAATGAAACTTTATTTAGAAAATTTTTCAAATAACTAACCGTTTCAAATAACAACAATATATTTTAACTTTCCTTTTATTTTATTCTCAGTTATTTCTCAACTTATCTTTTTAGACTTTAGAGGCATTCGTAAATCTTACGTCTTAAGAAGCATATGTATCTTAATACAGTGATGATATAAATTTATTAAAATAATTTAAAGTTCTATTTTTTTAAATATGTAATTTCTGTTAAGTAAAATTTCATGCATTATGGAATCCCATTTATTAAAGATTACACACCGACAACAATATAGCTTAATACAGTTTAAAGTTTAAATAAAAGGTAAAGTGTTGATATATTAGCACTAAATACCATTTATTAATAGCTTGTCACTTATCCTTTTGCAGCCGTCGGAGCATAAATCTGTCCATTTTATAATGAAAATTTATTTCTTTCTGCATGCTTACGAAAATTTTAAGACTTCATATAAATGTTATGCACATAAACTAAATAAGACACATATCTCCTCTCATGCATTTTTTTTATGAGTGTTTTAATCAACTTCTATAACAAAAAAAAAACAAATCGAAAAAATAGTTTAAATATCTATATAAATATAACTATATTAACTCTATTAAAAAGTTATAATGTACTTTGGTTATAATTATAACATTATAACACATAAACAGTCTACTGATTATATAACATTTTTATTTGCAGCCTATTTTCAATTACGCCGAATGCAATATATATATATACTATTTATCGATGTATATTTCTTAGTTCTACATGAGAATTTTGGTTATTTATAATCATGTGTTGAATTCTACCATTCTGTTCTTTAACATTGTCTTTAATTTTTGTTTGATTATTATCAAATTTGTCATCGCTCTTTTCCTTTGGTTTCTTCACGTAACTTTTAATATAAAAATCGATGAACAAGATGAGCATAAAAAGATTTTGTGGAGTATACATGGCTACAACCCAACGTGGGTACGCACAGTCTTTAACGAATACTATAGTTGTCATGTGCACCACGCAGAACAGGAACTGTACCTGGAAATGTATTACGAATACTTGAATATAAAGAAAATTAAACAGTGGATGAGAATCACGCTAGAAGACGTTTATAGATAAAATGATATAGCATTAGGAGGATTTTAATTATTTAAAAAATCTTACCTTAAATATTATAAAAATAATATAGAGTATGTAACAAAATCATTGACGTAAACACGATTGTAACTGATTTAATCTTTAGATTAAATTTATTAAATCCTTATGTATAAGATATTGGAGAATGGTGATCTATTAGAAATTTTTGAGCCAACCAAGAAAGAATTTTATACTCAAATTATCAGAATTCTTAATACATTTAGGATACACTTTGCATTGATAAATCTTTTAATTTCGAAATAGTTTTTATTTTTAAAACCTGCTACAGGTAAAAAACTTTATTTTCTGTAAATTTACCGATACTTACTATTTGTAATTGTGTGATATATTTTTTCCACCATAGATTATTCTTTATCTGAGGCATCGCTATCGTCAGTAGGTAGTACGAGTACATGACTACGTGAACGAAACTGTTTATTTGTCCCACTGCAGTACCGTGGCCACCTGAAGTCAAAATTATTGTTAGATATTTTTTCTATCTTCGTTTGACTGATTGAATGAAAATTATTGAAAATATTTGTTTGTGAGAGTGAAAGTTACGGCCACTTTTAGATTTAATAACCGAAATACAGAAATGTTTTGTTTCTATAATCATGTTTGGAAAAAAAGAGGCAAGACGATTTAAGTAAGAATGAAGATCAATTAAACTTTTAGTTTAACATTATTTGAATTTTGAAACTGGTGTTAAATAACAATGTAAAGTTAGATAAATTAGCATTCTTTTAAACAAGTTTTAACAAAATCCACTACTTTATTGGTCGTATCTACGAGTAGCGTAGCTAGCAAGATAGCAGTATTGATCCAATGGTGAACTCTGAACTCTCTCCTACAAATTGGGAGTACCTCATTGTTTACATTATAATTTAGTATAATTTTTATTCGTTCGTCGGGGTTTATAAGTATAATCTCAAAAACACGCTTTCAACTAAAGTTTAACTTTACAGACGCAAATTTTCTTACGTCTGGATTCTAATAAGTAAAAAATAATTAAGAGCAGTATCAGTATCTAATGTCATGTATTAATGTTTACCATCAGTGGTTGGTCCCATATAAGTGGACTGAACACGTTAAGTGCAAAGCGTGGAATCTCGAAATTTCTTTACACCTTATCATAGGTTGCACATCTTCTTCTGTATTTGAGCACCGTTAAGATGCACAGAAACTATAGCTAATGTGATTCGTCAGTTTACGAAATATTTTACCGTCTTAATTGACGTACCCATCAGTAGTAAAAGTCGCCTATGGTTTATGGCCAAATGTATTCAGAGTGAAATCCTGCATATTTTTCTTGGGTGGTTGCTTAAAATCGAAACATTCAGGGTTAGACCCACAAAGTAGTTTATATGTGTCTGTTTCCTTCCACTAACAATTTCAATATCTTCAAGACAAAAGTGATAATTGTATGTTCACAAAGACGGACTTTTGTTATAAGTGCATAATTCTTTACATATTTAAATCAAATGGTCGATTAATATATAAAAAAATAGAATAAAAAGTCAATGACCAGAGACAGATTTGAATACATAACTTAAAATAGGTCAAACCCAACCAACAACATACAATAGTATGTTGATTTCGATTTCCTAATTATTAACACGGCCTATAACTTTACACCAGGGATGACATGTGTTTTTCCAAATTTTACGTCTAGTCTATTGAGGGTTCAATGACCTATAAACTTATTAAATTTAAAGATAAGTTGATGGAGTAGCTGGCTTAATACCTCCCTTTTTTTCGCTCAAAAATATTATTAGCTAAAATCTATATCTGCAAGATAGATATACATCTGAACCGTATAACCGTTATTCCATTCTTAAGTTAGCAATGGTACCAGAGATATACATAATTATAGCGTTCCTTACATACTAGTCATTAAATATAGCAACGAAATAGAAGAACTGTTTATAGAAAATCTCAACATACAAAATATTATTCTTAAGGAATTCTTAAGAAAGTCTTTGTTTCAGAGATACGAATTACTTAGCTTTGTTCAATAGAACAAAAGAACGAGTAATAAGTTTATTAGGAATATTGACATGAATTTAGGAAACTACTGTGAAGATAGGTTATACTTTAAAGAAAGTTTTAAATAACACGATAAAAATATAAATCTCAAAGGGAAGTAAGCCTTGTCTAGAGCCTATTAAGAATAGTGTTTTTTCAAGTAGGACCTCCATGAAATTCCTTTGTGTAATTTTCTTAAAATTAATTTCTAATATAGATTAATATATTTTATGTTTTTATTATTAACATTTTTAAATTCTTTATATTTTAATATTTTTTTAGATCATGTTACTTATATTTAGTACATTATTATATTTATTACTCTACCTGGATAATATGTGCAAGCTCCCCAGCTGAGCATCACCATTCCAGAGTGATGGTAGACATGAAGAAATGTCACCTGATTGTACTTTTTGCGGAGTATAAAGAACACCTAGAACATGATTATCGAATTTTACAACACACTGATACTCACTATATATGTATGTATATTAAAGTTGAACTCTATAGTTTTTAATACCCTATGCAAAGAGAAAAGCTCTCAAATTGAACTACAGTTATCGGTGTATTTGTGGCAATGCTAGTTTCCTTTCAAAGAAAAATACATATGTATAACCATACATCGGTACAGCAAATGTTTCAACTTATTCCAAAGATTATGAAATGCGCTTTTAGGGTGTGATTACTCATTTACTTGCTTCAGATGTTAAAACAAATAATAAACAGTATCCTTTTGTTAACAAAGTTTTTGTTATTTCTTTGAAGTCTAATGAAATTATACATAATGTTACAATATTAATAATTACAGAATTATTTGTAATGTTTGAATAAATTTTGTACAGTTGTATGTAAACTACTTCATTGTAACCCTTGTACAAATGGAATATATTATTATATTATTTTATATGCGTGTAACAAAGACATGATTTGAAATTTAAATAAAAATATTTGAGGCAATTGATTAACATACAGTTTACATATGTTTGTTTTCCTGGATTGTACGAGTATCAATACTGGCAAACAGTAGGTTTTTATTTTAGTTTTTGATTCACTACTGTTGTTTACATAAAACAAAGCGTGTTACGTAAAAAATCAACATATTTTGTGAATAGAATATCGTTTTTCATTTAGAGAAGAAAACTGAAGGAGTTATTGTCTAAATAATAATAATTAATTGTCTTTACATCAATTTATAGAAATAGTGACGTAAATATGTAATCAGCCTCTTCATAAATACTGCGACTTAAAACCATCTCTCTTTATTTTTTTTATTATTTTCAATTTGAAAAACGTAAATTCTTTTACTTTTTAAATTTCGTACATTTATATATTTTTTAACTCTCACCTTTTTACATTTTTTCCGCGTTCAAATGAAAGTATAGACTGGAATATAATAATATATGTATGTGAAAATAAAACTTATCTTTTCAGGTACTACGCTTTTTTATTATTTTAAACTAAATAATCCCCACGTTTGAGTTACTTTGTAGTATCCCTGATCACGGGCAGACGAGATGAAAATGGAGAAGTAGTAATGGGAAAATTTTTGTTTAAAATACTAAGAAATGGTTGGCGTATCCGAAGACATTAGTTTTATTTAAATACATAAATACTCGCAAAAGTCTTAGGTATCATAATATATATAGAATACAATAAAAACAAGACCTAAAGCAAGCAGTGCCAAAATTTTCCTTGGAAACCTAAGTAATTCCATCGATTCGTGTTCAGAAACATTAGAGGTTTGTATAAAAGCCAAAATTTGCGATTTTGAACAGACATTTTTTTGTGTGGCTTTAACAAAGATTCATTAAAAATACATTTTTATTTCTAATAGAACTTATGGCTGGATTAGTATGTAGATTATGGAATCAAAAATTAATGCCTTTGAGTAGACAAATACAAGTCAGGTAGGCATATTTTTTCCAACCATCTGCATGTTATTCAAGTTGCAGATTCAAATCCTGGTCGTTTAAATGATTTTGAAATTCCATATTTCGTTTATAAAATGTTACTAAAGTGATTTGTTCCACACTCCTAACTATAATGATAATTAATTATTGGAATTCAAAAGAATCGTTTAAGTTTATGGAACAATTACTTACTATTCAACTAACAAAAAAATTATAACGAAAAATTGGTCTGTAATACTTTTAATCAATTGTCTTATGAAAGATTAATATTTTATATTTCTCCTATTAAGACTTTGGTGAGTGTTAAAATGCATGAAGAAATTTAATGTAATAAACTTGTTGACTATGCCATAGACTAGTTGTAGATTCAAAAAAAATCACTTGTAAATTGTAACTTTTAACTTACAAAAGAAATGCCTCAATTTACGTTTTTGACTGGTGATAGAGGTGATAGAATTAAAGCGTTTTTTCTTCAGTCAAAGTATCACGTTTTATAAATGCACTGTTCATATATAAGAATATGTACCATTAACTTTACAGTAAAAAGAATAAATAAATCTCATACAGCTAATATAAAACTAAGCATTTTATATTACAACTCTTGAAGTTATTACTCTTTGTCCTTTTGTAAATTTGTGTATTTGTCTTATGAAGGTTTTTAAGACAAGATGAGGACGTTATTTTACTGCAAATAAATAAGCATCCTAGTAAACAATTTTTTTTGGAGATTTAAATTGTAAGAAGCAAAGGAAACTGGTCCTTTCATATCACTTCATATTTTTACCAATATTTTTTCTCGTGTATTTAATTGTAAATAATTATCAGAGTTGTAAAAAAAAGTTATTTAAAACTATTGATTCAAATAAAGGATTATTTTTTTAGGGACTTGAGGGACAAGGTTTACTTTGGTGAAAATTATAATACTTCACTCTCACTGTGAAAAAGTAATTCGAAGCTACTATATCTATTTAAAGTTGTATTTTAAGGATTTTGCAAAGTAATTGTTGTTATTGTAAGATAATATCTAAAGTGACGTCAGAAAATATTCTTAGCTTTACTTTTTAAAGGCAGCTATCACAGTTTTAGTGATATTAAAGTTTTTTACTTACAAAAACAGCTATTTTTTAAAATTTTTATTTCGTCTGCCCAAGGTGTCTAAAAATCAAGGTGTCTAAAAAGTAGCAAAAACCCCGGGAGTATGTAGTTTTTCACAAAAATAAACCGCGTAGTATGTTCGAAAAATATAAGTTTCATTTAATGAATAAAACTCGCGAAAGTCTTAGATCTAATTATACTAAAGGTTATATTACCGTATCCATGAGGTCAAGCACTTTCAGTAAGTAGTACATATATACGAGTGTGGCCATCTTCATGGCATGTCTAGACCTTGATTGGTCGACTGGTTCGCAAACCCATTTGTATCTCCAACCCCAAGCTTCATATATACCCTAAAAATATAATAAGAACAAAATAACATACGGCCTTCTTACAATTATGTTTTAGGTATAATCATCACAAACCATTTTAATAAAAAAAGATTAAACTTTGTAAGAAATATATATATATATGTGAAATTTAGAATTTTGTTTTGAATATTTTAACCAAACATGAAGTTTTATTTATTGACTTTATTATTTATAGAATAATGTTTGTAGATATTAAAACTTACAGCTATAAATATGTATCCACAGCATATAACTTGAAATGCATTGTATATAATCATAATGGTGTCTAAATTAAGTGGCTTTCTGTTTTTCATAATTTTTGGTCCCCATTTAAATACAAACATTAAATAGAGTCCGAGTACTAAAATCCCTTGATAAGGTTTGCCAACTAGGAGCCATTCTTTTGTTCTGCTATCTAGAAACACAATCGAGAAGACAAGTCACATTATTATTAAAACTTTTTTTCTTAAATGTCATCATATTACTACATTATGTACTCCTATGGTATTTATTTCAAATATCTTTATTATTAACGTGTACTTTAAATATTTGTCTAAAATTTATAATTTAATTTATCAAATACACAACATTCATAATATGCTCAATTTTTCTGTCATTATCATCATCATCATCACTGCTTCTCACTGCCGAGCAAATGCCTCTTCTCACATGGAGAAGGTTTGAGCGTTAATCACCACGCTTGCTTAAGACTGGTTGGTGATTTCAAACTTATAATTTGAAATTATAAGTCCAGGTTTTCGTGCGATATTTTCCTTCACCGTCTGTCAGTGATGGTTAAATACTATGAGAAAGTTCATGTACATAACTCGGAATCAATCACTTTGGTACTTGCCCTGCTTCGAACCCGCGCCCTCCTGCTCGAGCGGCGGGCCCTTAACCTCTAGGCTACCATCACTTATATATTTCTATATTTCTATCAAATTCTAAAAATATAAAAATTAAACACACAACACTAAAACTTACCAGCAAGGTCTTCGAACAAAAATTTGTATGTTGTTATTAATTTATTCACAATATTCGCCATTTGAACTAAACTACAAAGTAACTAAGGAAATTAAAAAGAATTCATTTATATTAGAATAATAAATCTACTTGTTCGTTTGAATATGTGAGTGGAACTGAACAATATGTTTTAAAAACCCATATTAATAGCTTAGAGCGTAAATTAACATATTATAAATAAATTAGAATATTAAAAATATTTTATATTATGCACAAAAATATAGATTAATATTCATAGTTAAATATATGTCAGCTGCAATTGAATTTTATTGACTTTTATTACAAAACAAGTTCTTGATAGCAACTTCGTTATTGGAAAAGATTTCTATATTTTCGTTTAAGAGACAAATTATGTATTAACCTCTTATGTACATTTTTGTAATAGTTCAAAGCAGTTAACAGTATATAATTTTTTATCTTATTCTAATCAAAGCGAAAAACTTTAACTAATATTTAATGTATATTTTATAATTGCAAAATATTTATGCCAATAATAAAATATCCGTTTTATACAGCACCTTTTAGTTTTTTATACTCATCAACCACAATACAAACAAACAGATGCCTCTCCATATTCTATGTGTATTTTTAGTGTTAATGGCTAACTTTTTGCAAAGTTTATTGACGACTAGATTTTCAAATAAAACTATGATTCTCGGATTTAACTTCGTGGTTATAATATTTTACTTTAAGTTTCGATCATTTTACAATAATCAATATCAAAAGATTAAAGTGATAACAGATTTGTTTCTAACTTTTCTTCAACTATTTTTATTATATTTTTACCATATCGCATCATTGCAATATGTTAATATTGTTTGAAACATGTAGAATGAAAATTCTCTTCTATATACGACTTGATAAAATAAAGGTATGTCCTACAAAGATGATATGAAGGTGTTTTTCATCTCAACGATTCCTATTATACTTTACTAGGTATTCAATACTGAGCAACGTTATGAGTGGAAAGTTTTTTATTGAAATTACTTTTTAGTATTATACTTGTTTTGTACTAATGCCAGTATATTGAAAATAATAGTTTTAGGTAAATTAGGTTAGGTTAGGTAATTTAAATTCAGTTCCTGTGTATAAACAATGTGTTTTTAAATAATATTGATGTTACCTAACGTTTTTTTAGGTTTAAAACGATGACGTGATTATAATCGATTGTTGACTATCACATAAGCACTTCGTAATTGTTATCCATATTAATTCTTGCAATTAAATTGACATATATCATAACTGTAAAAGTTCTGTGATAATTTTTGTCATAATAACAATTGGGATAGTTGAAATAATAAGAACAACTGTTCCATTAACACCTACCTATAGGATCTTCGTTCAAACCTTCAAAATAATTCGTATCAAAATATAATTGAACATAATTTGACATTTTTCGAGTACAATTTATGATTGGGTTAAAATTTTAACCAATTTGTACATATATTACTTGAGATGAAAAGTGAAAATGTTAAATTTCCTTCCTAAAATATGTTCAGCTACGTTTTAAATGAAAAAGTATTTAGGAGATAGTTATCCATACTTAGTTTTTCAATTTAGTTCAGCTGTTCCTCCTATTGTTGTAAGAGACCAAATAGTAAGATAATTTCTTAAAGGATTCCTCGTTTCTTTGAGTTTGGTTATAATAGACATATATTCAACAAGTTACACAAACTAATACCTTACATAATATATGATGGTGCATGCATCTGTGTCAGAAGATTTCTAATTACTTATATACGGAGAATACTATAAATATATAACATATATACAAAAAAGGTGTATTATTTTGTTTAGGTTACGGCAATTGTATGCTTTGACAATTTTTCAGATAAATTTCTTTACGCTTTGTTGAAAAATAATAAATCAGACTTTACGGTACAACATTTATATTCAAAGTTTAAAAATATATTGTGTTCAAAATGTTTTCTCAACTAATGCACCCAGCACAGAGAATCCCTGCTCATATTTACTTCCCCCTTTGAAGATGGAGTTTAGTATAACATGATCACAAATGCATTTGAACGTAAACCATCACAAAATATATTTTTTTAAATATAATCTATAGACTTTGGATTTTACTAACGCGGCTATACGATCATTTTGGTCCAACGTGCTCCTGAGCTGGTATTTCTAATGCCTGTGGATAAAGTCGTTAAAATGTTGCTTACCTATCACCGTACTGGTTATTGGGAACTTTTAAAATCTTCATGGGACCTTCAAAATTAAACCCAAGTTTTGTGGTATCTCCTTTCATGACAACGATGAGCACAAATTCCCTACTGTAACGGATTTAGTTTAGCTTATCCTATTGAATTTTATTTTGTCGTGACAAGATCGCTCGTCTAGCCTTTGTTTACAAAGAAATCTTATATTATTTAATTCTTCTACAGGTTAATCGTCATCAATTTCTAATAGATTAATAAGCAGTGGCGAGTATTTTTTGCCAAATAAAATCTGTAAGAGGTTTATACTTGTTTTTTTTTTAATATAATATGTTAAGTTCAATTATTAACACATTATTATAAAGGTTTATTCAACCCATTACTAAGTTTTTTGTGTTTTATTATGTATTTGAATTTCAAGTCTCAATTATTTATATTTCAAATTAACATAAGAATCAGCTACTATCTGTAAAATAGAATCTTATTTAAATTTGTGAATAATATTATTAAAGAACGGGTCAAGATTTTGTTCGATGACCCGTCATTTGTCATAAAAAGTTGAAATGTTTAAATATAAATTAAATGGTTGAAAATCACTGTTTTGATTTGATGATATAAAAAGAAATCTTGGATTACAGCTGAGAAAATCGGTATGGGCTAAATGATTACCTTTTCAATAGTTTTTCTTTTTAAGAAGTTGCAAAAATATAATAAATAAAGTTCTTAGCTTGTAATGAAGCTAACAAAACTCTACAACTTTTAACTTTAATGTAATTTAACACTCATTCAGCGATGTCAGTATATACTTCAGCATTTAAAATATTTTTGAGTCTTTTGAAATTATAGGTTTTTTAAGTTTTTGAGAAATATTCGTTTTTCAACGATAATTTTAATGTCTTTTGAGTTGTTAAGCGAGAACAGTTATAATTAGGTGATCAATGATTTAATGACTCACAACATACATAATTATAATCAATGTTTTGTGATGAGTAGTAGAGTAGTAGTAGTAGTAGTAGTAATTAAAATAAATATATTTAATCATTTAAATTATAGTTTGACCCAAATCTTGATATTTTTTTTTAGATTATTTTCTCCCTTATTAATCCCCTATCCCCTATCCCCAAATACTTGAATAAAATAAATTGTTATTGAAATTACGTCGTAGGTATACACAGGTTTGTAACCTTAGTTTATATTACTATTAAAATTTTATTACAATTCTAATTGCCTCATAAACATTATATAAATTGTCTGGAAGTTAAAATAACTTGTAAAATGATTTTCTGAATAACTTACACGATCCTAGGATCAAAACTAATCATATGCACTACATGTTAGTATACTGTTTGTTAAGTGGATTAACTCAGGTCAACTTTTGAATTTTGACAACCAGAAGTAATTATATATACACATACATAGTTTACACAAATACCTGAATAATAATAACAGGATATTTGCAAAATAAGTAACAAAATAATTCATATATGTATATGTAGAGGATTGGGTTCGATGTATTTCAATTTGAAGAATAAATTGTATAATTTTTTAATTTTTGGTACGCTTCATAGACACAAATTATTTTTTAAAATAGTCGTGCTGAGTTATTCAATTAAAATACGTATAATTAATATTTAATGAAAACTTTGAATCAACCAGCAAATGGATATAAAAAAAGAAAAATATAGTAAAATTTTTCTTTATTTATTAATACTTAATTTACCATATTTAAACATTTTAATTACATGGCTTAGCCAACTGTCAGTTCTCAAATCTATTTCTCCCTTTAAAGGCTATAGCCTAAGCTCATTAAGGGTATTAAACATGCAAAACATATAGTTAGAATACTAGTAACAGGTTAATAGATAGATAGGATCATGGTTAATAGATACTAAAAAATTTAATAAATCAAATATATCTTATTTATATGAAAATATTAGTTTCAATTTTTTTAATAGACTTATTTTTTTTATTTAAAAGGCAGCACACGAGCAAATGACCTACCTGATGGAAGTAGTCACCATCGCCCCTGGACAGAAAGGGTAGAAAAATGGAAAGGGCAAACGACGTTTTCACTCATCGGACGATATGCAGCCATTAAAGATTACTTCACGTGGATCTTCTGTCAGAAGGCTGTACTTCCCCAGTTGAGTCAGCCTATATTCGAGCTGTAACTACAAAGTAACTACTTGATAACAGCTTGGCTCTCATACCTACACGATACTTTTAATTGACCAACTTATTTACAAAGAACACGAGAAAATTCAGATATATAAGAAGCTGTCTTATTATTTAATAGCAATCTTTTCACAAAACACAAATTTAAACAAACGTTGTTGTGATTTGAAGGTGCTTATACTTATATAGAAAAAGCTATAATCTTGTACTATAAATTTAGAAATACTTAGGGCAATACATTTTAAAGGAGTTATTAAAAACGCTATAAGCTGTTACAACTTCATTTCTTGTATTGTAAGCCAAATTCTTAAAGTTTTATTTAAATTGATGCCTTTTAGAATGTTGTAGCTGTAGTTAGTGTAAACTAATTTGGATATCAAGGAATTTATATCTATTCATTAGAGATTTTTTTTAAGATAAAAAAGAAAGCAAGTGGAGAACAAGATCACGAGTGTGTCTTTAAATATAATAATAGTTTCGTAAAGGTAATATTAATCACTTAGCAAGAACTTGAGATCCTTAGTTAAATAACCATATGATCAATAAGAATAGATAAAAGAGAGTAGGGACGTACTTATACCTTTATAGCTAGAAGTTAATAAGATATTTTAGAAGTTTTAGTTGAACCAATAAAAAAAATTAAGATTCTTACATAAAATTCTCCTAACAGTAACTTCTCAATGGCCTCTCAATCACAAATTGAAAAAAAAATGTAATAACTAAAAACAATACGTCCTTAAGTAATATTAGAAATATTAATACTCCTATGTAGTATATTGAGGCTATATGCAATTTAAAATTATACGTTACTTTCAATGTTGCGATGAAATGAAAAAAAAACAACTATATAAGAGTTATAATCCATATGTAAAGAATATTAAGTGATAAATACAACCGAGTTTATTTGAATAAACTTTGACCTTTTAGATTAAATATGTTGTGTGAACATGTGGTAACAAAAGGTAAATATCATTTTTATATTTGGTATTCATACAAAATGACCATCGTTTTTAGCGCCACTAAGAAAGTAAATTGTAACAAAATATAATATGTTAATTTGGAACTCTTTTGATTACTGTGTATGGATGAAAAAATTGGATTTTAAAGATTTATACTTTGATTTTTTAAATATCCTTCAAGGGTCGGTTCGGGAGATGTGATATTTTACGACTTACGTTTTATCTCTTCATTGCAGTTTAACTGCCGAGACAGTGTACATGCGTTTAAGTATGAGACTTATATTTTTCCTATCTTTTTTAATAAGTTGTGGGTGCAGTGATATAATATATAGGCTCAATGGTAAGTCACTATATAATTTTTCCCTGTCTCTTCTTTATACCATTTCTGTTTAAATAACTTTCAGAAACAAATACTTTAAACAACAAAATTGTTTAATAGTAAATCATAACTCATTATGCACGTTAAAAAACTTATTAAGTAAGCAACTTATAAATTTTATTATCTTATTTAAAATATAAATTTAATAGTCTTACCTGTTGTAATTTTTACAATGAATAAGAAACATTAATTATTATTGTGAAAAATGTTGGGAAATTTTACATTTGTTAAGATTATTTTTCTTAATAAATTTTTGATACACATATATTGTTGTAAAGACACAGAGTATTCTAAAATGCCACCTGTGTTCCACTTGGATGATTATGACGACTGCATGATAAACCCTCAAGGCTTGTACTGCTTTGTCGACGTCAACTTAGTTTCCGACGGTCCAAATGAAGTCCTAGTTATGATACAAGTAAGAAAGTTTTATAATGGAATTATTAATCTGAATTTATTCTTTATAGTTTTCTATTCATTCTTTATACATATTCCTGTTTTACTTAAGAAGGGATGTGAAATATTTAAAAGACGCCTTATATTTTTTATTAGCTTTTTCTTTATATTAAACAAGGATTTTAAATATTCCTTTTATGTATGTAATAATTCAAATTTATAGAGTCAGAAAAGTGAGAGGTAAATTTATTTATGTCCATAAAGAGTATCATTCTTATTGTTTTATTAAGTTATATGTCTTTTATTACAGAGATACTCTGCGCATACGAAAAAACATTTCAATCACTCTCTACTTCATCACGGTAAATGTGTTAAAAAACAATGTAAAAAATACATACAGGATCTAAATGAAACTGATTTGATCACCAATCATCATCTCCCGATTGCTTTGGAAGGATGTTTCAATGAATCCATATATCAGGACTATAGACTCAAAACGAGAGTATCACACGTATTTTGTGTCGATAATAAGAAGGAAGTTGTTCTTGACGCTGGCGATATAGCGCTGGGAGTGTTTATATTTATTGTTCTAGCGTTAAACGTGATTGGAAGTCTTTACGACGTTATTTTGATAAAAGGCAATAAAAATCAAGGTGAGATACACTTGATTTATACGTCACTATGATTATTATAATCCGGAATCCATAGCCCCAAATCGATTGTATTCTGATTGCTTTAAATTCAACATTGTTTCATATGTTTTGTCATCTGTGTTCCGTGTTTGATCCAGGACTAAATGATTTTAAATGAATATCATTAAACATTGTTTTAAGTATTGTTATTAGTTAATGATATCTAAGATTTTGTAGCTAGTTCATTTGAATTTGTTAGTATTTTACAACTACAAAATTCATTATTGTGTAGTTGTCAAATAATAAAAAACGCGCAGTAATATACGAAGACGTTATTTCTATGTAATTGTTATAAGTTGTTTATTACTTCCATTAACATTTAATATGTGAAATACTAATTTTATTTTATTATTTTCTTCTATCAGGAATTAAGCCTTTGCTCTGTTTCTCGGTGCCACGTAATTACAGAATGCTTTTGTCTCACCACCAAAAATCTGATGTGATCCTTTCGGAAGAACGTTTCGTTATTTTCGATGGTTTGAAGTAAGATCTACTAATTTTCATATTTTTATATTGATATACAATCAATAAATATGATATCAAATATAAGTAATTTTATATATAGTTAAAGATAATTCTAACAGTTGTTTTCTTATAAAAAACTTCATGTGTAATTATTTTATTGTGTATTTTTAGGACCATAACGATGATGTGTGTTATCTATTGTCATTCGCTCATGATATTTGCTTTTGAACCTGAAAATCCCCATCATATCGAACAGGTATTTATACCCTTCTAAAGAAATTTGTTTTATATCTAAATTTAAGCATCGAAGAACTTGTGGCCTATAAATATTAATTGTGAACTTATATGAAACTTATTACCCTCTTTCGTTAGACGTTATTTTCTTAATGTTTGTTTTAGTTATACGATAATATCCTACATTATATATTCTTGAATGGATTCCTAGTTGTACAGACATTCTTCATAATATCTGGATGTCTTATGTCTTACAAACTGGAACTATACGCAGAGAAACATAAAATAAAGTGGAACTTAATACCATTAGCGATTTTAATGACTTGGATAAAGTGAGCATAAAATATACAATGTACATATATAGTAATAAAGTTATTATGCATTAAAAATATTTTAATACAATTTATTTTCGTTGTAAAGTATAAATTTTAAATAATTAAAACATATCTACATGTTTTAAATTAAATTCATTTTTATTTGTCTTAAATGTTTTTATAATCTCATGTTTAGCTAAATTTGTAATGCTTTTTTTGAAGCCAACATTTGTGCAATGAATCTAAATGAATAAAATAAAATTTGCATATTTTATTACAGACTAACTCCCGCCTACATGATTATATTAGCAATATCCACAACATGGTTGAGGCACGCTGGAACCGGGCCTTTCTGGGAGGTCGAATATTTATTAAATATAATACATAAGAATTGTCAATAACTCATACAAAAGATTCATAAAGCTTTACTATCCATGTTTATAAAGCAAGAAATAGAATTATATAAAAAAAAGTTAAATAAAACATTGAATAATATCATGTTAAAGATTCCTTATGAAATCTGAACTTAGATAAAGTTACCATAATAACGAATGAATAAAAACTGCTGCTGTAATTAGTTACTTAACAGATAAAAATTAATTCCTTTGTCTTTTTCCATAGTTCAGACAGTAACTGTAATAGGAATGACAAACGTCCTCAGTTAGTGATGAAAGTACATATATAATATTGTTTAAATAACTTTTAGCTATTACTATTATAGACTTAATACGATTAATGAATATCTTTTATACTATAGCATTTTTTTTACATTGCAGATAAGTGTTGCCAAAGAGGTTGAAGACTGTCGACAAAATGGTTGGGCAAACCTATTGTATATAAACAATTATATGGTTAATTCCCAATGCCTTGGACAGTCATGGTAACTATAAAATATATTACTTTTCATCTTAATCAGCCGTTATACGTGAATTGTTTTTATCTTTTCAAGGTATTTAGGTGCCGCTATGCAGTTAAGTATAGTGGGCTACATTGTTTGTATATTACCAAAGACTGTTAAGGTCAGAAACATAGCGTTAACGATCCTCTTTGTGATTGGTATCTTAACACCAGCAGTTCATACTTACTATCAAGACTTGGACGCTGTTCTCATGATTACACCTGAGTAAGTTACGTCCCAATTGAAAGATCTGAGGCTGAGAATTCTACTGTTACAGGAATATTATCAAATTATTTTATACTGTCTCTTCAACAGAACAGCTCGAGTCTTTGAAGGCAACCCAACATTTAATTATGTATACAGAATGGGTCACACAAACATCACGAATTTCATCGTAGGCATCGTTTTAGGATATTCCATATATCGATGGCAGAAAACCGGAGAAACGCTACAAAGATATAAAGTAAGTCAATATAAGAATTTTAATTATATTTTTTATAAATATCTTGGAATATTTTTAATTTGTTCTAGAAACATCGTTATTTACTTCTGTTGACTTTCCCATCTATTATTGGAATGATGTTCATTGGGAGCGTATTTTACTTGGATAATATTGACACTCCATTGCTTGTCAAAGCTATTTATGCTGGTATTGTTAAGCCAATATATGGAATCATTATGTCGATATTAATTATAGCAGCCGTTTTTAAATTAGAAAGTAAGTTTACAAAAATTATACTATCAGAAGTATTGTATAATTTTCATTTTTGATTCTACTTGATCTTTAAACATTCTGTTTTACTAATATTTTATTTATTTATTTCAGATGTTTATCGAGCTATTTTTGAGTCAAATATTTGGAGGATACCAGCAAAACTGACGTACTGTGCTTACATAATACACATAACGATAATACGCGCTGTAGTAGGGAATAGGACAACTTTGGCTACATTTTCCAATATAAATATGGTAAAGTGAAACGCTGATGTGTTATACATATATCTTATTACGAGAAACAACGACTGTAAAAATATAATGATATCTATGATTTTCGCGTCTACTTAAATGAAACTAAGTTTTTCGGATACTACGCGTTTTTTTATTATTTTGTATCTACATATATTATAATAAGTTTGGTTCCTTGACAGAAACTGTGAACACGGGTAGATGAGGTGAATAATGAAACGCCAGGACTATACAGTTATAAATAATAAAAAAACTCCTATTATCCGAAAAAAATAGTTTTAGTAAAAACATTATTTTTTTAAATAGATGTTATTTAATAACTTAACAACACATTTTTCTATTTATCATTCTTATAGTGTTATCCTATTTTTTCAGATTGAATTCACATTAGCAAGTATAACAGTGACATTTATACTGTCAGTTCCTTTTTGGTTACTTATGAATACACCTCTCACTCAGCTGCTTAAATGGTGTGTTGGTTGTTTGTTACAAATGAAAGAGGAGCATGAAACAGAAAAAAAGTCTAAAATAGATAAGAATAGTGTTACACTTGAAGTAAAGAATGAAAACCAAAGGGAAGTTGGTGAACATAATTCATCATAAAAAAATTGTTGTCAGCAGCGCTTTTTTACAGGTTGTGGAAATGAAAAATGTTATTGTAATAAACATTTTATTTATTTTCATTTTTATTTTATTTTTTTTCACTTACAATTACAAGTCTTAAGTCAGTATAAAAATGTTTGTACAATGTGATCCACAGAACTTCAATGTATTCATATATTATTGAACTTTTCTTACACATATTTTATATATAATATTTACATTACAATATTTGCCAATTTTTAAAATAGGAGAGTTAGTTTTTAATGACATCAAGAGGACAATTAATCTTTTATGTTGTCAAGATAAATTTCTTGCCTTTAAATTTGAGTCACTGACTATTATTATTAGACATTTGTTCATTAGTTTTCTGTAGGAAAATTGCTGTCATTTTAATAATCTTTGGAAAAAAAACTATACGAATATATCATTAAATGTCGCAGTATTATCGGTTTTTATGACGATGTTAAATTCGAAGGAATATAAGATAGCAGTTCTTTTATCACCTATGTTTTAACAGGACTAGCAACGAGGTGATTAACTGCTTACTACCTGATTTGATTTTTCCCTGTGATATAGCTTTTCCCGTTTACAAAACAATAATACAACTAATAAAACAAATATTTGGTAGATAAATCATCAATTGAAATCAATAATTATATATAATACAAAAAGAAAACTTGTAGAAATATTGCAATACATAAACAAATGAAAGCAAGTTTTTCTTATATTAGGTGTTTTTGCAAATTATAACGACGTAATCCCGACGTTTCGGTTCCCTTACAGTAAGCGTGGTTACAAAAACTTATATCTTAACTCTCTATCATGACTGTAAAGCAACCGAAATATTATGTTGTTATAAAAACATTAAAAACGCTCTGTTTTCGGCAAACTTAGTTTCATTAAAATAGTACATATATGAAAGTGTTACTTATTGAAAGTATACAAATTTTGCATATGTTTGTAGAAATAATACATGTTGTTTAAAAAATATAGTCGTATATCTCAATAAATGTGTATTTAAGGAAAAATTTTATTAATTACTCCTTTAATTTGGTACAAAACAGATAAATGTACAGTGTATATATAAATAATCATTCATATAACTTAAGACTATTTTGTAAAATGGCGTGATTTATTGTAAATCAATATTAACTCGACAATTAAGGAGAGATATCATTTAGTAATATTGTAACTAAGCCCTCCTTTGGAAATGTATAAATACATCAACGTACAAATTACATTAAACCGTTTCTACATAGAAATAAAGATAATTAGAATATAATTCCGTACTAAATTAATTCTTACAATCACCTGTTTTAATACCTTAATATACAATCGTTACCTTAACCTAAATACATAGAAAAAATCTATATAAACTTAAAAAGATTTTTGAACGCTAGCATTCTTTCGTTTTACCATTCGCGAGGACACCATTAGATGGTTTGTTTTCGTCTTGAGGTTTGATGTTAATGTAGTTTCTGTAGTAGAAGTTACCGAACATATAAAGGAACAAACCAGCATTGAGAGCGAGCAGGAAGTTGATGGTCTTAGGATAGTTACAGTCACAGAACATTACACTGAAATTGTGATAGAAAACGATGACGAACTGCACCTGCAAGTGAAATGTTACATTAAATCATTAATAGAAGTCTTTTAGTAACAGCTGACGTCACAAATCAGTGCATTGATCAATAGTTTCTGTTGTTTTTTTATGGTAAATAGTTAGTTATTCACATAATAAAATTTTGACAAACAATACGCTCTTAAAATATTAACCGCATCCATTCTAATAATGTATTTTTTTGCTGAAATTTAATACGCGATTTTACTAAATGAACTTTTCAAAAAAGATATTTTTTTATCAATCGGCTGTTTAGGGAGAAGAAAAATTTATTTTAATTCCTTGTAGATTTAAAATTAATACCAATAAAATAGAACTACGTTGTATGTTACGAGTTTGTATTGTTTAAATTTCAAAATCGACATTCTAAGTCTATTTAAGCAATTCTTAGAAAGGCTACATGTTCGGTTCACCACTTAATAATTTTTTCTTACCAGTTGCATACTGGTGAGGTGTTTCTTCCACCAGAGGTATTTCTGGTACTGCGGCCCCAGACCAGAGATGAAGTAGTAAGTGTACATGACTATGTGAATGAACGAATTGATGACTCCTAGAAGAGTTCCGTGACCACCTGAAATAGAGGAACAGCACATATAAATTTACACCCCAATAAGACTACTGTTAATTCAGTTCTTGACATTAAATCTAGAACTAGACTATGAAATCCAGAGATAAGTGAGAAAGTAAATTATGTTTTATATTCTTTTATGAAGTCTGGTCTCATTCCGAACAAAGTTTAAATACCATTTGAGTGGCTTCGTCGTAAAAAGATAATCGATGGTCAATTACTTTAACATCGATAATATTGATTGATTGATTATTTTTGTTATATTTAAGTGAATATTTACAAACCTGGTAAGAACCTGACACCTATCCACGCACAAATAGGCATCATTGTGTGATGGTACAGGTGCAAGAACGTAATTTGCCTGTTCTTCTTCCTAAGTACAAAGAAGACCGTGTCCAACAGCTCGACGATCTTTGCGAAGAAGTACCACCAGACTGCAGCGGCCATCTATAATAAAATGTTATATTCTCATATAAATGTTGCTGTTATAAAATTATTGTCCAGCTGAGACATCTTATCTGATAAAATTGCCGAAATTTAAGACGTTGTACTCACCCTTTTTGCTTTAGGAGTATCTGAATAGTCCACAGGTTGGCAAGCGAAGTCATAATCATTCCACCATCCAGAAGCCAGACCCTGAAGAGAAGAACATTTATGTTCAAACTATATTCATATCCGAAATATAACAAAATAATACTAATCTTAAACAATAACGAAAATCGTGACAGAGATTATGACTTAGATCCTAGTTGATATCAAGATAAGTGTAAATATCTATTTACTTCATAAACAAGGAATATGCTCAACAGGATCTGTGAGATGTTGTAAAACGCTATGGTATTCTTCAGTGAGTAGGGTTTTCTGTCTCTCATGTAGTTCGGGCCAACAGAAGTACAGAAGTAGAGGTATGAGGCGAGTAAAGTTATCAGTGGACCTGGACCGGTCACTAGCAACCAGTTCTCCGTACGAGGATCTGTAAAATTATATTTAATGTACCAATTAATGGTAAAAATATAAAAAAATGTTATATGGAAGGATTATTAAAAAAGCAAATGGTTTCTAATTAAAATGTACAAAATTATTGTTGTATGTAAACCCAATAAATAAATTTCTGTTAACTTCCACACACATTACTTTAGACGTATATTGCAGGCATAGCATTGACTACAGATATATAACAATAATTCTTTTTAATGTAAATGAGCAACATATGGATCGGTCTTTGATGTGATATTTCTGTAAAATATAACATCAATAATACTTATAATTTTTTTTATATGTAAAACACCAAAGTAAGATAAAATTTTATATTGAAAATAGTTATTGCGACAAAATAATGGGATATAAATTTTCAAAAGTTGATTTTTTCATCCGATAGTTTTTATACATTCATTTATAAAACGTAAATAAACAGAATTACGGACCCACCACAATGATGTCTATTGGTATAAATATCACGTATAGAAAATACTATTGAGATTCGTAGCATACTAACAACACATATTAGTCATTTATTGCCAAGACAACATCTTAGATGCGACTTGAAATACTTTAATTAATTATTGTTATACACGTTACTAGCATTTTTTATGTAATAAATTAATTGTTTTTAAATAAAATATTTAATTTTAATATTAGGCAAAGTTTTTCTTCAATATTGTAGAAAATATGATAATAATGAGATTTAATTTTTGGTTTCAATTTAAAGGTGTTTTCACATTTACCAGATTGGTAAAACACGTGGATTATGATACATTATAATCGGATAAAATATATTTTATTAGTTTAGTTGTCGTTTAACACATTTTGGTTAGTAATATAGAATTTATCAACTACGAAACATAATTACAATGTTAAATTTATTTATAAAATGAGTTTAAATTGTGAGATGGAAAAAGTATACATGAACTTAATTATGGAGATGTACGAGTACGCAAAGACCAAAAGAAACGTTTGAATTTCATTAGTCTGATTTGGGAATTCCTTTAAGACAAACACAAATTCTTCTCTTGTAACATTTTTGTTTCGCCAAAAAATATATAGTAAGGAATATTTAATAAAGTTTTCAAAAAAATAGTTAGATTATTTACAATTTTATTGAATCGAGATCGCGACAAAATAATAAAAAAATTGTGATCAATTTTGCAAGGAGTACTCGGAGTAATATGTGGTTTAAAGACGTGTTATTAAAGATATACACATATTTTTTTAAACTTACCCGTATTCCTCTCCATGAAGGATTTGTACGAGTCGACGATCGACATGTTGTAGCTCTGTGTTTCACCTGAAAATAAAAGAATATATTCATTTACACAAGAGACGACGGACAATAAAGTTCAGTGGGTCATCATGACCCAAAAATCAGGTGAAACAATTCTGAGAGCTCAAGACAAAAAAATAATAGTTGTAATAAGTCAAGGATACGACCTACTCTGCACCCTCGTTGTAATTGTAACGCCACCAGACTGACGAATACTCAGATACTGACATTTAACAAATATTATAGTATTAAACTAAATTACTTTATTGCGTAATATATAATTATATACGTAATAAATATTATTAATCGCTCTCATTTTTGTGCAACGACATTCTTTTAATCCCATTAGTTTAATGAGATGTTTTGTTTCAAATATATTCGGTTTGATCGTTTTAAAATTACAAACAATTTATATTGTTTCTGTGCTAATGACACATTATATTAAGATTGTAGACTTGTTTTGTTATTTTATTGCTTTCATGAATTTATATATACATTTTTTCTTATGCTAAGATATTAAATGAAAAATAATTTTATTATATGTGAATTTATAATATAATTTAAATTTAGATATATTAAAGTTTATATATAGTATAGTGTATGTATTTTGCATAAGTTTTAAACATATATTTGTTTTCGTATGTGATATTTTATTTACTAGTCATAAATTAGTGAAGGAAATAAATATTGAATAAAATATGTATTCAATATTATGTCATAAAACTTTATTATAATATCCTGATTATAAATTTAGCATACCAACATTTTTACAAAAAAATAGTAATTGAAATTCTTTTTAATCACAAAAATATTCACCTATTCGTTTCAACAATTCTATATCTTTAAGTTCACAAACTTGTTATACATCTTAGTCTGAGAGGTTTGAACTAGTGAAATTGAAATCAAATGAGTATGTGCTAACTAAAGTTAAAATTGATTTATTTATTAAACAAACAAACGGACGACTTTCACTTTAATGTATTAACAGATGTACCATTTGAAGCCTTGTAATGTTACGATTCTATTTACAAATACATAACAAACGATTTTGAGACTATTTATGTTTGTATTAGAATTGATTTTTAATCGCATCTGATTGATATCTACAAAACAAAACATGCATCATATTAAATACCGCCAGTTATCTAAATTCTTAATTATTACGATACTTAATTGCCATTTTGCAATTTATTAAACAAATAATTTATATAAATATGTTAATCAGTTTCATCAGAAATCAAAATAAATATAAAATAGTTAAAAATTCATTCACAATGGCATAAGAGGTGATGGATGGACACTATTATTCTTAAGCCTACGTTAAGATATATAATAGATTTCAAATGACATTTATACATCAGGTAACTATAAGATTTAAAAAAACTTGAATAAGCAACTATTAAAATTTTGAGTAGGCGTCACCTGCGGAATCAATTTAAATGTTAAAAGATATTAAAAATATTTTAAAACATATCTGGATCCATAACTTCTACAAAACTTAAATATCTATAAGTTTTGTAGAAGTTATGCCACTATATGTAGTGGCTTAAATTACATATACTGTGTCAATTCATAGTAATCACAATTGTTTTTGATTTCGATTCCATGAAACTACACAAAATAAAGATAAATTATAGGCTATACGTAACTAACATGTAAATTAAATGATTGTAAAGTTTCATAAAAATCCGTTTAGTATATTTTAAATGAAACATCAACAAACTTCCATAGATTCCATATATCATCGCAATCTCGTATATTGTTGGTAGGATATGCACCTTATACAGCAAATGTTTTTAACATGACCATGTTTATGACAGCTATTCGTCATTTATTTTCCGTTTACGACGGAGCGCGGTACATTATTATTTATCTACTATTTTATATGAAACTTATCAGTTATCATGTATCAAGAACATTCCTGTGGAGTACAGGAGTTTACCGTTTCAATAAGTTCAGATTCAAACATCTGATAATGTCACAAGAACAAAATATTAATACTATTACACAAAATTCATATGTTGTAATTTCCCAAAGAGGTTTGATGTCAGGCAGGCGGCCGGTCGTAAAAACAATTAGCCAAAACTATTCACAACATGTAAGGCAGACCCTGGCTAAAGCTGGTAAATTGCCAGAAAAAAGAAGAAGACACAAAATTCATGTGTTGTAATATGGAATGTTTAATAAATCTTAAATCAATTACTTGATAACAAAAAGTTTGTTTCCTTTATAGTAACACATTAAAATTCATAAAGTACGAATAAATTTTAAATAATTGGGCGATTAAAGTTCATTCGTCTTAATTTTTTTTTGTGATAAAAAATTCTTTGTTTATTTATGAAATTATATACGTAAATTATAATAAAAGATTGCATCCTGAAAAAAAGAATGTTGCTGTTACGATAACATTCAAAACAATGTTCAATTTCAATATTAACAAAGCATTCACACTATTGTTATTGACAGATAAAGAATAAAAAATATATAAAACTCAATGAATAATGAACTCAATGTATATAAAAATAATGTTCACTTAAGATTGTCTTCATTGATGTCGTGTTGCAACGGAGTTTTAAATTCTTATTGTTTTAACGTAAAAGTACATACATTATTTCGGTCCCAGATAATAAAATATTACAAAATTTCCGTTGTATTTCAATCTTACAATTAATGTCCGTAAAAGTGATTTAATTATATTTTTAATTACTGAACTGTCATTACATTGTTATAGAGATCGTTATCACGTTCCGAACAGACAGTTATGTAATGCATGTTTATTTAAGAACAAAGCATTTCAAAAACTTTATCAGCACTATGACATATTTATTTCATATTAAAGTTAAACCATTAATTCATCATCATATTTGTATCACGATTTAAATTCCACTATCATCAAATTGGGTTAACAATAAAAACGTTTTTGTAATGCGTTGGTAATCACATCAATGGCTAATGATTTTTCATAAATATTCATTTCTATATAAAAAGTTTATATTAAAAACAGTAAAGCAGCATGTAGATATAAGTAATGTTTTTTTTGATGATGCTCTAAAAATGTTGCTTATTTTTTATATGCACGTAATTAACATTTAAATAAATTTGAATTTATTACATATATGATATAGAAATTAAATCAGCTCTGTTAGTAAAAGAAGTTTCATTGAGTAGTAACATGTTACAATGACATTGTAACTCCCGTTAAACTATTAGCTCAATACGTGCCAAAGACACTTAAGTAATTATATTATCCAAAAAAGCCTACAATGGGTTTGATACCAAGTATGCAGTGTAGCCTTAAATTGATGTAATTGGATAGTTCTTATGTTTAGAGGCATAAGATTGTTATTGATTTATATTATGATCAGTTCCAAGGTCCAAAAAGAAAGTTGTTTGGTAAATTATTGATGGTCGTAGCATCATAAATTATTGAGATGGACAATCATTTGTCAAAATAATGTTTGTTTAACGGAAAAGTATCTTTCATTTTCATATATTATTTGATAATCTTTTCTAATCGTCTCTTTAACCTAGATATATCTAAAAGAAAATCGTAAAATTTATGGCATATTTTAAACAAAATTACAAGAACGTAATGTATGTAGGGCCCGGTAATGTAGCAAATTTGTATATGAGAATATATAATACGAAACAAGCCGAGATGGTACATACATATAATCGTTTCTAACACAATTCTTCTTACTATTAGCAGTATTATTTAGCTCTGCAACGTTTTTACGACAAATAAAGCAATAGAAGGCACTGCATTTACAATTATTGCTATTGTTTAAAATTTTCAAAACACACAAAACTATTATCAGTAACAGTAACAGTACGAGTGTCTTAATGTATTATTAATTTAACAATCTTTTATAATGATATAGTACAATGACATTGTGCGTATGGATGTCATACTTATTAAGTCTCTGACAACTTGCTCCGAAGGTGAGGTCGGTCATTAATTTTTACACGAGGAATGTTGACACGGTTCCGATATGTTTTCTCATCCATAAAACCGTAGTTTCGATTTTAAGTTTTGTGCTCCCCATGGGAATAACTAATATTTCTACTCTACAAAGTTATTTTTTTAATCCACTAGTTTTTACCCGCGACTTCGTCTGTTTTACTTTCAGAATAAGAAATGTATAGCTGACCGATCGAACTCTATTCCTCCTTAAGGACAGAACATAAGAAGATTTTGGATTTAACCAAATTATTTTTTCTTTTTCAATCGGATGAAAAGTATCCTATGTTCTTTTCCTGGTTTTAAGCTATCTTTTTACAAATCTTCATCCAAACCCGTACAGCCGTTCTTGAGTGATAAAAATGGTGTAACTAACACAACTTTCTTCTTTATATATAGGCAATATTATAATTAAAATCACAAAAGCAGCAATTGTAATAAGTTTTAATGTACAAATGTCGCAATACAGAAGGTCATCAAATGTATTGCGGGTATCTGTGGCCGTTTAAAATCACTTGGTTAATAATATGGTGGGCTGACTCACCTTATATAATAAATGTTAACGAAAAACGTTGTACAAATCAACTAGCATACTTTTTAAAGTGAGTAATATATACGAAAACGAGTTTGCTATCCTTTAGAGGGTTCCCCGAAAATTTATCAAGAATTTTATTTTACCTTTATCATTACTATAAAATCAAAAATGAATGTACGAAATGTGTGTATCACTTTCGTTGTTCATAACATCATAGTGGTTATAAGTAACCTTCACGACTTGACAGGAAAATGTAAATATTCGATAACTTTCTGTTTAATATAAATTATTTAATGTCACTTTTGATAAACGTTAACCAGAATGTATCTTATCTAAGTAAATACAAAAGATCTGTGATAAATAGACAAGAGAGTTTCAGTCGATCTATTACGGTCAATGATTTAGTAAGATTATAAATAGGATATTGGAACATTATGATAGAAATATATTTAAGAAAATTAAGAAGAAAGTTACTATATATTTAAAGTATGTAATGTTTTTCCTGTTTTACTAATTTTTTTGTTATTGCGATAAAAGTATTTCCTTGTAAGTGATGTTGTTTACATTCACAGAATAACAACGACTCGATAATAGCTCGTATTAAATAACGCATTAAACTTTACGGTCAATGACTCGGAATAGTAAATAGAAATAGTTGACAAGGACATCGTACATCGGCAATATCTATGCAATACCCATATAATCTCTATCACAAGGTTATAATCTTCTAAACAAATCTTACCGCTGTTGAAACGCGCTATCTTTATAATTGAACCATGCAATTATTAAGATAGAGTAGTTCTAAATCTTGTATAGATAAATTCAAGCCAATTCTAGTTCGTTTGATCTGAATGCATCTGTCACAATGTAGCGAGTCATATTGAAATGTATGAAACATGACTGTATACTTTCTAATCCTAATGACTGACGGAATAAGTAAAATTACTTGCACTTTCTTAAGCAAATATTTGAAAATGAAATTATAATATTTTTATACGGTTTTAAAGGAATTTAGTTCCTATGAGATATTTACTTAATTATAGCATATTATTAGTATATGGGAGGACCTGTCAAATATTTTTATAGTATAGTATAGAAGTGGCTTACACTTTATTGCTTGTTGCCTGAGCATTAGCCCGTTGCCGTGGGCATTATTACCACATATCAGACAATGTCATACCGACAACTTATTCGTCGGGCTCCAGGCTACGGATTTAACATATGTATATAAAGCGGTAAGGTTGCCTTGAGATTTGAGCAGAGTAAGATATGCCAATTTTAGTTGTGTCAGATGGACATTCAGGGTAGCGAGATCCGAAAACAGGTTCTCCTTTGAGCTTCTACACTCAGAAAGAAAGGAGTTGAATTAGGTGGCTAGCTACCCATGAAAGTTACCCCCTAACTGTATATTATACCAGTGTAGATTAATCGTGCTGATTTGTGGCCAGGTAAGAAGACCCGCCGACTAACTTTGGCGAGGTTTGAGCGTTTCGGAATAGGCACAACAAGTCTAGTTGGGCTATAATTTAAACGATTAGTTGAAATTTTGTTGTTCTTGTTTCCAAAAATTCTGTTTGTTATATAGTTTGGAGTATGGAGTAACCTACCATAGTATCGAGGAGTACCAAGTTTGCAAAAATCTTTTCCTGCTTTTATTATAACATTTTATTAAAATTAATATGTTCCATTCCTAGACAGGGCCATAGATTTTTTTTAAAATATACAATTGGCAAACTTGACTGATTTCACTATTAATGAATGCAATACAATTTAAATAATATGTTTATGGTTATGATATGTGATATAAATGCTGGATTGTTTGTTAAATAACACAATGTTTAATATTTTTCTACAGATTTTATAAGAACTTAAGAAACGCTTTAAATGTTGTTGTTCAACCTTCTAACATATCTATTTAAATAAAAACAATCAATTATCAACAATAATAAAAAAACGTCCACCGGAAGATCCAGCAGAAGTTGAAAGTAAAAACTACACGATCACATCATGACAGATATCCCAAAAATAGTTCAAAATTATGGCAAACATAAACCACCTAAAACGAGACTAGCAATCATACAATTTTTACCAAATCATACGAAAAAAAAAACCATTGAAAGAGTCAACGAAACATGAAATACACTATTCTTATAACACGAAAACGTTAATAACGATAGAAGACAGAGGTATTTGTATATGAATAGGTAAAGCACAAAAACTCAGATTAGAAAATATTGATTGAAAAATTCTTTGATGCTAGCAAATTTCGGACCTGCAACCTTTGGTATATCACGTTCAAATTGCTTAACCACTTAAGCTATCATGGCCTGACTCGAGTCAGTGAATTGTGCATTCTCATTTTATGAGTGAGATGATATTTAGGTAATAGGAGGACCCTTTATTACTTTAATTATTTATTGCGATTTTAGACGAAATATCTCGAAATACGACTGGAAAACTAGAGGCATAACAATAAACAGCTAACTAAGCTATTTCAGATTCATGGTAGACATACTTATAGTGTTTGACACAATAAATTAATTACGAAATAGGCTCTTTCTTTTGCTTAAACAAGCTCAAAGCTAAGATTATGGGCAAATACTGCAAAAACGGAAATGATGACATCATAGAACAGCCTATATTGAGGTGTTGGTATGGAATCTTTAAATTTCTCTAAATACCGATGTAAATGTAAAGTAATGAAACAATAAATGTATTGAAGAAATACGTCCGCGACTATTTAGTTTATTATTTTTTTTACTGCCAAAAGATTGGTGTTTATTTCTGTTACGTTGAACTGGTAATTTTCTTGTTTACATACAGAACGTAAGGTGACAAAATTTCGTCAGCAGCATTTATTTGATTTTTTGTTCCGGTTGTATCTTATGGTATTTTTGATCAGACTTGATATCCTTCTTGTTAATATAAAATGCGTAGTTAAACTGTTTCATTGTAAACACAAAGCTCTCAGCTCTTATATGTGATGGCGTTACGTGATTATTTATTTATTAGTTTAAACGTGGAATGAATTAAAGAAATATAAAGAAACTTTTACATTATATATAATATAATTTAATACATCGAACAATAAAAAACATTAAACGAATTTGCCTTATGATAAAATAAAATTATATAAAACGAAAAAAATGTAACAATTTATTCATTCCAAAATTTTTTGTTATTGTATTAATTATTCACAAGTAAATGAATAATAGAGTAACTTACTTAATAAAAATATTAATTAAGATACAAATAAAAAAGGAATTATAACAAGAAAAAAATTTGCTTTTAAAAAATAATATGGAACAAAGACATTATTCTGATTTGTTATACGTACCATCAGTATATAAAGTAAACATATAACCTGTTTAGGCTTATTATATAATCATATTTTTCTCGAAGCATCTTTAAATGTAATGTATAGGGTCTCTGTCATCTTACTATTTACTATACACTCATCAGCTGTTTGAGTTATTATGTAACTACACAATGTCATTGCCATATATGAAGATTAATAAACACTTGAGCTATGAAGTGTACTCTATGTAATAATATAAGATTTTTTAAATAAATATGTTTGAATAAATGAATATACAATATTAATTATAAGTAATTTTTGTAGACAATTATGTTTTTGATTCAACTATCGTTTATTACAATTTTGAATGTAAGTTTTTTTTTCAAGTAGGATAAATAATAATATTAGATTATTACTTTTTTATGTTTGAAAGAGTTTTTATTTTGTTTACCTTTTTTATAGTTATTATGTTAAAAAAATATAAAGAGAAAAAATTACCAAAAAAATCAAATCATTAACATGAAATTTTGCTGCTCATATTTTTTTTGGTTACCTTACATTACCTTTGGTTATATAAAATATTTTAGTTCAATTAGTTTTTTAATGAGTTTTATTTGAAACAAAATAAAATTGTTTTCATATTTCGCATATTATTTATTTTTTTTTTCCTTACCACATATCCAGGAGACAAATTTTAGGTCTATTGCATGAATCTTCAGTTTTTTTTTAAAAAATGTGTAAATTACTCCGATTTTGTTTTAACGTGTTCTATAGGTTAACTTAACCGTTACTATTACTACAATACTTCAAAGTTTATCTTTTCTTCCACTTCTTAAAGCCTATAAGTGGAATTGTTACTGTATTTTTTTTTACGAATTTATCAGTAACCCCTTAAATATAAGAACAACATAGTGCTTTATTTGACTCTGAATTTTATGGATTAAAATCTTAACGATGGGACCAAAAAATGGAAAGAAGGAAGACTTACAACGGGAACTAGGCAATGATATGTGCTGTATGATATATGAGTTATTTGACTTAACCATGTTTCTATTATATTTAAAAATGGTATAATAATATCATGTAAAAAAATTAAAACAATTATCTTCAGTGAAAAATAAAACAATATTGCTCCCAAAAAATTTCCGCATGGAGTGTTGAATAAGTTAATAATAATTAGTTATTTATTTTTAAAGGAATTGATGATTAAAAAAATCTACTGAAAGAATTCACCACGGTAAGGTTGTCTTTAATCTGCATATATTCATCAGTTTAAAAAAAATGACCTTTGCAATTTAAGCACTTTTTCATGTATAACTGATTCATGAATAAACATATTTTTTTAAGTACTTTTTTTTTACAATATATTTTTTCATTTATTTTAATGAGCCTGAATGACTTCGTGATAAGTTTTTTCTTTTGACAACGAATTAATTTATAAATTTACATTCATTCCTATTGTGAATTTGAAAATTATACCAAATACAACTAAACAAAAAATAACTAGAATAAAGTTTTATTATGAATATTGACGTACTATATGTACTGTTACCTTATACACATACACGAGATATAAAATGTCGTTATAGTATCACAACTGATGCGAGAAATTGCATACATGAGTGGAAAGACTCAAGGTCTCTTACGTTATGTAGATTGTAGGTACTAAACTTTCAAAGTGTAGAACACGAAATATTTTCTTATAAATAAAAAAAAATACAAATATAGTTCACCAAATTTATATATATTTCTTTCCCCTTTATTTTATCTTACATAATTTTAATAGTGTAAAATGAAGAGACATCGTTCCAAATATTAGTATATAATATACAACTTATTAAAGGAGGGTAGCGTTAGTAATAGATCCAGACGGGTCCTGATGAATTGTTTAGAATTAATTTCAACTATTTATTATTATTCTAGACACCTAGGAGGTCAATTTAAAATTAATGAAGAATTCTTTTGTAGTTTGATTGTCAATTGTTAACGAATAATTAAAACTCCACCTTAGATTATATTACGAAAATAAAAACGACAAGCTAGATTAATGAATCGTCCAACTTGATCATATACAAGAAATTTTCTATGGTATAAAAACAATTTTTTTATTCATATATACACGGTGCTGAGAAAATAGAGGTGAAGATTTTCTTATGGGCTAAATAATTCTTAACATACACGGCGGTCCAAATGAGCGACCATACAGGCATTTACACACACACATCCACACATAATATATATATATATATATATATATATATATATATATATATATATATATATATAATTTTGCCTTAAATGTTCCCGATCATCTATCGCATGTCGCATTAAAGCCGGCCATAATTCTTCACGAGTTATTATAAAAGTGCAGAAGGAGTCGTTTTAACTCGGCTCGCATTAGCTGCTCGTGTAGAATTTATATTCTTATTCATTCGTCTAAGCGTTGCGAGGCGTAAATTATTTATTTCGACCAGTGTTTTAAGCGTTCTGCTTATTTTTCAATATGCGTTTCTATTAAAGGATTTTTGGTTTATGACGAATGACTGTATTTATAAGATGTAAAATACTTAAATCTCACAGCATATTTTCAGATCATATTATTAATTTTATTACTAAATATTTATACTGAACAAAAAAATTTAGTACATAACAATCCTATCCCATTCAAATATATTAAAATAAATACAAACATTAAAAGTTCATATCAATCACTTAAATATTCGGTGTATAAAAAAATCCTAGGATTTTTAATTAATATCACTTGTAAAGGTTACTGTTGATTTTGGTTCAAACTAACTTTTGTTACATAAATTACTTCTGTTTGATAAAGAAGTCAAACTTCGTGAGTTCACTTAAAGAACTGTAAAGTAATAAGTAAATTTATAAGAAAACTGAATCGACACAAAACTAAATTAAACAAAGCACAAAATTACATCCAACAAAGTAGAATAATATGACAAAAAACAATATTTTAAATAAAAAGAAAGTTGTGTTAGTTACACTATTTATACCTCGGGAACGGCTGTATGGTTATGGTTAGAATTTGGCGGAGAGCTAGCTTAGACCCAGGAGACGGACATTGTATATTTATTTGTATACGATCGAAATAGAAATAAACTTAATTAACTCCAATATCTGGTTATTTACGGCCTCTAGGGTGGAATAGAATTCGCCCAGTCAGCTATATATTTATTTCTAATTCTAAAACAGTGGACGAAGTCGCGGGCAAAAACTAGTGCTTAATAGAATAGACAATCTAATTGGGGGACGACATTGCTTTGAAAAATTCACAAACTTGTATTACAACATCTCTTCTTATCCAAACACAAAGTAACATAATCTATTATTAAACTAATTGTAAGATGCAATTGTTCTTTTTAAACTAACTGGAGTGAGATGAAAAAAATAATATCAAATAATAACTTCATTGTTAGTATCGAGATTATATCTACAGTAGTTATCGTTGGAAATAGTATTTTAATTCTTCTTATTATAACATGCATACTTTTTCATATGTTTTCTCTATTTGTTAAAATTAATTTTAATAATAGCGAAAGTAGAAACTGTTATAACAATATTTTAGTCTCGTCTGATCTTAGTAGAGTCTCATGTATTATACAACTACAGTTTGCCATCAATGATTTTGAAGGATTCATAATTCATAGTTGCATAGCTCTTTCATAACATCGTTTATGTAAATCAATATTCTACATTCTTGTTTATTCAGGGTCAAATAAGTTTTGGATAGAAAATAATGTCAGTGTCATATTATGTCGAAAATCCATAAACTTTCTTACGAAACATGATGAGTGATTTGAAGAAAAACCAATTTATTTTTATGTGAATCATATTAAATACATTATGAAGGTCCTTCAAAAAAATTGGTAATATTCATGTGTAAGATTTATCTAAGTCTTTTCATATTATTTTTTATTTTTATTAGTATTATTAATATTTTTAAAGAGTAATAAAAATAGGCGGAATAAAAAAAAACAGTCTTTAATTCTACAAGGAAGAGGAAATCATCAGTATAACACGTATTTTAAAAATACAGGTCTCATAAGTTAAAAAACTGGTTTGTTTTGCCGAAAAATTATTATATTATTTATAATGATTTCAGACTAAAACTTTAGAATAAAATATTTAGAATACAGAAACTAAAAAGTATTTTAAAGAAAATTTTGGCAATAATTGCATAGTCTCAAAAGATAAACGAGATTTTTTTCAATATGATTTTAGAATAATATTTTTTGTACTTCATAAATGTAAATTATTCACGCGGAAACTGAACTCGTTTTTAATTAATATATTTATTTACTCGTAATACCTTATTTAAAAGCAATTGTGTTAAAGAAATTATATAGCGGGCTTTAATAAAATCAACAATAATGTTGAGTAAGACGCTAAGGTTACAGAGCCTTGCTCTATAGCAGGTAGTGGGATCAGATCGTAGTATTATAGTTAAAACATTTTGAAGACAACGAGAAACAAAGAAAATATAGATTTAAATAAATTTAATAATCAATATAGCAGAATCTTTGAATATCATAATATCAACTTTAAGATATGTCGTGCACCTCACATTTCTTTAATTTTAAAAGTATTTTATTATTACTCTATGCTTATTCGAAATATTTTAGATTTAGTTTTATAACAAAATTTTGCTCTCCGCTTTGATAAAACGACTTTAAAACTACACTTTTAAATACAAGAAAACTTTAGTGATGTTCCTATGTACATTTCCTTTTTCAAGAATCTATTAAACATCTTTCCCTATCATTGTAAAGTAAAAGAAAATTTACCTACATTCTTAAATAGAAATTAATAAATAACTCGCCAGTATTTTAACCGAGTATATGTATGTATATTTTTAGTATAGAATCACATTTTCCAATTGTGTTAACTAAATCAATTGACACCAGTTCTCATGCCTTTGGAAAAACAAATGTTATTTACGTACTCACAAAATATCGTTTGTCTTGTTGATTAAAAAATAAATAAAATTTATTTGCAACATATAACATCGTTACTTTTTGATTAATTATAATATTCAATAATTTTATTCTTATCTTGTGGATTTTATTTAATTAAGCGTTTGGTAACAAAGATATTTTGTTTTTTTATAATTAAGTATTTATGTTCATATGTTTGTTCGTATTGAATTCATTTCGATGTAATTTTTATTTGGTGAGTCCATACTTTTCTCCCTTCTGTACTCATGTACAAGTTACAAGGCATGTCTAATGGAAATATTTCCCAAAAACTCCTACAAACATTGAGTCTTGAAATGTGAAAAGAGAGATACATAATATCATTCATACTACTTTTATGAATGAATATTTCATTAATAAAATTTATATTTAGCATATTGCATCCATTTTGGTCATAAAAATAAGAATAATCATCTAATTAAATAAAAAAATATTTTGTTGGACTCGTTTTTGGTGCACATTTGAAATTCAATTGAGGTTTTTAACATTATTTATTCAATAGACAGGTTTTTTATAAAAAGTTCAATTTACTTATTTTCTTTGAAATGAATGGGATTAAAATTAATAAGTAAATCATTTAATGTTGATATTTATTACATGTATTTGATAATTATTAAAATTACTACTTTTTAAGTTATGTAAAATAATTTTAATTCTCTCTTCTTTTCTTTAAAGAAATTTTAAGTTATTCAACATATTGTTTTTAAATAAATATATCGAAATATCTGGAAAGACAATGATGTAATATATAACATAGCCCTCGAGATTTCAAATTACTTGTTATGGAAAATAGGAGGCAGTCAACATCCTCTCGACTATAATGAATATTTATTACCTATTTAATTACATACTTAATTACTATTACAAACAGTTTAAGTTAATATCTCGATTTTTCTTTATTTTATATAATAGAAATTGATAGATTTATTAAAAAAATTGATAAAATACAAGCAAAAAGACCAACTGACGTACTTATTAATTTTTATATGAAACAATTTGATCGTATTAAATGATTCTCAACTATGTACTATATAAATGTACCACGAAAACTTTAA